CCATATGACAAGCATATTCAGAATTTGGGGGGGGGGGGAGGCTGTTTCTGCTACAGAGAAGTATTTATTTTGTTGTTCTTTACATATAAATAAATGAAGGTGCACCTGTGACATGTGTTATGCCCCTTAATACACACTTCAAAACATCTGAAACTTATTCTAAAAGAAAGAAAGAAAGAAAGAAAGAAAGAAAGAAAGAAAGAAAGAAAGAAAGAAAGAAAGCTTCATTAAAAGTATGTGCCATAGTGCTGGGTGGAAGGAGCTGCATTTTCCCTCCACAAAAATATCAACATTGGCCAAATGACATTTTCCAAATACACTGTAAGACCACCACACCCTGAATCAGTCATCTGGGAAAAGCACCACAGGCAGACATTAATCATTGCAGCAAACTTGCCAATGGTCAACGTAAGTTCAGAAACAGTGCATGATAATGATTCCCATATGTGTGCTTGGGAAAACATGTGTGTCATGAGGGAACTGTCAGGGCGCTGTGAGATATTCAATAAAATAATTAAAATACGTTCTGGGAGCCCAAAACACCCATCTGTACAGGCGGGTGCCAGCTGTGTCTGTATTATTAACTGCTCTGGGTTTGCCTGCTTCCAGTCTCCAGTCGAGATGGTTCATTATGTCCTGTTTTTACATCAGGTGTGATTGGAGCATTTCATCAGCCCACAGTACGTAGGCACCGGAGAATTGCCTGCCCTCAGGTGGCCTCCTGTTGCCTCTCTGCCTGGGTAATTTTCTTTCATTACCAATTTACATTTTAAAAGTGTGTGGCAACTTTCAGAAGTTTGGAAAACACTAGCGTGGGCGAAAAGCTGTCAGTATAAATGAAGCATTGCTGGCAAAGCCGCATTTTAGAACAACACCAATTATAGCTTTCTTAAGCGTAAACCAGCTGTAGATGAGGGCTAATTAATGCATGTTCGTTTGCTGAAGATAGTAACATGAATTGATAACTTGCGTCTGTTATTCAGGCATCACAAAAACAGCGGCCCAAACAATTTTTCACATCACCTTGACTCATAAATTTTCAGTGCAATCAGTTCACATATATGCAGCAATCAAACATAGAGAAATGAAGTGATTTGCGTGTGTTTAAGAATCATGCAAGTAGACACCTACTTCTTAACATGTGACAAGTGTATAGCTTCCCTCCTGCACCCATGAGGCCCCATGTAGATAAAATGTCATGTGTGCAGTGACTGTGAAGACACAATGGCCGAAACGTCCTTCCACGCCTCTGAATGCACTTGGCTGAAGGCCTCTTCGTGACATGATGTTTATTACACCTTGCAACATTCCAAGCTTCTATGGTTGATTAAGCTAGGAAACCAGTTTGATCTGTTCTGCAGAAGCAAAATGCTGTCAGAGTCTACTGCTGTCTCCCAACTGGTTTTTCCAGGAGTTTTGAAACTCGCAAGGCACATTGAACTAAGCCACACAAATGCAATTATTCTACTGTAGATTCTTAACTCCGGTTAAGTTTTTGTTTGTTTTCTATTTTTAGCACATTCTATCCCTGACTGCCGATTCACAAGGGGGGTAGGGGTGGAATCGACCAACAAAACTATTCTCTACACCAGGTATCCCTGAAGCAGAAGTGAGATTCAAAACCATGTCTTTGTAGCCCATCATAAATCACACGTTGAACCCTTACATTTCATTGAGGCTCTTCTAAAAAAAGCCCAAATATTGCTCTTGAAGTACGTACCTTACTACACCTGTTAGAAATGTTTCAGCTAAGAGAAAGCTTTTCAAACGCTTGGGGGAACTGAGTTGTGACTCACCTTGGGAGGAAGGGTAATAATAATAATAATAATAATAATAATAATAATAATAATAATACATTATTGTTGTTGTTATTATTATTGTTGTTGTTGTTATTATTTATACCCCGCCCATCTGGCTGGGTTTCCCCAGCCACTCTGGGTGACTTCCAACAAAATATTAAAATACAGTACGTCAAACATTAAAAGCTTCCCTAAACAGGGCTGCCTTCAGATGTCTTCTACAAGTCTGGTCGTTGTTGTTCTCTTTGACATCTGGTGGGAGGGCGTTCCACAGGGCGGGTGCCGCTACTGAGAAGGCCCTCTGCCTGGTTCCCTGTAACTTGGCTTCTCGCAGGGAGGGAACCGCCAGAAGGCCCTCGGCACTGGACCTCAGTGTCCAGGCAGAACGATGGGGGTAGAGACGCTCCTTTAGGTATACTGGGCCGAGGCTGTTTAGGGCTTTAAAGGTCAGCACCAACACTTTGAATTGTGCTCGGAAACCTAGGGTTCTCAAGCCTTTGTTCTTCTTATTCTACTATGTGAACCCTACCAGTACAAAGGTCTAAGCTGGGTGCTCCAAGCTTTGACCACATGGCTTAAGCAAGCCACCTTTGTGTTTCTAAACAAATAATTTAGTAACATTTACCCAGTGCTTTTTTTTTCCTAGAAAAAGAGGTGTTGGTACTCACCATGAAGTTGTTACACCTTTTAACAACAACAAGAAGAGGTGCTGGCACTGTGTACTCTTGAGTACAACCCCCCCTCCCAAAAAAAGCATTGCATTTACCACACTGGAACCTAATTTTTGCTGCCTGCGTTTTCTTACTGCTGTATGGGAAAGCACATGAATCTGACCTTTAAAGAGTTTGTAAGGAAACCATTTTTAACTTACCAGATGTGGGGTCTCTTTCTATGCTAAGGGAAGTGGGGAACTTTGGAAGCAACTTAGAAGGGGATATTTTAAAAGTCTAACAGCCGGAATTTCCACGCTTTGCTTTGCTGTACTGTATATTTTGTGATTTTAAATCACTGCTGGAGCCCTCTCACCAAAGAGTACTTGTCCCAAACCTGGATCTTAGGCATCCAGTGAATTCTCTTCTTATTATACCTAGCATATTTTTCTTTAAACCAAAATACGAAAACCAACAGCATCACCCAGGCATCTCCACCAGTTTCTGCCTGCCAACTTGATTTGCTAACTTCAGCTGCCAACTTCCATGAGTTTCATCAGTTTGTGAATATCCACTAGTTTTCATTTGCAATACATTCATACACATAAAAACACAATTTGCCCCTGCGTCTCAGCAATGCAGCTCTGCAGACTTAGACCCTATTATTCACTGCAGGAGCCCCAAATGCAGGGTGTGTACACATCCTTTGGTTTTAAGGGAAAGGTGTCTTCCTGAAGGTGAGTCGGAATCTCCTTTCCTGTAGCTTGAAGTCACAGATTCAGGTCATAAGCGCCTCTGGAGCAGGAGAAAACAAGCTTCTTCCCTCCTCCCAGTGACGGCCCTTGAGATATGGACAGGGCTGCATGGTGTGGCTCTAATATCCATCTTCTGAGAGAGAGAGCAAAACATTTCTCTCTCCCCTTTCTCCACCCCATGCAGAATTGCAGGGGGTCAGTGCATCTGACTGGTAAGAAGAAGGTCGGAGTTTGGAGCCCAGCCAGGGCTGGCTATGGGCAGGATCCTTGCATTGCCGGGGGTTGGACTAGATGACCCTTGGGATCCCTTCCAACTCTGCCATGCTATGTGTCTATCAAGCAGCTAAAGGAACGGGTGGGGGAGCAAGATGCAGAACAAAGGGAGGCACAACCACACACCACAGCAGCACATTCTGGCCAGACCCACGGTGGCCTCATCCCAGCACACTTTGACCCCCCTGATTTTATTTGTATTAATTCAGCTGCCTGGCAACCCATCTGCCTGGCCCCTGTGTGCCAGCTGATGTCATAAAGAGCTGCTTTGCAAGCAAGCCTTATATGGTCCTGCAAGAGGGATGCCTGTCAGATGATGGTGAGAGACTTGGCAAGATCCTTGCCCATCACTGATCATGAATAGGAACTGTGAAGGTAGGAGGAGCACAATGCCCAGAGGAGAGGAGTGGCATAGAAATTTTCTTCTTCCTCTTCTTCTTCTTCTTCTTCTTCTTCTTCTTGCCACCCGTCACTGATGCATGCGGCTTGGCTCCCTGGCTTGACTTGTCGACAGCTGTAGATAGCTTGCCAGGTCCCTGCCTCTCAGAAATGCAGCTCTGGGGACTTAGCCCCTTTTCATGCTGCAGGGGCCCCCAATTGATCCTTTGGTTTTAAGGGAAAGGCATCTTGTGGGCTTCATCTTGTATGGGGCAGGAGCATAGCAAGATTTATTTTGTGTTATTTGTTTGCACCATCGCTGCGTGTGACCCTTGAGAAAGAGGTTCCTGCCCTGAGGGGCTTACAATCTTTAATTTGACACAGGGAGGGAACAGGGAAAGGTTGAGGTCCAAGGTGGATCCTGAGTCCTCCTGCAAGACAGAAGTCAGTGTCTGTGAGTTTAGATTTTGGGACTCCTGGACATTTCCCATCTGTAACCTCTTCCTCTGTTTTCTCAATAGGGTAATTAAGGTGATTCTATTAGAATTCCCAAGCGTATGTGTAATAATTATAGGGGTTGCTCGTGCGTAAGTTGCCGCCACTTCTGGCTAGGTTGCCTGGTTAAACCTTTTCTGTCTGGACAGCCCTTCCCTTCGTGGCTGTCTCAGTCGCTGGCAGAATCCGTCAGTGGGTGTTTCTTAAACCTTTTCCAGCATAAAAGCTGCTTGACGCCAAGTCTCCTCCTACTCTCCCTGTGCGGAAGTCTTCTGCGCAGGGAGGGTGTGGATAGCGGAGGACCCGTGCTCTCCCCGCTGGTCTCCGGCGAAGAGTCCTGGAGCCCCCTCGCCGATTCCCCCATCTGCCCCCCCTTTATCCCTGGTGTTACGCTGATTTCCTTCCCCAGCTGATGAGCTGCCTCTCTCCCTGCTGGGCCCTTCTCCAGCATCGCTTGGGAGCCTCGCGTCCGCCTCTGGCTCCGATGTCAGTTCCCTGACAGTATGTCAAGCAGGGAGGGAGGGGGGAAGAGAGAGAGTGGAATTCTGGTGGAGACAGAAGGTTGGAAGAGGCTTAGAAAGGGAGAGTGAATGTTGGGGGGGGGAGGCTGTTTAGAGTCGGTTGAGAGTGGTGGGTTCTAGAAGGGGGGCACTTGGTGGGGGACCTGAAGCTGGGCTGGGCAGCTTTTCAGGATCAGTAGTCCAGTAGTAGGATCAAGTGTGCCCATCAGTGACCACGAGAAGGAACTCTGAATGTAGGAGGAGATCCAAGGCCCAGAGGAAATGAGTGGCATAGAATTATTATTATTATTATTATTATTATTAGTGTCACCCATCACTAGTGCATGTGGCTTGGCTCACTAGCTTGACTTGTCCACAGAAAGCTTGGCCTCAGCTGTGATCCCCAGATTATATTTTCTGTTGTGGATGCCTATGCCAGGAGAATACCAAGTCCTTCTTCCATCGCAGGGTCGTGGTTTGGGAAAGGCTCTGGCCAAGCAGCAGCCCAGTGGTGTCAGGGGCAAACCCAGAATTTGCAGGTATGCTGTGACCTTCAGTGGCAGGGGAAGGGTTTCCCAGTGATCTTCCCAGCTGGAGGAGGAAGGCCTGGTTTAGATATTCCTATAGTTTTACGGGAAGAGTTTCTCCGCGGTCCACCTGGGCAGGACAAGGGGCATGATTCTCTCCCATGCCAACACCACATCCCAAGGGTGGGCTGGGGCAGTTTTAGGATGGCACGACCGGTGTGCTCACACTGGGCACCACGCTGCAGAGGGGGCCAAAACAATGCTGAAGAACAAGAGGGAGGGGTGCCAAATTTTAGGGTCATGCGGGGCACCGTTGACATTTGAGAGCCCAAAGTTTGCCCTTGGTTGGACGCAGTTCCAGATTAAAACCTGTGGAGGCCCTGAGGCAGTAAAAATATTGCTGGGCTCCTCGCAAATTATCTCCTGATACGTTTTTGATTTTACCAATCAAAAATAGTAATAAACCAATTTTATTACACAATACTAACAGTATTTATTTTGATCCATTGGGTAATATGGCTCTGCTTGGGAATGCTTCTGCCAATATGAATCCCAGAATTCTTCCCCCACATCCTTCCTTCTTTCAGACAGAAACGGACATGGTGTGTGGAACTGGACCAGGGGAAGAAGTGACTTTCCCATTGCTGGGGATGGGGACTGCCATTTCCTCATGCCAGCAATGGGACAGCCACTTCTCTTCTCCCTGGTTATTGCCTTGGGGAAACAGGTCCCCCCCAGGAGCTGTCTCCATGGCTATGGTTTCAGACCTGCAGGAATCAAGGCCAGCCTACTAGTCCAAACCTAAATATTTTGGGAAATAGATAGTTTTCCATGTTTGGACTTCAAATTATGCATATTGCTGTCCCGGACCACCTAGATCTCAAACTAGGGCACTTTCTTTCTTGCAGCCTTCTTCTTCTTCTTCCTTAGAAATGTTGCCCCCAAAATACTAACATCAGAGTTAGGTTGAGAAATCTTATGAAATCTCACATGTTGACCAAAATGGAATGCATTTGAGGTTCTTTCCTTGCCTTCTTAGCCCATATTTTTCTCTAATTTCTGCATCCCATGAAAACATCCTTCCTGAGATACCAGGCAGCACCAACCGGTGGTCTCACTTACCACAATGAACCTTAGAATAAAATAAAGGTAAAGGTACCCCTGACTTAGGTCCAGTCACGGACGACTCTGGGGTTGCGCGCTCATCTCGCTCTATAGGCTGAGGCAGCCAGCATTTGTCCGCAGACAGCTTTCAGGTCATGTGGCCAGCATGACTAAGCCGCTTCTGGTGAACCAGAGCAGTGCACAGAAACACCGTTTACCTTCCCGCCGGAGTACTACCTATTTATCTACTTGCACTTTGATGTGCTTTCGAACTGCTAGGTGGGCAGGAGCTGGGACCAAGCAACAGGAGCTCACCCTGTTGTGGGGATTTGAACCACTGATCTTCTGATCGGCAAGCCCTAGGCTCTGTGGTTTAGACCACATCACCACCCTCTCCCTAGAATAAAATAGATACATATAATTATCTATATATTTATCTGGAACTCCTCCAACCAATCCAACTAACTGAGCTTGTATCAGGGGTGGTCCCAGAGTCCTGCTGACATAAGCCAGGATCTTCTGGGTTCCCCAGCTTTTCCCATATGTAACCTCTGTGACAACACAGGGCTTCCACCACCACTGGCTATTCCCGGTCTCAGCTTGCATGTGGCTACAGCTCCCAGATGGACACAGAGGACAACTTCAAGCATTACAAAACTCAGGAGCCGCCAGTGATTTTATGCCCTGCGAGTTTCCCAACAGCATGATGTGGCAATGCGATCATTGGGGAATCCATGGACAGTGAGAGCCCATTCACATGAGAGCCCATAATATACCCTGCTTCGTCCACAGGGCCACACCTCCAGGGATCAGGCTCCAGCTCCAGCTCCCAGGATGAAGGACCAAAGGACATCCAGGTGATTCCTGGTTGCCATCCATCGCGCCTCTTCCCCACTGCCCCTTCTCCTTGCGGGCATGGCTCCGTCTCAGCCATCTTTGGCGCAGAAGCAGCAGCCAAAGTTTCCTTTCATTAAGACAGCAGCTCTGCTTATTTCCCACCTGTAATCTCTTCCTCTGATTTTATTTTCCTTTCTGTCTCCTAGCTCCTCAGACAGGTAGGTCATAGAGGCTATTGTGGGCTTTGCAAGCAAATGACAGATGGCATAGCTGTCAACGTTCCACTTTTTAAAAGGGAAATTCCCTTATTCTGAATAGGATTCCTCGCAAGAAAAGGGAAAAGTTGACAGCTATGCAGATGGGGAGGCCGCCATGTTTAAGAATGGCATCATAGAAATTGTGGTAGGGGGAAGCGGGGCACATTGATGCATCGGGCACATTGATACACCAACAATATTTCAATACAGTGGTGCCCCGCAAGACGAATGCCTCGCAAGACGGAAAACTCGCTAGACGAAAGGGTTTTCCGTTTTTTGAGCTGCTTCGCAAGACGAATTTCCCTATGGGCTTGCTTCGCAAGACGAAAACGTCTTGCAAGTTTGTTTCCTTTTTCTTAACACCGTTAATACAGTTGCGACTTGACTTCGAGGAGCAACTCATAGAACGTGGTGTGGTAGCCTTTTTTGAGGTTTTTGGTGATTTTTGAAGCTTTTCCAAAACTTTTCCGACACCGTGCTTCGCAAGACGAAAAATTCGCTAGACGAAAAAACTCGCGGAACGAATTAATTTCGTCTTGCGAGGCACCACTGTATCGAGAAATGTTATTTGTGTTGCGACATCACTAAAAATGTGTCTATACATGTATGCCTACAACAGTTGCGACCACACCGCCCGCCAGTTAGCCGTTGACATTTGACGAGAGTAGGTTAGAACTGAAGGGTTCAGCCAGCCTGCTTATATAGAGCTCCACTACAACGCAACGTTACACTTTCTGTAACTATCCAATCACTGAACGTCACTTTCAATCCCTTATTTGCATATGTGGACCTGAGTGAAAACTATCTACAGTATTCCCCTGCTGGCCCAGGGTCAGAACTTCAGTACATAACACCTTGTCCCTTTTTTCAGGTTCTACAGTCTTCCTTATAAATCAGTTACATTTGTTGTGAGACATTAGTGTTGAGTACAGTTTAAGGTTGGGGAAGAAGAGGATTGGAGAGGAGGGGTGGTGTGGTGTGGTGAGGCTTATATTCTTTTGTATATTGTCCGTGTGGGGTTTTGTGTCTGCGTTTATTACATATCCTTGGTAGTGAGAGGTATTGGGGAGGCAGGCTGTGATTGGTTGTCTGTGGTTGTTTGCAATGGGGTTTGTTTGCATTTGTGATGGGGGGAATTGTTGAGGCAGGTAAACCAGATTGATTAATATGCTGTCAATGGATTCTTCTTGTTGTCTTTTTGGGCTGTGTATGTGATAAATGGGAGCCATACTGGGGTGAAGGCGTCCTCTCCCATTTGTCCCCATGTCAGTTTCAGTTTATTGCTTAGCTTTTCTAGTATTTCTGTGCACACTCAGTAAGCATAGCCCACTGAGACGTTCCTTTATCTGATACGGGGGGGGGGGGGCGGAATAAATATGGGTACAAAATGGGCTACGTACAGAGAGCTGTTAATTGAAACAGAAAACAAATTAAAATGGAAATATTTTAACAAAATTAGAGAGAACGTAACAGATTGGTTACAATATTTTCAGTTAAATGAAATATTTAAGAATGATAAAAAGGTAGGATTTGCATATGAAATTTCAACCTTTCAGAGAGAAAGAATAGAAAATGATAAGAAATTAATATCTAAAATGTACAATCTGTTGCTGGAATGGGAAACAAAAGATGAAGAGGTCAAATCAGTTATGATTAAATAGTTACAAGATGTGGGACATAATATTCAGATGGTGGAATGGGAAAAACTATGGAAGAATGATATAAAATTTATAGCATGTGTGGTGATTAAAGAAAATTATATGAAAATGATGTATAGATGGTATCTAACTCCAGCTAAATTAGCAAAATTTATAAAACTAAGGAAAGCAAGTGTTAGAAATGTAAAATAACAGAGGGGACATTTTTCCATATGTGGTGGAATTGTAAAATTATAAAGAAATATTGGGAAATGATTTATAATGAAATGAAAAAGATGTTTAAAACAACCTTTGTTAAAAAAAACCAGAAGCTTTCTTATTAGGAATTATAGGAGTGGACCTATCAAAATCACAAAAGAACTTGTTTATGTATGCAACAACGGCCACATGGACCTTATTAGCACAACACTGGAAAGAAGAAGGTGTCCCATCTAAAGAAGATTGGGAAGTTAAATTAATTGAATATGCTGAAATGGCGAAATTGACTATGAAACTAAGAGGAAGAGACGACAATGAATTTAAGGAAGAGTGGAAGATGTTTATTGCATATTTACAGAAGCAATGTACACAGGTTAATACATTAGCAGGGTTTTAAGATTACTTGTAATTTTGTTATGAATGGATAATAGGGATTTAAATAGGTTAAAATTTAACAATTAGACATGCAGTATGTTGAATAGAACCAAGGAAGGGACTAGACTGGAAGTCAATTTGTTTTGTTTTGTTTCTGTATTGTTGTTGTTTTTATTTTTGGAAAATCAATAAAATGTTATTTTTTAAAAAGGAGACATTCCCTTATCATCATTGATCTTAGCCAGTTCTTCACTCTCCACAAGCTGCTGAATGACTGCTCTCTGATACAAGTCGTGTATGACTGAGCAAGAGACATGAGCAGAGCCTTTTCTGTGGTAGGGTAAAAGATTACCCACCTCTTTTACTAGGTCTGCTATGTTCAGCTCTTTTAACTGCTGTTTGCAGAGTTTCTTCTTCTTCCATATGGTGTACCACAGTTCAGTTTCAGGGTGGGAGTCTATCACTCTGTCGGGTTGCCGGTTGCGTCGTGAGATTGCACCACCACGACATCATCAAAGCAACCTTGGTGCACATTTCCATTTCAAATATTCTGATTCTATTTACTTTTAGTTAAGAATTTTCTATTTATTTACTTAACTCCCCCTCCTGCTATGCCCATGCCATTGGGCAAAGGCTGAATGTCACAGCAGCTGTAACATTATTTCATATGTGATGGACTTGTAAAAGGGTAAAATATTGGGAAATGATCCATGATGAATTGAAAAAAAATGTTCAAAAGCACTTAAACCACAACCAGAGTCCTTTTTGTTGGGGATAATTCAGTGGGAAATTCCCAGGTTTCAAAAAAGGTTATTTATGTATGCCACTACTGCAGCCCGTGTTTTGTTAGCCCCAAAATGGAAAACGAGCAAGGTCCCAACTAAAGAATGCCAACTTAAGCTGATGGAATATGCACAACTTGCAGACCTAACATACAGAATAAGAGAACAAGAAGAACATACTTTTAGAAAAGATTGCAAAATGTTTATAGAATATATGGGGGGAAATTGTGTACACTTGAAAACGTTGGCCGCATTAAGATAAATTCAACAGTGTAAATAAGTTTTGATGGATGTAATAATGGAATACTGAATGGTTTAGTTTAGCTAAAATATGCAGGGATTTATGATATGCAAAATGAACTATGGAAAGAGAAGACGGGAAGTCATTGATATTTCTAAAGCGTAAAACAGAAAAGTTAATAAAATTATATACAGTACATAAAAAAAGAATGTCACAGGGGCTGCCTGCTGTGTTCTATTGGAGAAGATGACGAGGACCCAGGCAAATCACACGCTTAAAAATGCTAATAAAAGACTGTGGTGTGTCCAGGAAACAAGCGAATGGCCGGCTTAGGCAAAGACCAGAGACAGGAAGACATTGGAACTTTGGTGGCAGCAGCACGAAAAGGAGGCGGGGCATCAGCAAACCAATCAGAAAGCGGTACACTAGAGCTCCTCCTCCCCCGGCGGTCCTACGCCTTTCGCTTCTAAACCTTCCGAGCTTCCGTAGGGTTCCCGGAAGTGCCGCGGTTGCTAGCCTGCAGGTTGCTAGGCAGCGGCGTCGCGTCTCACTTGGGCCTTGCCCGGCTCCCAGGCATGGGGGACTCGGAGGGCGAGGTTTTGCGGGGGACCTTCCCCAGCCTCATGGCGGAAGGGACGATGCTGAGCCGGCGCGGGGAGCTTGCCAAGGCGCTGACTTGCTACACCTACGTGAGAATTGGCCGTGCTCGTGGGGCAGGAGGGGGGTGGGAAGGGAGGGAGGGGGCGAAGCTGGTTCGTGAATAGGAATGAAGGGAGGAGGGGACGTTGCCGCTGGGCACTTGGGGTCGAGCTGATGGTGTTTATCACATGGCCAGGCATACCTGGGACCCTCAAATACGAGAAGAAGCGCCTCCCCCCCCCCATAGCTGCCAACTTTTCCCTTTTCTTTCGAGGAATCCTATTCGGAATAAGGGAATTTCCCTTAAAAAAGGGGGAAAGTTGACAGCTATGCTCCCCCCCACATCCTCCAGATGTGGCCTTTGAGAAGCCCGATGTGTCCTGAGGGTATAAGAAGAGCCTTGCTGGATCAGGCCGGTGCATTCATTCATTCATTAGTAGAATTGTAGAGTTGGGAGGTACCCCCAAGGGTCATCTAGCCCAACCTCTTGCCATGCAGAAATCTCAACTCAAGCATCCACGACAGGTGGCCATCCAACCTCTGCTACTTGTAGAGAAAATTACAGTGGTACCTCAGGTTACACAAGCTTCAGGTTACAGACTCCGCTAACCCAGAAATAGTACCTTGGGTTAAGAACTTTGCTTCAGGATGAGAACAGAGCTCGGGCTCCAGCAGTGCGGTGGCAGCGGGAGGCCCCATTAGCTAAAGTGGTACCTCAGGTTAAGAACAGTTTCAGGTTAAGAACGGACCTCCAGAACGAATTAAGTTCTTAACCCGAGGTACCACTGTAATGGGACGCGGGTGGCGCTGTGGGTTAAACCACAGAGCCTAGGACTTGCCGATAAGAAGGTCGGCGGTTCGAATCCCCGCGACGGGGTGAGCTCCTGTTGCTCATTCCCTGCTCCTGCCAACCTAGCAGTTCGAAAGCATATCAAAGTGCAAGTAGATAAATAGGTACCGCTCCGGCGGGAAGGTAAACGGCGTTTCCATGTGCTGCTCTGGTTCACCAGAAGCGGCTTAGTCATGCTGGCCACATGACCCAGAAGCTGTACGCTGGCTCCCTCGGCCAATAAAGCGAGATGAGCGCAGCAACCCCAGAGTCGGCTATGACTGGACCTAATGGTCTGGGGTCCCTTTACCTTTACCTTTACCTTTACCACTATAATACAGGATCCATTGCTAAGAAATGGGGAATAGTGAAGGAACTGTGGCTTGCCAAGTGATTCTTGGCAGGATAAAAGCACATCCCAGGTTTGTTTGTTTTTTAGCACACCCCAGTTTTCATCTACGAAATGTTGAATGGTATATAATGATCAGTTAGCAGTTGTAAGTATACTTTTGAGACTGGGCATCGTGTTTTTGTGTGTTGCTAGGCCCTGCAACTCCAGCCAGGTGACAGGAACTGCCTTGTTGCCCGTTCAAAATGCTACCTGAGACTTGGAGATACAGAAAATGCCTTGAAGGATGCTGAAGCCTCCTTGGCAGCTGACAAAGGGTTTACCAAGGTAGGTAACCAAAAGGTGGAAAGGCCTGCACCAACCCAAAGGGTTCCCTTTCAAAATTTATTGTGGAGTATCTGGTTTGATGGTGGAAGGGAGTTATGGTTCTGTCTCCCCTCTTTTCTTAACCTAGAAGGAAAGAAGGGTAACTAATAACTTCCATAAAAGAACCCAACCTTCATGTCATTCTTTGTTCTGCAACTATCTTTCTAAACCATTTGGCATATTAACCAGGTTAGAAAATTCTGTTGCAAGCAAACCAGAGCAGAGGTTCAAAAGGACAGTTGGATTGGAAGGGAGTCTCTTCAGTGGACTTCAAGCTAAGACCCTTCTTCAAGTTGTCCACATCTCAGAAATTATCAAACTGGGACAAGCAAGCTGCTTGAGTGCATTTCTTGAGGATGGTATTTTTTGTTTACTCGTATGAACAAGTTTACAATATATAGCTCTCTTATTGTCTATCTGTTGTCTTTCCCACCCCCCACCCCCAATATTTTCCCTCTTTGTTTCAGGGCCTATACCAGAAAGCAGAGGCATTGTACACTATGGGGGATTTTGAATTTGCCTTGGTCTATTACCATCGAGGCCACAAGATCCGCCCAGAGTTGCCACAATTCAGGCTGGGCATTCAAAAATCCCAGGAGGCAATTGAAAATTCTGTTGGAAGTAAGCCATGTGATTTTTTATTAGGGGATGGAATCTAATTGACTGCTAGACCTGAGCTTCAACTTGACTGAGAATGCATGAATAAAAGAGAAACTAACAACAAAGATAATAGGCTGTCTAAACTAGCTAAGCAGAGTGCAAGGCAGAGCAGAGCAAGGACCTTAGAGAAGGCATGAAGGTATTTTGCAAAACTAAGGACATATTTGTATCCCTTTAATTTTATTTGAATTGAATTTTGTCAATAAAGCAGACAGTAAAATAAACTCGAGATCACACATACAAGCAATCCAACAGAAAATCCTTTGAGTCTTCAAAGTCCAGGTAGAGATTTTATTTTTCATTGGCCATCCTATTTTCTTATCTATGCACAATATTACTGAGCCTTTTTGATGATGGAGCTGGTCATGTGAAACTCCTTTCAGAAAAAGTCTCAACCTCCAATTTCTATTTTAAAAGGCTTGTATGCTACAGCTGTGAAAAAAGCAAATTCATTGTTATTAGGGGAGAGATAAAAATAAAGGAAGTACCATAGGCTCTTACAGAAAGCTGTGGTTTATCCGCAGTTGGAATATTTTGTGGAGTTCTGGTCCAGGCTGTTTCCAAAAAAATGTCAACGCTGAAAAAGATACAGAAAGGGGCAACTAAAATGATCAAGGAGTTCTAGCCTCTTCTCTTGCACGGTTTGCATGCTGCTTCCCAAGGGATTCCTTGCTAATGTTTTTGGCAGGTGATTTTCAGGGCCTTCCTGACTTCTTGGCTCAGGGGTAGGCAACCCCAGATGTGGCCCAATCGCCTTCTCAATCCGGCCCACGGACGGTCTGGGAATCAGTTTTTACATGAGTAGAATGTGTCCTTTTATTTAAAATGCATCTCTGGGTTATTTGTGGGGCCTGCCTGGTGTTTTTACATGAGTAGAATGTGTGCTTTTATTTAAAATGCATCTCTGGGTTATTTGTGGGGCATAGGAATTCTTTCATTTTTTTTCCTTCAGAATATAGTCCGGCCCCCCACAAGGTCTGAGGGACAGTGGACTGGCCCACGGCTGAAAAATGTTGCTGACCCTTGTCTTGGCTGGTGCTTTCTCTGTTTGTAGGCCCTTCTTCTGTGAAACTGGAGAACAGAGCAGACCTCTTCTTTCTGAGTCGCCAGGCAGAGGTATGGTCTCACCAGTTTTTCCCAAAGTGGGTCTCTGATCCCTTCATTAGGAGGGAATAGAAGATATGGTAAGGAGTTCAAGGCATAGATACAGGTTGTTGCGGGGTGGGCACAGGGAGGATGTTTGAGTCTGAAGCTATTTGGTCTTTCTCTTGCATGACAATAACATGGTTCACACATAATGCTAAACTTTAGCGTGAATAAGTGCGGGTTCCCAGATGGAGAATCTTGACTGCAGTGTTCTTTTTGATCCTGCCACAGTACTCAGGGCTAAGCCATGATCTGGCTTAATGTTACATCTGAATCTGGGCTTGTAGTTTGTCTCCCCCCACAGTTACAGTTTGGTTGCAGGTCATGATTTCTACCTGCTGTGCTGCTTTTCTTCCCACAAGAAGTACTGCAGAGAAAATGATAAGTTTTTTCCCTTGCAAAATTTATTTTTTACACTTTTTTATGTATGTGGCAGAGTAAAAGAGCAAAACAGAAGCTTCAGGTCAAATTTCCTAAAAAGGATGCAAAGTACCTAGGCAGACAGGAGCCTGTGAGGAATGAGAAAACCGAACGGCAGCTGCTGGGGGAGCTCTACGTTGACAAGGCTTTCCTGGAGAAATTGCTCAAGGATGAAGGTTTTTGATTACTTCATTTGGCTAATGCTGGGCTTGGGAGTTTCAGGACTGCAAATGTCATCAGGCAGTCTAGCAATTACAACCCCCCTGTGAGGCTGACTGGGTATTTGCAGGAATGCAAGGTTTCTAAGGGATTTCCCAAAACAGTCATTTTCAAACTCTTGTTTCTGGGCTCTTCGATTAAAAAAAAAGACCAACAAACTTCCTCAAAAGATGGCTTGCTCACTGTATTGGTCTCCCCCTGCAATATGAAACCTTAGAAATGTATTACCAGTTGGATACATGTTTGGTTCATGAGGGATGTTGTTGGAGTGCACAAGGCTTAGCCAGTGCTTCATGTCAACTGTGTGAATACCCTTGAACATGGATAGCCAACGTGGTGCCCTCTAGATGCTGTTGGACACCAACTCCCATCAGCCCCATCCTTCATGGCCAGAGGTCAGGGATGATGGACGTTGTAGTCCAATCACACCTCGAGGGCACCACATTGCTTACCTCTGCCCTAGAACGTGTCCCCAAATCTTCAACAACGCACAGAGTTTCCTAATAAATGAAGATTCTTGAAGATAAACCACCATGTTAAGGGTTGTGAGCAGCATCTGCCTTACAGGTTGTATTGGTTTTAATTGTCACTGGTGCTGGATTGTGTTTTATTCTTTTATGTCATTTTGATATTTCTTTATTATAGTACAGTCGTACCTTGGAAGTCAAATGGAATCCATTCTGGAAGTCCGTTCAACTTCCAAAATGTTCGGAAAGCAAAGCATGGCTTCCGATTGGCTGCAGGAAGCTCCTGCAGCCAATCGGAAGCCGTGGAAGCTGTGCAGGATGTTCGGCTTCCGAAAATCATTCAAAAACTGGAACACTCACTTCCGGGTTTCGATCATTCGGGAGCCGATTTGTTCAGGAGCCAAGGCGTTTGAGATCCAAGGCACGACTGTACTGTTTGCTGCTTTCAGAGCTTTCTGGCTGAAGAGTGGCAGGCAAATTCCGAAACCAAAATAAAAACAGTGCTACTATTTGCTGTTTACCTAGCCCTATAGCAGCATCCAATTACAAGTCACAAACATTACTTCGTTAGTGAAAATATGGTTACATGCCTTCCCAACCTCTGAGCGGTGCGAGATTCCAGGAGTTCCAGGCACTTGCGCAGGATCTGTGTTTCCTTTTGGAAATGAGGCACAGCGGAAACTGTGGTGTCTTTAGGATATATGGTTTATTTACCCATATATACAACCTGAGCCTTCTATGGAGGCGTTCGCAGCATCAGCACCCCAAAGGGGTCTTGCTTCTCCCATAGCCAAAGCCCTGGATTCAAGCAGAAATCAGCCGTGGCTTTTTTCTCTGCTTTTTGAACCTGCATCTTTTCCCTCTAGGTCACATGACAGCAAACTATGCCCTTAAAAAAACCAACTTGGGTTATACGGATTAGAAATCTGGTACCCACAATCTCATAACAATATGAAGTCCACACAAAGTGGGGGAACATCTGTGTGTTCCAGCAAAGAGAGGATGTGTCTATAAAGAGGCATCTTCCCTAAGCCAGTCATATATATGTAAATACTGTAACGTAAACTCTCCCTTTTTGTTTGTTTTTTAATCTGTCTGTCTCTGCCTATGGTCTCCCTGCAGACTTGACCAAAAGCACCACGAAGCAAGGGGTGACTGTTGGACGCCTGATCCAGGAAGGGCTTTCCTACCTCGATACCCGCACAGATTTCTGGCAGCAGCAGAAACCTATCTACGCCCGGATCAGAGACCGCAAGCTCATGCTTAAGAGATGGACAAGAGATCAAAAGCGGAAGCCATCCGAGGTGGCCAGATACATCTTAAAGAGCATGGAGGACATTGATATGTGTAGGTGGCTCAGTTGAAAATGTGCTGGCTGTTTTTTGTTTTTGTTTTAAACATTTGGTTACAATTATGCACAATGAAACAAAAAGAAGGGGGGGGAATGCAAATAAAAGGCCCCATGCATGGTTTCTTTGTTAAATACACCCACAAGGTTATAAAACATGAGGGAGCACTTATAAATAAGAAAACCATATTATTATTATTATTATTATTATTATTATTATTATTATTGCATTTCTTTCTTTCCCCCGTTTGTTTGTTTGTTTGTTTGTTTGTTTGTTTATTTAGACAAAGCAATAATCATAAACAAATAAGAATAAAAATGTGCACCCCACCACCAAGAACATTCCTTTGTAACTATCCAACCTCCCAAAATTTCAACACCTCTTGCGATGGTTTGACCCCTTTCCATAATTCTATGAACACCTTCCATATCTCCTCAAAATCATTTCTCCTGTGTATTCCCCATCTTACCTTGATGGCACATGTTAATTTATCATGAATAGCTATAATCCCACACCTCTTTATACCGTTCTTCCATTTTATATTTAGAATGAACTGATCCACTGGGTCTTGTTCGTTTGTTGAACTTTATGAGTTACTTCTGTTGAAGTTTACAATTTGATACAATGAATAGTATACCTTATTTATTTAAGAACACAGCTGGTTATGTCTCGTGTGTTTATTGATAATGCTTTACGTGACCATAGGTTTGTTTGTTGTTGTTTTGTTGGGAATAGACAGACAAGTCTCAGGCCCCTGTGGGGTAGTGTGGGGAGGCACCTCTCCTGGGGTGGGGGCAGCTCAGAGACCGGGGGCAGCGGCAGTGGCTCCTTGGAGGACTCCCAAAGAGCGGGGAGAGGAGAGGAGGCTGAGGGAACACTCCACAAGGGAGGGTGTTTGAAAAAGGGTGAGAGCTCTGCAGGCAAGGGGTGACATTACTGGGCTCCTGAGCCCCACAGGGGTGCTGCAGAAAGAATGTAGGTGGTCAAGGGAGCTGTGGACTCAAAAAGGTTGAAAACCTCTACCCTAGTTTATGTTGCAAGCTGCCCTGTGATCTTTGGATGAAGGGCAGTATATAAATTTAATAAATAATGATAATAATGGCTGCCACCAATAGCCACATGGTAAATTTTTTGTAGTGAAGTTATTGACAATGCTTGTCCCATAGATTCAGGAGTGAGAGTTGTAGGGTCATTGGTACAGAATTCTTTAAGATCTTAGACGGTTCCTGATACACAGGAGTCAGAAACATTTTTACAATTCCATTTACTGGCCAATACGGTAAAATCCAAATCTGTTTCCCCGAAGCATTTTAAGACCTGTGAGGGGTCCCATTGATTCAATCAATTCCCTATATATATAACAGAAAATATGCTGACTTGAAATAACAGATATTAATGGAGACATTTGTTTGCCCCATCAAATAAGAATTGAATTATAGCACTCTAGGCAGGATGTTCTGAGCATGAAAATGTACTTTTCTAAACTCTCACATTGCACAAATATATATAGGCTTCAGAATTTCACCTGACTCCTGTATTAACTGAGCTTAGACCCTGGAGGTGTAAAAAGTAGGGTGTTGTGTATTTGAATTCTTGCTAAAAAAAACAAAACAAGAGCCAGTACCTGTTAGCCGATTCTCTGGAGGTAGCCTCTCTCTTATTCTATAGGGACCCAATGAAATATAGAAGAAAATGGACTCAGGTTGGTCTATGTAGTCAGGTCACTTTCATAGCTTGAAAGAAAAGTTGCCTTTTCTTTCTGAACTTCTTCCAGGGATTACAGGGAGCAAGCCCCCAAATCTATTTCAGAAGCCACCAGAGTTTCTGCTTGCATTTGCAACAACTATTTCCCTCTATGATAAAGATTACATAAACATTTGGTAAACGTATCCCCAGGTAAAAGGGACTCGGGTGTCAAGAACGGGAAAGACCTGTACCTGAACCATTGCTAGTCAGAGTTGACCAATAAGAGAGACCAATGATCTGACTCCTTACATTGAACTGTAGACAAATCACGAGAAAGAATTGTCTTCCTGGATCAGGCTAAAGGTCCTTCTTGTTTGGCATCCTGTTTTCAGTAGTGACCTGGCAGATGGTAGGAGCTGGTGTAAGTGCTAGCAAACAAGATGGATAGTGAAAATAGGTAATGTGAGATGCCATTTTGGAGGGGGAGGGTGTCCAAATTTGGGATAACCTAATGAATTGGGGGTAGTTAACATGCATCATATGAGCACACACTTTCTTCTTCTTTTTCTTCCCTTCCCCGTCAAGTGTTGACTAGCGGCAGCCCTGAAAGAAGCTGCCAGAAAGCTGAACAAGTGCTGAAAAAGATCCAAGGCTGGTCTGACGAAGAGATCCCCAACAGGAGCGAACTGGTTGGAAACCTCTACAGCTGCATTGGAAATGCTCAGATTGAGATGGGGAACATGGCAGCAGCTTTGCAGAGCCACCAGGTGGATCTGGACATTGCAAAAGAAAAGTAAGGAAGGCCAGCCTACTCCTTTTGAGGCTGCTTGAGTGCCCGTTCCATGCTGCCATCATTTAGCCATAGCTGTGTACTCTTTATTTCAGGACAGGAGTTCGGAATGTGTTGAATTGTTCAAATCTCAGTTTCTGCTGGAAAAAAGAGGGGTAGGGGAACACTTACGGTTTCTAGCCCTTATGGTTGCGTAAAAAATGGATGCAGGCAGTGCCTGGTGATATCCTCTGAGCTGGAGATGACAGAATTGGGCCTACTTGTTGGCAGAAGAGGCTCCGGTACTCTGTACAGCTTCCCCAATCCAACAGAGTTGGAGAATCTAGCCCAGGGGTCCCCAAACTAAGGCCTGCGGGCCGGATAAGGCCCGAGGGACTTGTTTATCTGGCTTGCGCCGATGCTCTTACCGGCGCTGCACTGCACGGCTGCCCACTTCTGGGTCAGAGGAGCACCAGAAATAGCTTGTGCGCATGTGCAAGCATTATTTGAACATGCGCACAAGCTATTTCTGGTGCACATCCAACCCAGAAGTGCACTGGAAATAGTGTGTGCGCACGCGTATGGGCACGCGCTCCCCCGCCCTCCGGCCCACCGCGCAATCGGCGCTGGAGGTCTAGCCCGACAACCTGTTCCACAGACTCTCCCCATTCCCTTCTCTCCCCTCTCCTATTCCTTGTTCCAAATGCCTGTGTCTTTGAAAACCTTGTTTTCAGGAGCAGGATAAACAGAGACTGGCAGATTTGTTTGTGTTTTTCTTAGAAGGACACACGCTTACCAGCATTTCGAATGTTAGTTTAGTATTGCAAGATTCAGGTAGGTAGCCGTGTTGGTCTGACATAGTCGAAATATATATATAAAAAATTAAAAATTGTCCAGTAGCACCTTAGAGACCAACTAAGTTTGTTCTTGGTATAAGCTTTCATGTGCATGCTAGGTTATTTGTCCTGCTCAGGGCTTACATCAGAAGGCCATGAAGCAGGGGTTAGTTGCAATGTCAGCCAGGGCTTCCTAGTAGCTGAGCCCATAGACTGGGTGCTTGGAATAAGAGGCTGATAGAGGGGAGAGTGTGGGGATGAGGAGGAAAACTAGCCACAGGAACAAGTGTATTTCTAGTTCACCCAGGGCATGGTCTCAAGTCGATCAGGTCTGTGTGTCTTCAGTAGGAGACCTCCTGAGAACCATAGGGAACCATATGTATGCTGTCTAGAAGGAAAGCTAGGATACAGACTACCCATACTGTCAGTTAGAATTAAGTTGCCTTAACTTGCCTTCTTCTGACCCATGAGTACCAGTCTTTCCAGAATTGCAAGCAGTAGGGTTCCAGTTTGTAATCATCATCATTATCTCTGGGTGAGCCATGAAAGCTACTGATAGAATGATTGCGCTCTCTAGCTGCTAAAATGTTTAGGGCAAGCCATTAAAATCAAAGTCAAATCACTATTCCTTGCCATATTGCTCTCCCAGAATGTGAGTATCCAAATTCATAGGGATATCCTCCCCCAGGGAAGGTGGTGCTCCAAGCAAGGTACAGATCTGTTCCAGAATCCCTGACCTACTGCAAATAAATCACGTTTTAAAATCAGCCTCTTCCTTTCCTCCTTATACACTTGTTTCCTGCTTTCATAGTTGTTTTCTTTTGTTTCTTCCTAGTTCAGCACTTTAGAGTAGAATCCAGCAGATTCTACTCTAAAGACTTCTGCTGTGTCCTAATGTCCCTCCATTTCATACCTTGTTCCTTTGTTGTCCAACGTCTCTGGACAAATTCATGATTCAAATGGCTTTATAACACCCCAGAAAAGCATCGTTGCATTTTAAAGATGGCTCTGCAGCACAGTTTTTGGGCAAATTCCCCTGTGCCTATATTTTAGATTGAAAGCGGCTTGTGGCATGGATCTCCCACCTTCTTCGTTATCCTCTTTAAACTCACACACACACACAGCTTTCGTTTGGTCCATAGACCTAAAATCCTTTAAACTGTTACAAGCACTGACAATGAACTGTAAATTAATACATACAGCTGGGGCAACATACAGGGGCTGGGGAAGGAGGGTAGGTCAGAAACCTCTCGGGGGATTTTGAAGTAGCAACCCAGCTTTCAGATCACTCATTTTTGCTTCTTCTTGCAGCAACCTGACTGATGCCATCTCCAGAGCCCTTGACAATATTGGCAGAGTGCATGCCCGCATGGGCAACTTCCAGAACGCCATTGACACGTAGGTGGAACCCAAAGAAAAATAGTCAGGCCTCCATGCCTCTTGCATATTTAAGGATGGTCTCCTAACGCATCTGCCTCACCTTCATTCTGTAAACTGAAACAGCTTTTACTCTCATGGTTTCCTTTCAAGGGATTTTTGGAGTTGTAGCATTTGGAGAGGATGAAGGACCTTCAACAGCGGGTGGCCAGCCGCCCCACAAATGTGCTGCTCCTAAATCTTTTGAAAGAAGCAATGGCATACTTGACACACACACATCTTGACACACAGGGATGATTTTCTCCCATACTTCTGCTACATGAGGATGAAGGGATGGGAGTTTCGGGGGTTGGGTCACCTAGATTCTACAGAATGTAGAATCTAGGGAAGGGATTTCCCAAGGGGTGAGGGGCATTGAAAACTGTGAAGGTCAGGCAGGTACAAAGAATAGAAGGGTACAAATAGAGGTGCCATTAGTTGCCATCTCTCTCCCCCCCCCCATCCCACCAAGTGCCTTTTGTCTCCATCCCTGGCCTGCTGGGTACCAATTCTTAACTTGGGGATGGGAAATCTGTGGCTCTGCAGATGTTGCTGGTGTATAACTTCCCATCATCCCTGAGCCTCAGGGGGCCTGACAACCCTAAGTAGCATCTATAAGGAAATGGAAAGTTGGGGCCAAGGTCCTGTGGAGGGCTGAGTGCACTCTTAAACGGCTTTCGCAATGCATACCTGAAAGAGAGTCTCCACCCCCATCGTTCAGCCCGGACACTAAGATCCAGCTCAGAGGGCCTTCCGGCGGTTCCCTTATTGTGAGAAGTGGGGTTAAAGGGAACCACGCAGAGGGCCTTCTCATTGGTTGTGTCCACCCTGTGGAATGCCCTCCCATCAAATGTCAAGGAAATAAAGAACTATTTGACTTTTAGAAGACATCCCTTGTACAGTCATACCTCGGGTTATAGTCACTTCAGGTTGCGTTTTTTTCAGGTTGCAGACCGCCGAAACCTGGAAGTACCAGAACGGGTTACTTCCGGATTTCGGTGATCGCGCATGCGCAGAAGCACTAAATCACGCTTTGCACATGTGCAGAAGCACGGGATCGCAACCTGCGTGTGCACAGACACGCAGACATGGGTTGCGAACGCTGCAGGTTGCGAATGTGCATCCTGTACGGATCACGTTCGCAACCCGAGAGTCCACTGTATAGGGAAGTTTTTAATGTTTGATGTCTTACTGTGTTTTAATTTGTTGGAAGCCACCCAGCATAGCTGGGGTAACCCAATCAGGGAAGAAGCCCTGGTCTTGAAAGAGCCAGGAAAGCTACTCTTCAGACCTTAATTTTATTTCCACGGTTAGTTGCAAAATTCTGTTTTATTTCGAAAAGCTGGGAAGAAAAGATTCCACTTGTGAAGAGCAACCTGGAGAAGACTTGGCTGTTCCACGAAATGGGCAGGTGCTACCTGGAGCTCAACAAAGCGGCGGAGGCTCGGGACTTTGGCGAAAGGTCCTTGCAGTGTGCAGAGGAAGAAGGAGACATTGAGTGGCAGCTCAACGGCGGTGTATTGGTGGCACAAGCACAAGGTGAATCGCTTTGCACAAACCCTTTCTTCACTAGCAGGGTCAGTGTGAGCTCCACAAGGCTCTAGGGCCACTCCCCCCCCCCATAGGAGCAGGCTAGGCAATTGCCTGGAGTGCCAGGATCTAGGTGGGGAGGCTGTTTTCCTGAAAAAGAGAGCACATTGGGAGATGACTACTAGAGACAGCTTAGCATCTTGTCAGCTGGTTGTTGTTTTTTTAAAATCTGCATTTAAAGGGACACAATCTCTTATGGATTTCTGTTTGCTGCCTAGAGCATAGACACTTGTTCAAGAGGAAGTGGTGGGTGGGTGGGTGGGGAGTAGCATATTAAGAACAGAAATGAATAAATTATATTCTAGTCAATTCTGTTACACCTAAGGAAGTTAGATTAGCCTTAACCAGAGCCAGGGCCTTCTCAACACTGGCTCCGGCCTGGTGGAAAGCTCTGTCTCATGAGACCAGGGCCCTGCGGGATCTAATTTCTTTCCATAGGGCCTGTAAGACAGAGTTGTTCCACCTGGCCTTTGGCTTGGAATCAGTTTGATTCCCTCCCCCTTTCTTTTTCCTTTCTCCTCCTGTGAAGAAGCTGCATCCTAATGTTTTAATGTTGTATCTTAATCTTTTAAATTGTATTTTAATCAACTTGTTTTTATTATTGGTGTTAGCCGCCCTGAGCCCGGTCTTGGCTGGGGAGGGCAGGGTATAAATAAATTTATTATTATTATTATTATTATTATTATTATTATTATTATTATTATTATTACACTCCTCAGGACACCAGTGTTTGGATATGTTGTGCAAAATTGTTTTCATTTGACATGGGCAGCAAATAATTTGGCGGATCCAGAGTATAGAACTAGAATTCTCACTCAGACCTTGACATGCTGATGGGGGAAAAATTTTGAATGCTTTGGTTCTTGTGCCTCCAACCAAATGGAGCTTTGGACCAGGGCATGCAATTGCTGGGGTGAATGAGAGAAATCAAACAAAAACATTGTGTTGGATCCTGTAATGAGAATTATGCAAATGTCCATCCCCTGCTCCCGAGTTAAAAAGAAAAATCCTTTACAAAAATTTAGTTGTTTTTTTTAGTTTTGCCAATTTTTGCCCGGACACTGCTTCCGACAGCAGTATTCTGGGTATGTCTGGAAAATTCCGGATGTATGGCAACCCTATGGTATGGAATATTCACAGTCCAGGATTAAAATGCTGGTTTTATTTTGCTGAAGGAAACTAATGGTTGGACTAAATTATGCATATTTAAAAGTATGTATGCTTATATTGCCACCAACTAACTTAATTCACCGTATTTTTCACTCTATAAGACGCACCAGACCATAAGACACACCTAGTTTTTGGAGGAGGAAAACAAGGGAAAAAAAATCTGAATCTCAGAAGCCAGAACAGCAAGAGGGATCGCTGTGCAGCAAAAGCAGCAATCCCTCTTTCTGTTCTGGCTTCTGGGATAGCTGCGTAGCCTGAATTCACTCCATAAGATGCACACACATTTCCCCTTACTTTTTAGGAGGGGAAAAGTGAGTCTTATAGAGCAAAAAATACGGTAATTTGTTTACAGTGCCAAAGATGGTATCTAGAATATTTTTAGCAGGGAAGAGACTACATTGAACTGAGGTGTATAAAGTCCAGAATTTGTGGGTGCAAACTGTGTGGCCCTTTCCCAAATTGTATGAAGGTTCATGAATTTGCAGTTTAGGTTTGTGCCCAGTACAGTAGACGTTACACACCTAGTTCCTGTGCAGATATTGCATTCACATATCTGGAACATCAAGTAATGTAATATGTGTGCCCAGGGGTCGGGACAGGGGGGACAGGAAAGACAGGGATCCTACTTCCCAACCGCACTTCAGTGAGAGTCTGCACACATATAAATTTATTTTATTTGAGCCTTTATTGCTTCATCCTTAGGTCAACAGTAGTAAATGACAATCTCCCACCCCAGTAAAATAAAATGAAAGCAGATGGAATATCCTGGCGTTTGGGGACTGCATCTTACATTCCTTATTCTAGAGAGTTCCAGTAATCAACTGACAATATACCACATGTTTATTTGTATAAGTTTCTCTGAAGTCTATATCTTGTGTTGAAGTTGATTGTTTCTTGTTCTTCTTCTTTAAAAAAAACACACACACAGTGAAACTGGAAGATTTCCAGTCAGCAGTCACCTACTTTGAGAAGGCTCTGGAGCAGGCGAAACGTATCCATAACGTTGCTGCTATGCAGGCGATCATTATTGTAAGTGGTTGGCTATAACCAAGCGGGGGGGGGAGATGACATTAGCAAAAAAAGGGGGGCAGGGGGAGACCAAAGGGACCACTGTGGGGAGAGCAGGATATTTTGTGCATGTTGTTAGGTAAAGTACATTTATGTGGGAGTGAATTCAATAGTTTAATTGCATGCTATGCAATTAAAAAAACAAAGTACTTTCTTTTGTTGGTCCTGAATCTTTCATTGTTCAGCTTCACTGGATGTTCCTGGGTTCTAGTATTATGGGAAGGAAAGAAAAAGCTTCTCCTGAGACACACGGTGCATAATGTTATATATGTCTTATCATGTCCCCTCTTGTTCGTCTTTTCTCTAAACTAAAAAGTCCCAAATGTTGTAACCTTTCCTTCCAGGGCAGTTGCTCCAACCACTCTATCATTTTTTTGCCCTTTTCTGAACCTCTTCCAGCTCTATAATCTTCCTTTTGAAGTGTAGCTAACTGTACATAGTATTCCAACTATGGTTGTATGCACAGATTTGTATATCTGTGTTTTTTTATTGAGTATTGCTATATTCAGTATTGCAATACTGGCAGTTCTGTTTTCAATCCCTTCCAAATTATTCCTAGTATGGAATTCACCCTTTACACAACTGCCGCACACTGGGTGAATGTCTTCATAAAGCTGTAACCCCAAGGTCTCATTCCTTGTCCAGACCTCATGGGCATATATGTGAAATAAGGATTTTTTTGACTAAGTGTGCATCATTTTACACTTGCTTATATTGAATTGCATTTGCCATTTTACTGCCTGCTCACCCAATTTGGAGAGATCCTTTTGTGGTGTTTCTTGTCATTCCTGTAGATTCCTGTCCTGAAGAATTTGGTATCAGCAGCAGACTGGGCTATGTCATTTCTCACTCCTAAATCTAGGTCTAGATAATTGATATAGCAGTTAAGAAGCACAGACCCAAATACCCATCCTTGGGGAAATTCCACTTTCTACATCCTGCTAATGGGAGAACTGTCCATTTATTCCTCCTTTCTGTTTTCTGTTTCTTAACCAATTACTGATCCATAGGAGGATCTCTCCTCTTGTTCCATGACTGCTAAGCTTATTCAGGAATCTATAGTGTGGTACTTTTGTCAAAAGCCGTTTGATAATCTAAGCCAGGGTTTCCCCAACTTGGGTCTGTTTTTGGACTACAACTCCCATCATCCCTAGCTAGCAGGACCAATAGTCAGGGATGATGGTAAATGTAGTCCAAAAACAGCTGGAGGCCTAAGTTTGGGAAAGCTTGGGTCTAAGCACACAATTCAGCTGGATCACCTCTATATACTTCTGGACATATGTGAGTTATATAGAATCTTCTTGTTGAGCTGTAATATACCTCTGAATACCAGATGCTGGGATAAACTATAGGAAGAGATTGCCTTCATATTTTGCTTGTTGACTTTTCTTAAATATGTGGCTGGTCACTGTGGGAAACGGGATGCTAGACTGGACGGATATTTGGTTTGACCCAGCAGAGATATTTCTCTGATATAACAGCTATGCATTGGTTCTTGTATCTACAAAGGGGCCCCACATAATTCAAACAATATTACTGATTCATTTATTCCTCCCCAACCATAAATTACCTGACAGTTCATAGCCATGACACCTGCAATTCACTTGATCTGACAACAACTCACCTGACCCACCCTCATCTCTGCTACCCTTTTGCCATCTGCTGGGTTTCAGGCAACTAGGTTTGCGTTTTCAGGTGTCTCTCTTCTCTGTGTGAACCTCTTGAAGAAGAAGCAAAACAGAATTTCGGTCCTGTCCCCCACAAATAGTCCTATCTCATGGCAATGCCACTATATGCATATGGCAGTAGTGGGAAGAGAGACTGAGGCCTGACTCAAGTTTCCCATTGAAGATAGCCACCTTATTTTTGCAGGCACTGGATGAAGCCAACAAGGGATTCATCAAAGAATTGAAAGAAGAACAGAGGCTTGAAAGGATGCGTGAGTTGAAAGGTTGGTTCACATACCAAGCTGTGTACAGAGGATTTCAGGCATCCTATGCTCTGTCTTCATTTGCAGGGTGTATACACACAGACATGCTAACCAGCCGATTAAGGAGATTAACTGGGTCTGAAGTAATTTGGGGTGTTTGTACAGTGGTGGGCCCGGCATGTGGAGCACACTTTTAGAAAAACCTACAAGAAAATGTGCTTCATTCCAGAGTTTAAACCTAGAAAGTGTCAAAACACAGATTGCATCAAGAGCCTCCCTAGCACATTTTGAAGAGTAAAGGTAAAGGGACCCCTGACCATTAGGTCCAGTCGTGACCGACTCTGGGGTTGCGGCGCTCATCTCACTTTATTGGCCGAGAGAGCCGGCGTTCAGCTTCCGGGGCATGTAGCCAGCATGACTAAGCCGCTTCTGGTGAACCAGAGCAGTGCACGGAAACGCCGTTTACCTTCCCACTGGAGCGGTACCTATTTATCTACTTGCACTTTGACATGCTTTCGAACTGCTAGGTTGGCAGGAGCAGGGACCGAGCAATGGGAGCTCATCCCATCGCGGGGATTCGAACCGCCGACCTTCTGATCGGCAAGTCCATACCATTTCCCCAGGCATATAATCGTTGTGCTGTCAAATAAAGAAAAGAGAGGCAGATAAAGAAAACTAGTACTTAAAGCCCCATGCCCTGAACAAATGTTGATTACTTCAGGGGCAATTCATCATAAATCCCCCTCCACATTGTTGAAGCAATAAAATGGTGAAAACCTGAGAACAGGAAGCTTTTAATTAAAAGCACAAAAACCCTTAAAAAAAGGGAGAAAACCTCAGTAGCAGCCCATGTTGAAGAAACAGGCAGTGCAATTAGATTTTAATTTTAATTGGGGAAAAATAGCCACAAATCACCTCTTGAAAAACAGTAGGAGAATGAAAACTAAACAATAATACAGCAGTTTGGTAACCAGCTTGTCTGGACACTCTGCAAAAAGAAGTGAGTAAAGGATGGCAATTTCAAGGGAAAGGGCTAATGTGTAAACATCCTTAACCCATATAACCCATATGAATAAAATTCATCCAGATGTTTTGAAGTGTTGTATCAAGACTAACCTGTAGGTGGTAGCATTTCTCCAGTTTCCTCCTTGTTCTTATCCAGCAAATGGATAAACTCTCTCCTTTTGTTCTTGGCTAATCATAGGTTTTATAGGTTACTTGAGTTTAGCCTTAAATTTTACTGTTAGCGATGTACTCTGATATTAGTAGCCTGAGTGTCGTCCTGCATCCATTTTCTGGAATAATAAAAAAGAGAATTTTTGAGTCTGCCTTACACACCACGCTTCTCCCAACGCAGGAGTCTTCCACATCTCTATTCAAAGAGCAGTCACATTATATCAAGACACCGAGGAGAAGGCACACTATCTGTCTAAGCTCCTGCAGACGTTCTAAATGGGAAGCAAAACCCATTAACTGAGTCTCCCCATTGGCTCAGCCACAAAATTTGCTATGATTATAGCCTCAGGCAAACTGCTTTGTTGTCACAGTCTGTAAAATGGGGTGAATGCCATAAGACCATAAACTGCTAGGGTAGAAGCGAGCTAAGAAATCCTAGGGAGGATCTTCTCTGAGATTCCATTTCTTTCCCAGAGTTAGAAGATGAGGAGGAGGAGGAAGAAGAAGAAGAAGAAGAACAAGAGGAGGAGAAGAAGAAGGAAGATGCTGGGGCTGCAGACACAGGAGAGCGTACATCAAAAAAGCCAGAAGAGGAAAAGGCTGGGAAAACTGAAACTGAAGGAGAGAAACAGGTATCAGGCACGGAGGGCGGAGAGACAATTGCACCCAAGGATGGGGAGAAGAAGCAAGAGGAGGAGGAAGAAAAGTCACAAGGAGAAAGCGGGGGAGGAAGTCAGAAAACAGAAGACGACAACACAGGAAAGTCGGGTGAGAACATTCCAGGATGAGGCCTGTGGAAGCTTGCCCTTGGGAACTCTTGGTTTATAACTCTGGAAGTGTCTTTTCCATGGTGTCATCTGTTTTGCTCCAGATGTCTTCTCCCCAAGTCACTTCCGGTGCCTTCCAGGGCATTCAAAAATAACCATTTTGCTTTCAGGTAGTTTCAAGGGGGCTCTAAGAATGTAGAGAAAGTTGCCATTTTATGTAAGACACCCCCAAAAGCTACTGTTTAGGTAACTTCAGGAAGAAGGAACTGTTCTAACCATTAAAAAGCCTTCAAATGCTACCTGTAGTGATATATTTTGTTTTCACTGACCATCTCAAGCAACTGAGATTAATCTTAATTGCAAGCTAGATAACCGATTAGGAAAATCCTTCAATCAGTTAATGCCATAGTGCTAATGTAAGCAAAGGAACAAGAAACTTTTTTTTAAGATGCTGGGAAGAAGTTCAACTGGTTAGGGCCTGAGATTCACCTATAAATGCATGCCGGGAGTTATGCATTTAGGCATTCAACTGAGGGAAATACAGTAGGTAGTGGGGTTTTTTTTAATGTTACATTGAACAAAGGCCTCACGTTGAGATATGAGCCATTTCTGCTCGGTCTGGAGCGATGCAGTTCACCAGAGATATTTAGAAATCTAAACTTCAAAACATGCCTTTCTGTCCAGCATAAGTGCAGAAGTCACACTCTTTCTTCCACGTGGCCTAGCATATCATTGAGAAGTATACATATGTACACATGCATTGAAGTTTGCAAAAAGAGCTATTACTGTAAATCATGGCAATGGTGGGCACCTGGGTCCTTTCTTTTTGGCATGCTACTTCTTTGGCGTGAGTAGGGCAGTTGCAATTCTTGCGGGCATTCAAATGTTGCAAATGGAGGTGGTGGGAATGGAGGTCATAGATTTGTGTGGCTTTTCCTCATCTTGCTCCCCAAATACAAAAAGTTTTCAGAACTCCAGAATGCCTGCACCCTGCCCAAGTAATAACGGTGTAGGCTCTGCAATGGTGTAGACAATGGGCCACATTGTCTATATACACTGGTAGAAAACAGGCAGCACATTAATTAGATCGATATGTTCAAAGCCCATGCTAGCTAGGGCTGATGGGAATTGTAGTCCAAAACATCTGGATGGCACTAGATGTGTGTAGGGAGGAAAGCTGGTCTAGTAACCATCTGCTTAGAGAGACATCTCTTCAGACCATCTACCCACCTTTCTGCCGCAAATTAAACCATGCCATCTATACCGTAACATGTAGACTACAGGGGGAGAAAACACACACACACACACACACACACACACACACACACAGCAAAACTGTGAATGTCTTCCAGGTGCCTGTGGCAAGTGAAGGCACGCTAACATTTCCCTCCCGTTGGTATCCAACTACCCAGGGATAGGAAATGGGTAATTTCTTCATATATTAAAATATTCTTAGTATATTAAAGGTGCTGACTTTTAAGCCCTAAACGGCCTCGGCCCAGTATACCTGAAGGAGTGTCTCCACCCCCATCATCCAGCCCGGACACTGAGGTCCAGCTCCAAGGGCCTTCTGAGGTTCCCTCACTGCAAGAAGCGAGGTTACGGGGGACCAGGCAGAAGGCCTTCTCGGGGGTGGTGCCCACCCTGTGAAACACCCTCCCTTCAGATGTCCAGGAAATAAACAACTGTCTGACTTTTAGAAGAAGTTTAGGGAAGTTTTTAATGTTTGCTGTTTTCTCGTGTTTTTAATATTCTGTTGGGAGCCGCCCAGAGTGGCTGGGGAAACCCAGCCAGATGGGTGGGGTATAAATAAATTATTATTAGCCAAAGTCTGGTGGTTGTTGTTTTAAAGAATCAAAGTGCCGCTCAGGCCGTTTTAAGAGTTGCAAGATCATAAAACGTATATGAGAAAAGGGCAATTGGTATCACCAGTGAGGTTTGCAACAAAATCGTTATAGTGTATCTTCCTTAAAAAGCAGAGCCTCCCTTTCAGACCAGGATTGCACCCCATGTTTCTTTCCCAACCACCATCATCAAGCTTACATTACCAATCTACTAAAAAAAGTAAAATTCTTGATCTACTAAAGCGTGCTCGGTCCTTACTAGGCTGCTTTATTTTCTTGGGTCAGCACGACGAAGCACCGCCTTTGGGGCGCAACATTTTCGTAGGATGCCTCCCTTCCAATTTCTTCACGTTTGGCTGCAATCCTGGCTGGCTCTCCTCCTCCAGAGTTGCCTGGGGTGATTGCATTTCTTTCCTTCTCATGACCCCTGCTGCAAGGAAGAAAACATATCCCTCCCTCCCAGAGCCGGATTCAGGTTTGATGAGGCCCTAAGCTACTGAAGGCAACGGGGCCCTTTATATGTCCAGCTGTCCTTTGTCAACAACAAATTGTCACTGTTTTTTGTGTTGAATAGATGCTATATGGTAATTTACGGACCTAATAGGTATCTAGAGCCATTGCACCTGTTGCCATGCAACCAGACCGTGCAGAATGTAGGCACCCTCTAGAGTCATACCTCGGGTTACAGATGCTTCAGGTTGCGTTTTTTCGGGTTGCAGACCGCCGAAACCCGGAAGCACTGGAACGGCTTTCTTCCAGGTTTCAGCGGTCGCGCATGTGCAGAAGCACAAAATCACGCTTTGCGCACGTGCAGACATGCCGAATTGCAACCCACGCTTGCGCAGATGCGGTGCTGCGGGTTGTGAATGTGCATCCTGCACAGATCACGTTCGCAACTCGAGCGTCCACTGTATATACAAAGGAGCAAAGCAGTGATATTTTAGGGAGCAGGCTAGCAGGCTGGGCCCATGACTTACCGTACATCACAGAAGCCTACACAAAACAAAACACTGTTGCTTTATGTAGGTTTTATTTTATTTGCTTTTCATCTTATGTTTTGGAAATGTACATCCAGCTTTTTTCCCCCCTTTAAATGTTTTTGGGGGCCCCAAGAGAGTGGGGCCCTAAGCTATAGCTTGTTTAGCTTATACGTAACCCCTACTTCTTCCTTTCGGCGGCTCCCGAAAGTATTTTTTTAAGCGGGGTTTCCGCAGGAACCTGCAGCCAAGCGGCCTCTGGGGGGCAGCCCGACCCGCGCTCCGCTTCCGCGCTCTTGCGCCGCGCCTTCCCTCCTGTCGTGCCAGGCAGGGACTCGGGGAGGGCGTGGCTTGCTCCTCCTCCCCTCACTCCCGCCTCGCCCCCCCCCCGGGTGTATGAAAAGCAGCTGCGCGGGGGCTCCGTCCCTCTAAACGCAGGCGAAGTCCATTAAGCCGTCTTGCACCTTCCCGAGGCGTCGATTCCGCTGCGTCCGGGACCCTCCGCTCGGTGGCGCTGCCATGGTGAGTGGGCTCGTCGTCCTGGGGCGGGAGGGGGGCGGAATGAAGGGGCTCCTAGGCGGGAAACGAAAGTGTGGGGAAGCGGGCGGAGCAAAGGGGCGAGAGGCGCGCGCGCGTCTCCGGGTCTGCAGCATCAGCATCAGCTGGAGGGAAAAATGAGACTTTGTCCCCTGACAAAAGCTTTGAGTTTGCCAGGTGCTCAGTAGGTCAAGCGCCCCTCCTTACCTGTTGGGTTTCTGCCTGCCCTTGTGCTTGTCAGGGATATAAGGGACCAGTCCTAAGCGTATATAGACAGGCAATAATAATAATAATAATAATAATAATTTTTTATACCCCGTAGGGATAGCCTCCTTCTTTCATTGTCTTGGGCTTGGGGGGGGGGTGGCTTGTAGACTTTTTTATTTTGGGGGGAATATTCTCAAGGTTGTTCCCCAGAGCTGTGGGGGGGGGGGAATGGTAAGATGGGTGTGAAGTGAGGACCAGTTTTAGACTTTAAATGATAACAACAATAGTTTTATTATAATGAAAATTTATTATTTATACCCCGCCCATCTGGCTGGGTTTCCACATGGGCGGCTCCCCACAGAATTTCAAAAACACGATAAAACGTCGAACGTTACAAACTTCCCTAAGCAGGGCTGCCTTCAGATGTCTTCTAAAAGTCAGATAATTGTTTTATTTATACCCCACCCATCTGAACGGGTTGACCCAGCCGCTCTGGGCGGCTTCCAGCACATTTGAAAGCACAATAAGAAGTCAGACATTGAAAACTTCCTGAAACAGGGCTGCCTTCGGATGTCTTCTAAAAGATGTGTAGTTCTTTATCTCCTTGGCATCTGATGGGAGGGCGTTCACCCTTCTGCATGCAGGTCACCCAGACCACTTCTGTATGGGCTGGGGCGAGTCCGGGAGGCATATTGTCAGAAATACGTTTTTCAATATGCCACACTTTTCCTGGCAGTGGCTGATGTGTGGCAACACTCTACAGGGGCATGGAGCATTTCCCCAAGTACTTTTGATTTGTTTTCTGGCATAAGCTACAGCATGAGCCTCATTTTAGGGGAAAAGGAAGGTAGAGGGAGATGGGCCTGGGCAGTGGATGACAGACACTTGTGGAAGTTAACTTCTGGGGGACAGGTCTCTGAGCATAGGAAGAGAGCCCTGCATTTGTCGCGTGGCTTTAAAATTCACCTGTGCAGGGTGCGTTTTGCAAGGACGATAAGGCATCCCTTTTCAGACAGATTTATGGCCAGTGTGGGGGCCTTTGTCAGGTTTGCAACCATTATGAATGACAGAGCTGGATACGGAATATACAACTGATTTTGTAAGAGACTTTGTCAGCCTCAGATGCAAGCTACATGGAGATTGGTTTCTCCTGGTGACGGACATATGTTCACTTAAACTCTCTTCGGTTTCACAAAACTCTTCATGGAGCATGGTGGAGAATGCCAACTCAACTTAAGGAAAAGAAAACATCAGTTTGCAAGAGAAAACGTCAGTTTACATGGGTTGTTCCTCCTCGATTTAGTTGGAGTTGTATTCTGTTGCTTCACAGGTGGGGTGTAATTTTACACTACAGCTGATGCTTTTGGGGGGGTTTGTTTAGGGGGAAGTTTACTATTTTTTCAAAAAGTAAAGTTGGAAATACCCTGTGAGTAGTGGTGAAAATGCTCTAAAATATGAGGAGGGGTGAGGAGAGCATACTTATCCCCACCAAAGTTTGAGATCCCCTGCAAAGTATGAGATTTTAAACTTTTTTTCTCTCTCTCTTTTTTGCATCAGCACCTAATGTTTATGAGGAAGGTACATGCCCTTCTTGGCTGCCTAGGCTGTCATTCACTATTTACAAGCATCTCCTCCAAGTTGTTGGTGCAACCCCTTGAACCAGCTTTCCACACCCCATTTGTTCTCCCTTCTTCATTCGACAGCAAATGCCATTTTGCATGAGGAATGCTAACTTTTTTGCAGCCTTTCCGAGAACGCTATGCACTTGCTTGGCTTATATTGGGCACGCAGGAGGCAAGAGAGTTCTGCGACACTTCCTTTCCACCTGTAAAACCCTGGGGGAACAGGAAGAAATTTGAGATATTTTTAGAGAAGCAGTTTGCTTGGAAACAAAACTAGGGTGCTTTCCCTCACCAACGAGCAACTCATTAAACAAAATTATTTTCAGGGTGGGTTTTTTTTTGGTGTACATCTGGAACCAAACTCTTTCACTGACATAGCCTAGTTTTAAAAAACTCTACCCCTCCTTATTTGTTGAAAAACCAGTGCATTTTTATATTGTTTCAAAACAATAAAACAGCAATTTACAGCTAAAGAAATTGGGGGGGGGGGAGCATTTGCTCTATATTTAGGCTTATGACGAAGCTTTGTTTTCTTGTTTTTATCTAAAGCACACAAACAGCTGGATTAGAAAATCTCTCTCTCTGTCTCTCTCTCGGCACATGCTCAGAACAGTTTATTGTTCCATGAGTTTTTTCAAATTTGGGTGCAGGTACCCTGAGAAGTCATCAGTGTTCTTAGAAGCTCTGGGTTTGCTCTAAAAACCTACCACTTACTGCTTTCATTTTTTTAAAAAAAATGTTCAGATCTGTTTGTTTAGAAAATTATTGCAAACCTTTTCTTTCTCCACTCAATCCCACTTCATTCTGCTTGCATATTTGTGGTCACTGAACGTGCCAATAGTATTTTAGGCAAATGCAAGACAGATAAACATTCTGCATTCCAAACTGGTCCCAGAAGAAGAAACAGCCTGTTATGGGTTGTAGCGCTACAGAGTCCAATTTAGTTTTCCATTTTGGTGAAAGAAAAAGAGTGCCTACTTTTTATCACATTCCTTCTTGATTGGACTATAGGTTATCCTGAACCAAGCACATTGACCAATCTGATGGCAGGTGCACTTTTACCGAATTTAAATGCAGGGCAATTTCAGTTTTACAACCTAAATAAAGTATTTACTTCTTAATGTGACACGATTTTAAATTACATGCCCACAGGGAAGCTGATCAGCGTTGTTTCCATGTTCTGTTCTGAGCATGCCTTTTGATTGGAGGAAGCCCAGAGCATGAGTCATGTGAGGATGGGTCATTCTGGTGCATCTCCGTATTAAGGCACTGAATGCTCCTATTGTCTGCAAGGCAGAGATGGGGCAGAATTGTCTGTCCCTCTGTAGAGGCTGATTGGAAGGAGGCAAATCCAGACCAGTGACTCATACAGAGACACATCAGGCAGCTTCTGCTCAAGGCAGACAATTCCACTGTATCACTCCATTGGGAATGACTGATCCAATCACACTTGGTGCAGAGGCGAGGCCAGAGTAGCAACTCACACCAGACACACACACACACACACACACACACACACGATCCTGTGTGGAACTGCCAGCTTAGAGGCAGCCATTACATTGTTTTAAAGAATAAAAACAGCATATGGTGGCACAGATTACTCCAGTCCTGTAAAATTCAGGAGTCAGCAAACTTTTTCAGCAGGGGGCTGGTCCACTGTCCCTCAGACCTTGTGGAGAGGCTGGACTATATTTTGAAAAGCAAAAAAAGAATGAATTCCTGTGCCCCACAAATAGCCTAGAGATGCATTTTAAATAAAAGGACACATTCTACTCATGTAACACACTGATTCCCGGACAGTCTGCGGGCCAGATTTAGAAGGCGATTGGGCCAGATCCAGCCCCCGGGCCTTAGTTTGCCTACCCATACTGTAAATAAATGGCTTCCCCTCCTGTTTGGCAGGGTGAGACTCTTGCCACAGGCGGCAGATCTGAACCCAAGGTGTGTGCCATGCTTGCCATGCCTGTGGTGGTGTGAGTACAGGAGGGGCAAGGGCATGGAACTGTGGTGAGATGGCAGCAGTAGCAGGGGGCGATAGGGCATTGTGCTTCAAGTGGCAAAATGCCCTGGGCTGGCCCTGTGGCTTAGGGATGGGTCTTAGGTGCCACAGGTGACCAAATGTGGCTATATACAAATATAGGGCGAATATGGAGAAATGTGCCTAGAGAAGACCTTGTTGACAGATTAAGAACCATCAGATCTCTGGCTCCCGATAGTACCAACCCAAGAGGTTTTAAGAAACAAATAAGATGTTGCTGATCTTTTAAGAAAAACATGCAACCTCTCCTGAAAATCAGCCTCTATAGCTGAAGGCTGCAAAGTAACTAATGCAAGACTATTTTCTTAAAAAAGGCATCTGGGAAATTACAGGCCAGCTAGCAGAAAGCGTGATTAAGGATAGAATTGCCAAGTGTATAGAACAAGCCTTACTGAAGCAGAACCAGCATAGCTTTCTATCTAATCTTTTAGATTAATTTGAGAATGCCAGTAAGCATATGGATAGGTGTGATCTAGCAGACAATGTGCGTTTTGACTTTCAGAAAGCTTTCAGTAAAGTTCTTCGCCTAGAGGCCAAGGGCCCAGTCCTGGGGGGCACAAAAATCACCTATCAGACTATGGGATTTTGACGTATGCTGTTATGGTGAGATCAAACACAGAAGAAGCTTCCTGTCCTTCTCACACCGTGGCACAAAGGCATGTGGTAAAGCGATTTTTCCTCTTGGGGAGTGCTGCAAGGGACCCTATGTACACCTCTGCCTTCACCAAAGACTCCAGAGTCAGTGTAGCAGTCATGGAAGAAGAGGAGAGATCCTTTTGTAGATCAGTAACTGGTTAAAGTTTAGGACGCAGAGAGTAGGGGTACATGGATGGTCCTCTCAAGGGAGGGCTCTAAGATGTGGGGTCCCCCTATCACTGGTATCGGTACCTGTGCTTCTTATCTTGTTCATAAACAATTTGGACCGATGGGTGAAACATTACATAGCCGAGCTTGCGGATGGCACCAAATCGTTCAGGGTGGTAAGAATAAAAAGAAGATTCTGACGAGCCTAAAATGAGTATCTCCAAACTGGGTGGATGGGTGTTAAAATGGCAGATGTGAGTCGACGTAAGCAAGTGTAAGGTAAAGGTAAAGGGAGCCCTGACCATTAGGTCTAGTCGTGGCCGACTCTGGGGTTGCGGCACTCATCTCGCTTTATTGGCCAAGGGAGCCGGAGTACAGCTTCCGGGTCATGTGGCCACCATGACTAAGCCGCTTCTGGCGAACTAGAGCAGCGCACGGAAACGCCGTTTACCTTCCCACCGGAGCAGTACCTATTTATCTACTTGCACTTTGATGTGCTTTCGAACTGCTAGGTTGGCAGGAGCTGGGACAGAGCAACGGGAGCTTACTCCGCCGCGGGGATTCGAACCGCCGACCTTCCGATCAGCAAGCTCTAGCCTCTGTGGTTTAACACAGAGCAAGTGTAAAGAGGGCAATAAATGGGGCAATAAATCCTGACTTCACATATACATTGACGGGGTCTGAACTGACTCATCTTGGAGTCACTGCACATTTTTATCGAGCTGTGAAATACTGTGCACTACCTCCATCCAGTCTTGGAGGCTGTTGCCCAGGTGCGGAAGTAGGGAGAGAGCTATTGTGTTTGTGTTCTGCTTTTGGGGGAGCTTTTCATCCTTGAGAAAAGGGTGCTGGATTAGAGGGGAGGTAGGTTCGATCACATTTTAAAAAGGCTTGCTGGTGGATCATGCGTGAACAGGAGTCAACCAGTAACCAAAAATGAAAAACACATCACTCAGCAATTGGCAAAAGTAGAAAGCAATCTTGTGACAACTTGTAAGAAGAAACTAGCATCCAACTTTCCATTTGATGTTCGCAGTTTTCATTTGGCACAGAATGAAGAGCTTGAAGTCTTCTTCTCAGTGCACTTTTTCCTCACACAGAAGTGTCGTAGACCATTTCGGCTCCTGGTGCCTTTTTCTGTTGTTTCCCTTATTTCGCTGCAGCTTTTCAATCTCGGTTCACCTTGAATACTGTGAGTAGCAGTTTGTACTGTAGACCCTTCAGTGGAATGTGGAAAATGTGTTGTGTAGGAGGTATCTCTAGTAGTTACTTATGATCCAGCTGTTTCTTAGAGGGTTTGTAGGAGCAGGCTTCAATTAATTTGGACGTCTCTTTGGTAAGTTTTATTCACTGAAATCAGCTACACTTAAATTAGTTGTGTGTCCCATTTATTTTAGTTGCATGGACTTCAGTGGGCTTTCCAACAAGGATTGCTAGATATGAATCCAGGCCGTTGTATATTATTATATGTACACAGCATTGGGTTTGATCGTAGAGAAGGTGCTTAAAAAATTTATACCGTTAAAACGATACTGATTTGTAATGCAGGGACTTATAAGGCAGTGGTTTTGGCTTGTATGACAGCGCAGGGCCATTGCATTGCAGTCGTCGTCGTCTTCTTTTTGCATTGCAGGACTGGGAACTTGGGTTCCCAACAAATATGACAATTATCTGCAGTCTGTAATGTAAAGGTTGTGGGGGCTGGGGGAGCTAGCTAAGCAGCTGTGCCCTCCTTGCTATTTGGTCCCTCCCTTATTGCTTGTCGGTGTGGTGCGGTACAGGGAAGGAAAGTGAGGAGGGGGCCTGTTTTGTGCAGAATGGGACAAATTGTTCCGCACTGGAAAACCATCCAAGTTCTCCTCTTTAGACTGGCTTGTGTGGTACCATTGTCCTTGCCTCCTCCCCCTCATTTTTAACACAAGCATTTATTATTTCAGTTTCACTTGCAAAACAATTGGTGCTCACAGTGTATGCCCTCCCACCCACAATTATTGTTTTGTTTTGTCTTCTGTGTGTGTTTTTTTAAGCCATTGTTAACCGCTGTTCCCCAGGCAGCTGTTTTTGTCAAAATAGTGCAATAGCTACTCAAACGCCCTTGTATTGACCAAACACAGGCAGCATCTTCAATGTGTCTTGAAACTGGACACAGGAACAGAGATGGCTTTTCTTTTCCCCTCACATTGTAATACGAGTCTTAGTCGACTTGTGCCGCTTGGTCTTCCCTGCTTCTGAGTCAACAAAAGTAGTGAATGGTTTATCCCTTTGGCTGTAATAACTACTTTGATAGTCATTAAGGCGTCACAGATGCCTTGTTTATCTTCAAGGATCTGGGAGACATGTAGTTATAGAATTGCTGAGCTGGAAGGGACCTCTAAGGGTCATCTAGTCCAACCCCCTACAATGCAGGAATATCAACTCACACATCCATGAGAGATGGCCATCCAACCTCTGCATAAAAACCTCCAAGAAAGGAGAGTCCGCAGCCTCCTAAGGGAGACTGTTCCACTGCCTGACAGCTGTCTTACTGTCCTTCTTGATGTTTAGTCAGAATCTCCTTTCTCATAACTTGAATCCATTGGCTCAATTCTTGCCCTCCAGAGCAGGAGAAGACCACATTGCTCCATCTTCCATGTGACATCCCTTTAGACACTTGAAGATGGCTATCCTGTCTCCTCTGTCGCCTCTTTTCCAGGCTAAACGTACCAAACTCCCTCAACTGTTCCTTATTAGGCTTGTTTTCCAGACACTTGATCATCTTGGTCTTCCTCCTCTGTACACGTTCCAGCTTGCCAATACAGTGGTACCTTGGGTTACAGACTCCGCTAACCCAGAAATAGTATCTCAGGTTAAGAACTTTGCTTCAGGATGAGAACAGAAATTGCGTGGCGGTGGCAGCGGGAGGCCCCATTAGCTAAAGTGGTACCTCAGGTTAAGAACAGTTTCAGGTTAAGAACGGATCTCCAGAACAAATTAAGTTCTTAACCCGAGGTACCACTGTATCCTTCTTTAATTGTGGCACCCAGAACTGGACACAGTATTCCAGGTGTGGTCTGACTGAGGTAGAATAGAGCGGTACTATTAATTCCCTTGATCGAGACACTATATTTCTACTGATGCAGCCTAGAATAGCATTAGCTTTTGTGCTGTTGCTGCATCACACTGTTTACTCATGTTAAGCTTGTGGTCTGCTAAGGCCCCTAGATCCTTAAATTGCAATCTCAACCCCCTGATAAAGGCTTCTAAAAGCTTGCTTTGGTGGTTGTGAAACAACTGTGTGTAATGTCTCTGAAATTCAGAAGAGCAGGAGTGCCTTCCAGGTGTTGCTGTTGCAGTATCACTCCCATCATCCCTGGCCATCAGCCATCTTGGCTGGGACCAGTGGGGACTGGATATCGGACATCTGGGAGCGTCAGGTTGGCTACTCCTTCTTGCTAACAGCAGCACCCAACTTCTAACAGCTTAAGACTCACTCTACCTCTTTCCATCTCTCTTCATCCTGCATCTTCTCTCAAACTCTGCACCCAGCTTGTGGGTTACCACCTTTGTTTTCTGCTTCCGTCGCCCATGGCAGAACCGGCCCCGTGGCATTTTTGCTGCCCGAGGCTGAACATCAACCATCACTGCACCCCGCCAAGTCATAGCCTATTAGCCAAGTTATTTTAGTACCTGAGCCAGAAAAATCCCACAAGTGCCTCTCCCTAGGAATTCCAAGACAGTAATAACCAATTAAGTAACAATGTGTTGTCTGAGGCAGCTGCCTCCCTCTGCCTAAAGGTAGAGACTGGCTCTGCCAAGGACTCGGCACACCTGGGGAAGCCTGTTTTGTTTGTTTTTTTGCTAAAGCCGGCTGCTTCTGCAAATTCTCTTTGAGCCATGATCTTTCTCTCTGGTCAGGCCCACACCTTTTGCTCCTCTGCCCTCTCTCGTCGGATTTTTGCCTGCTCTGCTCATTTAGCTTAGGGACGTGGGTGGCGCTGTGGGTTAAACCACAGAGCCTAGGGCTTGCCAATCAGAAGGTCGGCGGTTCAAATCCCCGCAACAGGGTGAGCTCCCGTTGCTCGGTCCCTGCTCCTGCCAACCTAGCAGTTTGAAAGCACGTCAAAGTGCAAGTAGATAAATAGGTACCGCTCCAGCGGGAAGGTAAACGGCGTTTCCATGTGTTGCTCTGGTTCGCCAGCAGCGGCTTGGTCATGCTGGCCACATGACCCGGAAGCTGTACGCTGGCTCTCTCAGCCAATAAAGCGAGATGAGCGCCGCAACCCCAGAGTCGGCCATGACTGGACCTAATGGTCAGGGCTCCCTTTACCTTTACCTTAAGCATCAAAATTCTGCACCGAGAAAAGCTGAACTTGGCAGGTTACACACTGCACACACTGAGAAATGTTCTTATTCTGCTTATTGCAGGAAGGGGGTAAAGAGGGCTGTGTGTAGGGTAGGACTTTCACTACCATTCAGCCCCGTTTTGAGTTTGGCCATTTCACCAGGCTTCACAGTGGGAAACTGAAGACCGCGGTTTTTTAAAAAATGGCCAATGTTTGCACAGAATCTGCCCAACTCTGCTGGTACTGTGGTCTATCTTCTCAGGGGTTCCTCTCCCTTCTTCCAGCCTTTGCACCACCTCAATACATTTGTCACACAGCACCAGTCATAAGATAGGGACGTCAGTGGTGCTGTGGTCTAAACCACAGAGACTAGGGCTTGCCAATCAGAAAGTCAACAGTTCGAATCCCCGCGATGGGGTGAGCTCCCGTTGCTCGGGCCCTGCTCCTGCCAACCTAGCAGTTCAAAAGCATGTCAAAGTGCAAGTAGATAAATAGGTACCACTCCAGCAGGAAGGTAAACGGCATTTCCGTGCACTGCTCTGGTTCACCAGAAGCGGCTTAGTCATGCTGGCCACATGACCTAGAAGCTGTACGCCGGCTCCCTCGGCCAATAAAGTGAGATGAGCGCCGCAACCCCAGAGTCGGCCACGACTGGACCTAATGGTCAGGGGTCCCTTTACCTTACCAGTCATAAGTCCTTGCCTTCACACCAAAGTATCTCTTTGGGGAAGAAAAAGAGAGAGGTTGTGTGTTAATGGTCACACTTGAGAGAGCCAGCTCTTCTCTCGCTTCCTCTGCTGCTTGTGGGGACAGCGAGTATTTTGCATCTTCAGTTTCATGCCATTTTTCGTTTGTTTTAAGCTTCTGAAGAAGGAAACTTTGAAACGGCATGCCCTCTGCCACAGCTGATGCTTCTGGGTGGGAGAGCCTGAATTGCTTGTGCTTGCATGCGTGTATTGATCGAGGGAGGGAGAAAGCGGGTTACCTCGTAAACTGGATCAGGCCAAAGGCCCATCTTCCTTTTGCCCATCCAGATGCCCATGGGAAGCCCAGAAGCAGGGCTTTCCCTACCTGCGATCCCAGTCAGCTGGTATGCAGAACCATACTTCTTCTGACACTGGAGGGGAGAACGCAGCCAATGTGGGTGATCGCCACCGATATCCTCCACAAACTTGTTGAGCAATCACTTCCTGTTGTGGGAACCAATTCCCTAGTTCAGGGTTTCCCAAACTTGGGTCTCCAGCTGTCGTTGGACTGCAACTCCCACCATCCCTAGCTAGCAGGACCAGTGGTCAGGGATGCTGGGAACTGTAGTCCAAAAACAGCTCATTTCTCCATCTTGCTTTACTGGCAGGAGGCAGGGAAACACTGAACATGCAACGCACCATTTTCATGGTTTGTTACTAGGGAAGATTTTGGCAGCCATACAGCCCACCCCCTGGTAAAAGCCACTTAGGCCGCAAGACGATATGGGGCTGATCAGAACTTGGATGCAAGGTGCTCTCTAGAGGAAGATTAGTACATAAATTAAAGGTATTTGTGGCATGAGGTTCTGTAGGCCTCAAGAAACGTTCGTCTTCAAAAGGTGCCATAGGGTGTGTGGTTCCCTCCCCCCCTTTTCCCCTACAGCAGATTAACAGGGCTGCTGCTTCTGGAATGCACCATGTTCTTAGCTGACATAATAGCATCATTTAAAAGCCATCACTGGGCCATTTGTGCCCATCTGAATAGCCCAGCAGCAGCAGCAGCAACAAAAACAAAAATCCCCTCTCTGGTTCAGACTGAAAACAGTGGCCCTATTATTGAGGGCCCAAAGATGGTATCTCTCTCTGGAATGTTCCGGCTGAACTGCGCACAACTATTCCTTTTCTTTCCCTTCCCTTCCAGAACAAAGGCTTCGGCCGGAAGAGCCACACGTTCCTGCCCAAGATATTTAGGAAAATGTCTTCCCAGCCCAAGGAGCGCCCCGAGAGCTTGCAATTCCCTTTCCTGGACGACAACGACACCATCGCCACCATCCGGGAGTCGAAGACGTTGTTCATTCTGCGGGGCCTGCCCGGCAGCGGGAAGTCCACTTTGGCGCAGGCCATCCACGACAAGTACAAAGATGCTTGCAAGGTCATCTCCGCTGACAACTACAAAATCCAGCCTGCTGTCCGGAGCGCCATTCCCGACGACTACAGCAAGGTCGACGAGGACCTAGGCGACTACTGCAAGCGTGACATCAGCGTGCTGGTGGTCGACGACACCCACCATGAGAGGGAGCGCCTGGATCAGATCTTCGACATCGCCGACACCTTCCGCTACCAGGTCATCATCGTGGAGCCCAAGACGACGTGGAAAATGGATTGCTTGCAGCTGAAGGATAAGAACCAGTGGAAACTCTCGGCAGACGAGCTCAAGAAGCTGAAGCCCAGTTTGGAAAAGGATTTCCTTCCCTTGTATTATGGGTGGTTTTTGAGCAAAAGGAGCTCAGAGAACTTGCGGAAGACCGGGCAGGCATTTTTGGACGAGCTTGCCAGTATCAAAGTCTTCAGAAAGGAAGCTAAGCACTGTGGGTCCCCCCAAAACATGTTTGGCTTTTGTGTCAGATTTGCCTTCTACTAACTAACCCACGAGACCTGGCTTTCTACTAGTTGAGCATAAGATAAGCAATTTCTATCTAGCTCCCATGTTGTTTCCTTTGAGGTTAATTGATGGTACCCTATACCTGTTCAGCAAACTCTCTCTTTTTTAAGATATCCAAGTTTCCAGTTGTCCTGTTGACGAGAAAGCTCATTACCCATTTGTGCCGCACCCTGTTGAATCCAATAATTACTGAATCATTTGGGGAAACAAAAGGAATTATGCAGAATCAATACTCTGTTAATTCTGAGTGAATATTGTTAAGGGAGACACTGGTGCAGAACCCACAAGTTCACCCTTCGAGAATGTTCTGTGTGCTGCAGGTTTGGGGAACTTGTGCAGTCCTCTTGAAGTTGCTAGAGCTCAACTCCCATCATCCCTAGCCCTTGGCCATGCTGACTGCGGCTGATGGGAGTTGTAGTCCAACAATATCTGTAGGAGCAAACATTCCTCACTCTTGCTGTGAACGAAAGGGTTCTGTTCTAACATCTAAAGCACTTAGATGTTGTGGGCCACTGCCTAATCCTGCCCATGTTCCCTGAGCTCCTGCCTCCAAATATGCACCCATGTTACCAATAAGACCAGCCCCTCTTCCCCATCCTACAATAGCAGCAGCCTCCCAATGGCTGCAGGGACCCCCAGTCCATCTTCGTTAAAGACGCTGCCAAGAAATCAGCCCCCATTGGGGAGTAGCAGGGGATCTCCTTCCCGCCTCTCCTTCGCTTCAGCAGTTCTGTTTTGAGGCGTCTCAGTGTTCTCCAATGTTTGGTTTCGGGAGGCTGTGCAGAAAGCTGCTCACGTTCACTCCTGGATCAAATCTATAGGCAGGCTGTGGGTGTTACGAGCCAGAAACAAGCTTTAGGTTGCACTATGGAATATCAAGTCCCAATTATCTTTTTTTGCATTGTATATCCCAAAATAAGTTAGTTCTGCCCTAGGGAAAGCCACCGCACTGTGCTAGAATGAATCCTCTAGCATCCTCCCTCCACCTCTGTGCCAGAGTAGTGGAAAATTTATGGCACAAGCTGGGACCAAGGAGAGCTGCCACTGTCACCACCACCAGCTGTAGAAGTGCCATGCTGGGCACCTGCATGGTCATAGACTCCTAGAATTGTAGAGTTGGAAGGGACCCCATGGGTCATCAGGTCTTAAGCCCCTGCAATGCAGGAATCTCAACTGAAGCATCCCTGGCACATGGCCACCCAACCTCTGCTTAAAAAGCTCCAATGGAGGAGAGTCCACCACAAAAGTCTACAAAAGAACCAGAGTGCTCGTCGCAAGGACTATGCAGCTCATCCACACTGCCTTCCCTGTGCAGGGCTTATGACACTCTGGTGCTTGCCAACCTAGTAGCAAAGTAGGATCTTACGAACAGGATTGGGTGGGGCCTCCTGGCTTGGAAGAACTTGGCTTTCTAGCTTGATGGCAGAAACAGAAGCCCTGTCCAAAGCCTGACATGTCTGGACCCTTGGCTACATAACACCCCACCCCATTGTGGACCAAGAGCAGGTGAATTGCGCAACCTGTGCCTGTAGGTTAGGTAACTTTTCCCATGTGCATAACTTGTACATGATGCACAGATTCTGCTACTCGCATGGAGGGCAGAGCAGCTCTTCAGCACCACCTGAGTTTGGACCACTGACAAATCCATGTTCTCTCCCAGCAAATCTTTTGTGGTTTTGGGCAGCCATTGCCCCATTTGCTTTCAAAACATAGAGTCTCTCAGGTGGGGTAGGGAGGCAGGCCCTTTGGACCACAGAACCACGCAAAATGGATGGGTTGAGGCTCTTTAGTGATTCTTACTTCCTTTTGTTTAATGAAAGCCAATATTTCATGGATGTTAAATGCTATGTTTTTTCCCCTGTGTGCGCATGGGATGTTTCAACATATGTGCCACACAGCCCTACCCAAAAGGGAATATTTCCCATCCATTAGCCACCCTCTATTTCCAGGAACAGGGCACCTTTAAATGTGCCACAACTGGCAAGTCATCTTAAAGATGTTCCCCAGTTACTGGCATCAAATTGCCCCTAATGAAGCCAACCCAGCTTGGTGGAATGCACTCTCCAAGTTTACCACCGCATTCCTAAGCTAAGCTGCAGCAACACTTGCAGTTAGAAAGTTAGCACCCACATCTTGGTTAAATCTTACGAATGTCGTTTCTGCATCTACGCAGTGCCCTTGCCGTACTAACACATTCAGTCTGCTTTCCATTTGGATCCCTAAGAAATGATAAAATGATTTGGACAATGCTACTTAAGGAGATAGCCTGCATTGGCAAGGCTACCAAGACTCCACGTGCCACAGATTCCTTGGCTAGCAGGCTGCATCCCTTGTTCTCCTCCTCCATTGTAACGTCTCTGGAATTACAAACACTGCAATACAACATAGCCAGCTAGCAGGTGTCTTCACCCCTACAAATGGCAGCCCATGAAGCTTGATCGGGGTGGAGAACCGTTGACCTTCCAGATGTTCTCAGGCTCCTAACTCCCAAGAGCCCCAGCCAGCAGGGCCCATGATCAGGGATGATGGGGAATTGAAAGTCTGATATTATCTGGGGGTGGTGAGTGGGGAGCACAGCTTCCCACCCCTCTTCTAAACATTATCCAGGGGGCAGATGGTGTAAGCTGCTGCTTTTGTCAACAGCCACACTGCTCCTGCGAATGTGCACTTACGGCCAAAAATGCTCATCCATGCTGAACTGTTTGAAGTTGACCCCTTCCACAGTTGTGTCCCCACTGCATATTAATTCTTTATTGCATTACCAAGACTTAGCAAGGGCTGTGCTTAAACACTTTAGGCACCTGGCCTCCAAGCAGTGATTAAAAACTGCGAGAAATTTAACATAACTAGACAGCTGCAGTTTTCTTTTTCAAAAAATTAAATTTATATTAAATTTTACAAAAATGTGTACGTTGCATGTGTATAGTGTATAGTCTTAATCAAATGCCAGTATCTGGTTTCAGTATATTACCTGGTCTATGGAAGTTCTAAAAATTAGCAAAGGGAGAGCCAGATCTTGTTAATGCCCACTCTTTTCCAGCTTTAAACTAACCCTGCACATTGTCCTAAGTAAAAGAATAATAATACCGTATTGGCCTGAATATAAGCCTCACTTTTTTCTCTCCAAATTTTGATGCTGAAAAGTTAAAGTGCGGCTTAAATTTGTGACCTTCGAAAAATGGCTTTTATGATATCGCTGCTGAAACAGACATACGGTAAAACAGAATGGGTGTGAGTGTCTGCGGAATTTTAAGGGAGTGGCTTATATGCGCGTATTGTCTTTTCCCCCATTGAATTTTCAAGGTGTGGCTTATTTCCGGGTGCAGCTTATATTCGGGCCAATACGGTAGTGATAATTGGGATGGGAAAAGCAAGTGGGAAGAAATAACAAAATCAGTTTGCAAGACTCATTATTTTCCTTCTTCGTTTGCAGTTGGACAACCCAGCGAAGACCCCAAAGCAAAAATTGACTTGACCGGCTACTTTGTGAAAAGGCCACCGGGGGTCTTGCACTGTACCACGAAATTCACCGACTACGGGAAGGCTCCCGGATCAGATGACTACGCACAGCAGGAGGTGATGACTTTGCTTTCATCCACTCTGACCAGGAAAAAGGGATGGTTCTTGTAGGAGCTTTCCGTATGTTCTTGCGTTGGAAACTGCAACTTCTTCACCCTCCTCTGTCTTTTGAGATGGGAGCGGACCATTTCCAAGGGAATCCATATGTATCCTTGCAGTTGCACCCAGCGCTTTGAGTGCAGAATTCCTTTTGCACTCCGGGACTTTCCCCTTCCTCTCCCCTCCCTGCATGCCCTCAAAATCTGCTCCGGAAGGTCCGCCAAACTTCTAGAACAGATTTTGAGAGTGCCTGGGGGGCTACAGGGGAGAGAATGTTATGTTGTACTAGTGGAACAGTCGGGATGAATATGACCCTGGGTGCTCAGCTGAGGTTTTTAAAAATCCAGTCAAGAAAGCAAACAGCTCAGCAGAGAGTATGCAACTCAATTCAAGTCCCTACAAATGACATGTTACATAAATCAAGTCAATCTTGCATATAGTCACTTTCGAAACTTGCCTTGAGATTTTGCACAAATTCTGGTTTGGGTTTTTTTGTTTTTTAAAGTCAATAAGAGATTCCAGTAAAGTCCCCAAAATGAAATGTGACTTGTATGTTGTAAGCAGACATAGCTGGAAACTAGAACAAATAGTTACAGACTCTGCACAGTTACCCCTTCCTCCCCTTCACTTGGGGAGAAGTACCTGAATAAGATTGCATACATCTCCACAATCACATCTCCCAGATTTATTAATTTTTTAAAAAATATATTTATGCTTCAAGTGATCATTCCTTATTCTTCCTTCCTTTGATTTTATAGTGCTTGTTGTTTTGTTGTTAACTGCTCTGCAAATACCTGAATGGAAGGGCAGGATATACATTTGCAAAAATTTATTTTGAAACCTTGGCAGACTGGCAAATGGCTACTTGCAACCAGACAGTGAAGCTTTTGTAAATTAGATGACACTAGCTTTATGTCCCACTTTATCTTAGGCTGCAATCCTGTGGTTTCTGGGATGGTGTTCCTGTGTGTGTGATAGCTTTTTGTGTTCATGGAAGCCAAGCTAGTTTCTGTTTTTACGCTGTAGGCTAGTAACTTTTGCAGAGTTCTTTGCAAGGCTGTTTTCAGTCGACTACAGCAAAAGCCTCCATGGATTTTAACGAGCAAGTCTAGTAATTTAAACACAACCAATAACTGATGAAGCAAGACAAGTCTTAAAATAAGTCTTTGACTGCACTGGCAGCCCTAACAGAAATCCTTTCTCCCCTCCACCCCACTCAGGCTGTTAAATCATCTTATGGAAAAGCCTTCTTCCTGACCATCTCTGCTCTCTTCATCACACCGAGAACGGCTGGTGCCCGCGTGGAACTAAGCGACCAGCAGATGCTTCTGTGGCCTGGTGACGTGGACGTGCTTCAGCCAGCCGTCAGCCTCCCGAAAGGCAGTCGGGCACACATCACCTTGGGCTGTGCCAGCGGTGTAGAAGCTGTCCAAACCGGCATTGACCTCCTCGAGTTTGTTAAGCTGGAAAAGGCAGGGAACAAAGGCGAGGAAATTGGGGAAATAGGGGGCGGGAGACTTTTGTCCTATGGGAATGGCCTGTGGATGCTCCAGCTTTCTAAAAAGATTGAGGTGAGGTGTGTCTTTTCTGGGTACTATGGAAAGGGGAAACTGGTGCCAACTCAAGGGGGGAGTAAGCGGGGCTCCCCTTTTAACGCCTGCATCATCATCTAAGGGCCCTTCTTGCTACCGCAGCCTTTATCCGTTGGCAGCAATGTGCAACCTTTTTATAAACAACTCCCCAAGCCACACACATCCAAGTATCGTCCTCCAACTAAAGCCAACTCTTGTTAAACTCTAGCTTAGCTGGTCTCTTCAGAGAAATTTATTCTCGTTCAGGGAAAAACACCACTAGAGGCCGGTAATGGAAAATTAGCGCATTTGTTATATGTGTGAAGTAAGATTAATGCAACTGGATTGGTGGTGGTTTTTTGTTTTTTTTAAAGCATTTGTTTTGTTTTAAAGGTAGAGAAACATCCTTTAAGCATGGCCACTGCTTGTAAATCCACTAGACCTTGTGCTGTTAGGGCTCTGGCAGAATGAAGTGGTAGAATGGGTTATATCACGTCAGACTGCAAATGTTTATGTGTGAGAAGTTAATTTTTTCCCCTCAACAGTCTCTGCAAGTAGAAAGCCAGCAGAGCAAGGAAAAGGTGAGGCAAGAACCATGCTGGTTTGTTATTTGCAGGGGACATATTTACAGAGGGGTATATTCAAATTAATAATTATTTAATAAAAATATTTGTACCCCGCCCATCGGACTGGGTTGCCCCAGCCACTCTGGGTAGCTGATGTGATTCACCTGTAGTATGAAGTGGTACAATCCATTCTCACACACACACCCCCACGTTCTGCTGAGTAGGTAGGCCCAATCTGCCTGGTTTGGGATCTCACACTGCTCCCCCAGAAATCTGTGAAATGCAGATTGAAAGGAATAAAGGAAAAGTTCCGTGCAACGGCCTTGGATTTGCTGGATTCAGATCTCAGCTTAGTTACAGTGGTTTAATAGCATCTCTCTTCAGTCACTTCATTTCCGAAAGGGTTTCAAAAGCTAGAACTGGATCAGCAGTTAATCTGCTGCAAGGACCAACAGGGTTCTTGTGAAGTCAAGATCGTCCGTAAATCCTAACATGAAGTGTATTTAATCAAGGACTTATATGTCAGTTTGTGTACAGCAAATGACCCCCCACCCCCAAATTTTAAGTTGGTCAAGACAGTGGTGGAACCTGTGCCTTTCTGCTAGCATGTGAACACAGACAAGTGCTATACAGAGATTTATATGGCACAGTCTTGTGCATATTTACTCAGCCACCCCATTGAGTTTAATGTGATTTATTTCAGGGAAGTTTGACTGGCGCCTTCATTATATACCTTTAGGAGCCAGGCAAAAACATTCCTTTTTAATCAGGCCTTTGGTTGACCTGATGGACACCCCATACCCTTTTAAAATGTGGCTCTTTTTTGGGGGGGGGGTACTATTGGGTTATTGTGTTATTTTGATTTTATATATTGTGATCTTTTCAGCGAAACCTCCAGGTATAGGGCGGTATATAAATTCAATAAATAAAAATATAAATAATAAAATTATTCTCAGATACATATGTAGAGTCTCAGCCAGCATGACCAATCCAACAACACAACGGCCACAGGTTCCCCATCTCTCTCCTCTGGATACATCGGATTCTGAATAAATAAAGGTACTGTTTAGTTTTTATATCTGCCTTGTATGCAGACTAGTATGCAGGTCTTCAGTTAAAACAGACGTATGAGACAAGTGCAGCGTATTTTTTTTACAACTCGGCTGGATCATGGTTAGACTCTTGACAGTGGCCTCTTTAAATATAGAAATAAAATTCCCAGCCACTCTTATGCAAGATATTTTATTTTTATTTTGTGAATAGAACTGCTGCTCACTTACTGAATATTTCAGTTTCCTATTAAATATCCTCCTCTCGCCTTGCAACTTTGACATGTCCTGTTGAGCACGTTGTTTACCTGACTGCATTCCAGCAATAGTTATGTACGACATTTGAGCACGCTGTTTTTTTATCAAGTACAGTGGTACCTCAGTTTAAGAACAGTCCGGTTTATGAACGATTCGGTTTACAAACTCTGCAAAACCGGAAGTAGTGTCCCGGTTTGCGAACCTTTACCTCGGTCTAAGAACGGAATCTGAACAGTGGAAGGGCACCGGAGGCGGGAGGCATCATTAGGGAAAGCGCACTTCGGTTGAAGAATGGTTTCGGTTTAAGAACGGACTTTTGGAACGGATTAATTTTGTAAACTGAGGTACCACTGTACATGCAGAAATCTGTAGTGGGTGCTTTTACTTTCTGTTTGAAGTTGTACAAAGCACAGGATCTAAAATACCTCCCACTCCAGAGTTGGCTCATTTATGCTACTAGAAGACCAGGGTTTTTCCCCACCCCTCAGTGCTTATTCTTGTATAACCTCACTGAATAATGACTCTCACTTGGGGCAAAGAAGAGGAAAGAGCAGCTCTGAGCTAAATCGTGGGAACAGCTTGGAAGTAAAATACACCTACTGCTTTGTTCATGTGAATGCTCCTAAGAGTAATATGAGCAAGTGCCTGGCATGGGATTGAACTTGAAACAGAAGGTTTAAACTTGCTCTAAACCAGGCATAGGCAAACTCAGCCTGCCAGATTTTTTGGGACTACAACTCCCATCATCCCTAGCTAACAGGACCAGCAGTCAGGGATGATGGGAATTCTAGTCCAAAAGCAGCTGGAGACCCAACATTAGGAAACACTGATTTAAAGCAAGATGGGTCTTTTCGGTTTGTACAATTGTAAGTCTAATTCACTTGAATGTTTAGTTACACAAGGTGGGGGGGAATTGGTTATGCTAACTGTCGCTCAGGAAACATCCATCACATCATCATAACTTGTATTTGTGCATAATACCTGTGCCAGATTAAGATTTCACATACTGGTTATCTAATGGTCAAGTTTCTGTTAATATGTCTGTCTTGAATACAGTCAAATCCTTATTTTTACTTATGAGGAAAGTAGTACATCTTTGTGGTTCTGACTGGTGTAACTTTTTATTTATTTAAAAAAATACCTTTTAACTCTGATCCAGGGCCAAATAGGAGCTTAAGACTCATAGCAACTGTAAAATATACTTAAATAAATCTGTTATTAATATACAGAAATGTTTGCTGAGTTTATACTTAAAAGAAAGCTGCTTGCTCAAGCCATCACTAGGTGAACTTTGAGGTTACACAGATAGAAGCCGAGGGCATCGTCACTGGGTACCCAAATTGGCAATTACTTGCTACCAGAGATTTTCTCTTGGAAATGAGCCACAAGAGGGGCCAAACTCCCCAATAGACTTTCTCTTGCAGTTTGTGGGTCTCTCGGAGAGTGCTTTTCATGTGATATTCATGTGCCAGAAGGGTATCTCGGGGGGGGGGGGGAGAGAGTAAGAATTGGTGCTTGGTGAGAGATTTGGGTTTTGTTCTATTGTAATTTTTTTTTGTATGCCAACTTTCCCAAAGCACCTGAGTATATACTCCCCTTCTGCAAATGACCTGAAGACCAGGTCAAGGCCTCTCCCGAAGAATCATTTTTTTGTCCTCTCCCACCCTCAGTGCCAGCAAAGGGAAAATGAGCTACACACCATATAACTTAAAATTTGGGCACCAAAGATTTCTTGGGATGGGCTCTACGGTTGCTACTCATTCAATCCAGCTTCATACCACCACATTCACACGAAACCTCAGCAGTGTCCAATCTATTCAAGGAAGCAAAAGTCACCAGTGAGATCTGGATTGTTTTATTTTTTATTTTGTACATCATATACAGTTTATAATAAAGTTAATATCAATTGCATACGGTTTTTGCTTCAGTCTGGTTTGAAATTTTCTGCATATAAACACATGAATCCTGCCTAACAAAACAGTCACCAGTTTTTGTTCTCCGCTAATCATCTTCATTTTGGAAAGGTGAAAGAGTTCAAGTGGGACAGTGTGTTACTTAATCCAAGTGTGAAGCCATCCCCAGGAGAGAGGGGGAAGTGGGGTGTCGCTCTAAAAGAGATCATGCAACAAACGTTTTAACAGGGGAAGGCTAGATCCTCACACGGAGGCAAAATAGAGTATGTTGAATATTTCTAGCTAAATGGCCTCAGCTCCAAATGGCTTCAGCACTGGTTTTACCTGTCCTTTTCTCAGGCGGAAGTTCCAAAAAGGATGCAGTGCATGCAAGGAAATATAAGGCAGTGCACAGAAATAAAAAGTGTGTGTGTCTTTTGGGGTGGGGGAAAACAGAATTAGAAACGTCGAGGCAAAATGGCGAGCTTTCCTAGAAAACTTCGCCCTTGAGCGCAGTGGCTCACAAGCAAGGTGGAAGCTGCCCCAGGTCTCTCTACTTGGAAAAGGTCCCCTGGTTTTTCCTCGCTTCCCACTGAGGCTTAAGTGCACATTACAAAACAAAGCCAGCGCAGCAGGGAGAAAAGCTCAAGCCCGCCTCCGAGCCAGTTCTGAATGCAATCCCCACCTGAAACCAGCTTGCTCTACTTTCAGGTCGCACACAGATAAAGATGGCGAGGCAGAGCCTACGGGGGCCATCAGCAACAAAACATTCTGGTAGCTCTTAAATGCAATGCGAATAAACTCAAAAATAAACTTAAGAATGAGATGCATAAGTTTAAAATGCCACGTTAGGTGTGGAGGATTTTCAGCAGCAGATCCTACAGTTCCTGCTTGCTCCTTTTAACATATAATCAAAAACCTATGAGGCCTCCTTAGTGGAATGGAAGCAGACCTTCAGGTAGTCAGAAACACACGATAAAAAGGCAAAAGAAAAAAACAAAAACCCTGCAGTAGTTGGTTTGAAATTGGCACTCACCAGCTTCACAATCAAAGTCCGGTCCCAGAAACTTCTGCCTATTGTTAGCTTTTAGATCGCAAAAGGATTCAAAATGCCTGGAGACATGAAGGAAGTGACTTCCCAGGAAAGCTTTAAGAAGATGTCCATCTGCAGCTGGCTAGGCAGCCCATTCACTGAAAAAATATCAACGTCCCTGGAAGCCTCATTGTCTGTCTCTAGGCAAAGGGATCTCAATCAGCCAAGAATCTAAGGTGGGGAGGGGAATACTTCAGAGGATGCTTCAGTCCTACTTTTCCCAGGTGTCCAGTAGCATCAGGCTACCAAGGGTCAACACCCTGCTTGTATAATTTGCTTCAGCGTAAGACAATTATGAAGAGCAATTTTGTGGCTTCGTATCCTTTCCTGCCAATTTTTGAACACAACTGTCCTATTTTTTTGTGATTAACATTCCAAGTATACGCAAGTCAAAACACCCACTTGATTCGACTTCGGGATGTGTATACTCTGCCAATGAAATACATGCCCATCAATGAAAACTACATCATGCAGGCCTAAACCAGAGAGACGGCGTTCCCAAGACCATGTGTTAACACGAAAAGATCCTCATGTAACCCGAAACACCTAGATCCCGCTCCCCAGTTCTGGTGCTGACTTCCTTGCTGTCTCCTCCCTTCAGCCTAGCTGGCAATATGTGCTTCCTGTTATCAACTGCACCTCTGCCAAGAGAGATTCTCCTCCCAAGTACTTCAGTAGGAGGCTGGGGTTGGGAACCAGGGATCAAAGTAAAACCTACTGTTAAGCCTTCATCTGCCAGGAGGTGACCCGCTTCTAAAGTAGCAGGCAACTCGCAAGGCCTGAGGACACCTCTTAAGATGGACCAGTAAATTAAAATATCACTGATCGAAAACGGGTCACAAGTTGGAGTAGGGCAGGGAAGGGACAAACACCTACTTAAGATGGCTTGCCACTGCGAAGAAAAGGAATGAGCCAACTGCTGCAAACGAGGTATTATGAACACAGTTACTTGGTGTGGCCAAAATTCACAGTAATTACCACATGGATAACAGTTTTTTTTCCTTTGTTTTTTTAAGACAGCCAACAATTCCAGGGTGGCTGATTGTTACTATTTCAACTGCAAATTATCATCTTGTGAAACAGCCCATCGGGTAGGTTCACAGCTCAGCTCTGAGCAAAATCTGAGGTTCCACGAATACAAAGATGTATGCAGAATATTTTGAACTCAGCTCTCGGCACAAAAGATTTGTGCCTGGAGACGACAAGCACCTTTACAGCATGCTACAAGGGCTGCCCAGCAGAAACTCCGCAGTCCTCTTTACCCCAAAAGCCCCACACCCCAAAAATGCTTACTGATTTTTGTCTTCTCCAAGGCTGTACATATTGTCGGTCAATTCTGAAAAATCATTTCCGAGGGGGGGAAATGTGGTTTTGAAGATCCCATACATTGGTTAAGGAACAGGTTCTGACGCTTAGGGTGGATTTGCATGTGGCATGTATGAACCGTGACCCTTGACATCGTGTGATGATTTGCATGTGCGAAATGGCCACTGCAGATCCAAAACCACACACACATGCACACATACAGAGATCTTTCATGACACCTGGCATTCACCATACGCTTTTCAATGGAGTCAGGTTTACAGCTGCGCTACGGGGGTCGTCACCAAACGACAAACACCTATGTGTGAAATCAGCCCTTACCATTTCCTTGAAGTCCTCAAGAAATTGGAAACAAAGAAGCTCCCCGCCCCTCCCCCCCAAATTAAAGACTCTTTGGAAGTATAACAGCAGGTGCTGAAAAGTGAGGGTAGGGGCATCTCCCTATTCCAAAGATGAATATCACTGATAGTAGTGGCATGAACTTCCCTATTTGCCTGTGTTCCTTAAGTGTGTGAATACCTTTGTTTATATGGTCTGGTGTGGCTACAGCCAGGATGATGGAACCGAAGCATGAAAACCCCTCATCATTAGGTTCTTCTTACTTACATAAATATGAAGGCATGTTATGTCCTTAAGAAAAGTCTCAGGCCTGTCTCAGAAGGTGAGGAATTCCACCAGTTCAATCCCAGCAGCTTTGGGTGTCTGAAATTACTTATCATGGAGGAATCATTTTTTTAATTATTATTTCTCTCTCTCTCGTTTTTTTAATAAAGTTAACAATAAAACAAACAACAAAAAAGTATATTCCTTCACTGCCCCTCCCCCTTCTCTCTTCAAGCGCTGGTTTTCTCGTTAACACTCTAAAGCACACACAAAAAAACTGAGGTCTCCAACAGAGAAAACGCCACGGCCCTAAGAAACGTCGAGATGTGATGAAGGGAGAACATAACTCAAGGTTAAAAGAAGCAGGTCTGGCAAAGTAGGTGTGTCTCGGTAGAGATGGGACTCTTCTGCAGCTTAGCCAAACTGGAAAAAGAAATTCCCTGGTCCAGAAGCTAAAAGACACAGAGACACGGATTTAGAATTGGCATCCCTCTGGGGCACAATCCTGCTCCCTCCCTACAAGAAGCTGAGCGACAGCACAGCTCTGGATACTCAAGAGCTTAGAAGGATGGGCACCACAGTCTACGGACAAAACAAAAAGTCTCTTAGGTTCATACAGATAGTCAGTACTTTGCAGGGGGGGATTTAAGTGTGTACTGGGACTTTAGGTTTGCACATTTAAAGCGGATTAAAGCACTCTGGTGCTCTCTTAACTCTCCCCCTTGCCCCAACTTTTTGCAGTTTGAAAAGTGAAGGGAAATGCACTGAGAAACAGGGGATGACCTAATGATTAATGGGAAGACACGTAAACACCTCAAATCAAAATGAATGCTCAATAGACATAGTCTAATCACCGCATAAACTTTGTGCCAGCAAATACTACAAATGCTTCACAAGCATTTAAGGAGCGCTTAAAAGGTTAAGGCAACAAGATAAATGATGGGCTGAATGAAAGGGAAGGAGCCACAGCTGAACTCCAGGCCACACGCCTTGGGCTTGGAGATTTCTGAAATATTAAGTGATATATTTTTTAAAACAAACAAACAAGGGAGCCTAAATCTTGATTCCACCCATGATTTGGGAGAACTGTGTGGTTTAAGGAATACAATTGAAATACGTTTCTGTTACCCACAGAGTTGGCCCTAAACCAGTCCACATGAACTTAATGGATTTCTCAAATTCCCAGGGACCTGGAGATATTCAAGAGGCGGGGCCAGAGTTGAAGCCTACAGCCTCTCTCTGCACAAACTCAGGACTCCCTCTGTTTAACTGATGGCACTTACCTTCAAAACTGAAGCCTCCTGGCCCTCCAAAGAACGCCTTGAAGATATTATTAGCATCAAAATCTATTTAGGGAAGGTGGAGATGGAAAAAGGAAAAGAAAAGTAAGAGCAGGTGAGAAAAAGATCCTGGTGAGCATCTTACGTGCGCACAACTAGTCTATAAAAATATGTTCATAGCGTGGTTCCCTTCCCTCTGCGTGGCAGTTTTTTGAGAATTTTTTCTCTTGTCCAAGCCTTTTACAAAAATTGCCAGGTGTCATTTGAGCCAGACCTGCTAGGCAGAAGGGACCAACAGATCCTATGCTCAGACTCAAAAATTACTGATGCTTTCGGAAAAACACACACTACAACTATTGCAAAGGTTTTGGTAATATTGTCCCGTCCCATCCCAGAGATTCCCTTGTGGAAAAAGAAGCCAAGGGGGATGGACTCCTGGGCTCAGCACTCACCTCCCATATTCATGCCGTCCTCCTCCAGATCCTGCCCACTGTCGTAGCGGGCCTTCTTCTTCGGATCAGAGAGGATGGTGAAGGCTTCACCGACCTCTTTGAACTTCTTTTCTTCCTCTTTCTGGATCTCAGCACTTGCACCACTATGCCGATCTGTCAAAGGTTGGGAGAGAAGGAAAGATCTCAGCTGCGTTGAGAAATGAGTGATACATCCCAGGAGCCCATATTCTGTGCTAATAATAGATGATGTTCTCTGTCAAGGCAAACCAAATTCTATAGACAAGAGAAGCCCATTTTCTGTCCCTTTGTTACATACGCAATTGAAGCAGATTTGCGTGATTTATCATTTATTCTGCCACATGTTTGTCACAAGAAAGTATCCTGGTTTTTCCTGTCACATAAAGGGACAAGGAGACATTCAAGGCACTGAAGCCTGCAAGACATGAATGCCACAAACCTATTCATGTAATATATGGGCCAATGAAGCGCACTTTGAGTAAACAAGAGCCAGAAAAGGGGCAACGCAAAATCGCAGCTGAAAGCGGTTGGAACTCACAAAATAAGGCAAAAGTAGTTCTTGGTGCATATTTAGATGTAAATATGCTTAGGTCAGACCTTTAAATAAAGAATTGATGGGCATACAAAGAGTTTTAGGAACGCAGTCAGTTAAAGAAGGGGGAAGACCCAAAAGGGGGACATGAGGTATTGTGTTGTATGGGAAATGAGGCAGTCTTTCTCTTCTCCGCTGCCTGTGCATTAACAAGTGTGCCACTCTTCTCCCTGGATTTAATTCTTAAGAATTTCTTATATTTCTAGCCTGCCCTTCTTCAGCGGAGCTCAAAAAGAGCTTTGCAATTTCTGCCCTGCATGAGCTACTGATCTGATTCAGCAGGGCTTCGTATGTTGTTAATCCAGACACATCCTTACTCGTCCTCTTTTTTTCTTTAATAAGAAGTCTTCTTGATTTTCAGTGTACAAACACAATTACGAAGAGTCCCGCCCCATCCCAACATACCCACTCCCCCCCCCCACAGGTCAGTCTATTAAGTTTTGCCAAAGTCCCATTGCTCCCTCTCTCTTAGGATGTTATGCCTGCCAAGCGCAACGTGCTGCAAGCATCTGGTGTGGAAGCTTAATTTTGCAAGGCACACTTCGGCTCCCTTCATAGTATGCCAGCTCCCACGGTCTGGGAACCAGCGGGTTCTGAATGAGGATGCTGAGAGGATCTCTCTGTACCTGGGTGATGCATCAGGGCGCGCTTCCGATATGCCTTTTTGATCTCGTCTTCAGACGCGTTCTTGTCCACCCCCAGGATCTTGTAATAGTCTTTTCTCTTGCTTTTCTTCAGCTCCACCTGCGCGTTCTTAAGGAGTTGTTTGTGTTCTAGAAGATAGTGCAGAGAAGGGGAAGTCTCAAAAAGCAGCCCTAACCCACCCCAAACACCAGGTTTATAAATGAGAGTTTGCATGCATGGGATGTTCCCCTCTTTGATACAATTTCCTTTGCAAATCACAACACATACAGTTGAAGAAGTCAAGAGTCAGAGGCAGGTCAGGAAAACGGGGGATGGAATTGTGTGTGGACGCTTATCAGGGTGGGCGTACTGGGAATCCACACATGCCTACTAGTCTAAGAAGGAAGAGGGAGAATTAAATGAAACATCAATACTCTTGGCCTGGCAGGAAACCCTCCAAGACCCATTTAAACCAAATAGTCCACCAAGTCACGGGATTTCTCTACCAGTTTAGGAAGGTCAGAGATTTGAATTTTGAGTACCCTTGCATTTCGTACCCGCAAGAGATCACGGCGAAGGATGCCAGCTTTCAAGATCTTCTGAAAATGGCATGCTGTATTTTTACCTTTTGTTTTCTCCGTCTGGTAAACCTTTTCATAATCCCTCACAGCGTCTTCGTATTGCTCTGTGTCCATGTAACTATAAGCAAGGGAAGCACATTTAGTGATATCTTAATGGCAACAGCTTAAGAACGGGGCAAATGAGTCACTCGCCAACCTGTGCCCTGGGGTTTAGGAAACTATTCCTTCCCAGCCCCAAATTTAGAGCTGAAGGAAGCATTCCAAAGTCACCCACTGCCCCTGGCAAGGCAACTCTGATGTGAATAGGAACCAGGAATAAAAAGCCAGCACAAAAAGCCAATGTAGTATTGTGGTATAGTTGATAAAAGCAGCTGATCAGAACTGAGAACCCCACAATAAATAGACAGTCAGCCTTGAACCGCACAGATTCCTGTCTGCTGTTATGTCTCAGCCTACCCTACTTCCCAGGGAAGGCAGAGAAGCATGTACCCAGGTCCTAATCTTCTTGGAGGAAGCAGTGGGATAAAAACAACAACAACGGTGATCTTGAAAGTGAGACCGCAAGTGCTTATACAAGTCAATAAACAACAACGTATTATTACAGTGGTACCTCGGGTTAAGAACTTAATTTGTTCTGGAGGTCCGTTCTTAACCTGAAACTGTTCGTAACCTGAGGTACCACTTTAGCTAATGGGGCTTCCCGCTGCCGCCACGCCACCAGAGCACGATTTCTGTTCTCATCCTGAAGCAAAGTTCTTAACCCGAGGTACTATTTCTGGGTTAGTGGACTCTGTAACCTGAAGCGCCTGTAACCTGAAGCGCCTGTAACCCGAGGTACCACTGTATTCATATGCCACCTATCTGACTACACCACCAACAACAAAACAACCACCACAATTTATTACTTGCATAAGTAAAGGTAAAGGACCCCAAGATGGTTAAGTCCAGTCAAAGGCGACTATGGGGTTGCGGCGCTCATCTCGCTTTGATGCCGAGGGAGCCGGCATTTGTCCACAGACAGCTTTCTGGGTCATGTGGCCATCATGACTAAACAGCTTCTGGTGCAACAGAACACCATGACGGAAGCCAGAGAACACGGAAATGCCGTTTACCTTCCCGCCACAGCCATACCTATTTATCTGCTTGCACTGGCGTGCTTTCGAACTGCTAGGTTGGCAGGAGCTGGGACAGAGCAATGGGCGCTCACCCCGTCGCGGGGATCCGAACCGCCGACCTTCTAATCAGCAAGCTGAAGAGGCTCAGTGGTTTAGACCACAGCGCCACCTGCTCCCAATATCTGTATACAATTTATATATAGTTATTCGTATACCACCCATCTGACTGGGTTGCCCTAGCAACTCTGGGCAGCTTCCAACAAATTAAAACGTTAAGCACAGTAAAACATCAAACATTAAAAACTTCCAGATACAAGGCTAGGCTGCCTTCAGATGCTTTCAAAAAGTTGTATAGTTATTTATCTCCTTGACATCTGATATGAGGGCGTTCCACAGGGCGGGCGCCACTGCCGAGAAAGCCCTCGGAGCTGGACCTCAGTGTCCGGGCTGAATGATGGGGGTGGAGACACTCCCTCAGGTATATAAGACCAAGGCCATTTAGGGCATTAAAGGTCAGCACCAACACTCTGAATTCTGCTTGGAAACGTACTGGCCTTTGGACATTTCTCCACGTTCCTAGTCACATCAAGCTTGATTTACCTAATCCCGTGGTTCCCAACCACACACTCTACAGGGGGGCAATTCGAGAATGAGTTATTAACAGTTAATGGTCTTTTAGGCTTCCTCCATGTGAATAGTTCACTTTTTGAATAGTAAGAATTATGTGTCACAGGGGAGGGGCATCAGGATTTTAGAGATGCTTAGGTGGGCCATGGCCAAAAAAAGTTTGGGAACCACTGACCTAATCCAATTGGCTATTGTTATCAAGGCAGTTGGAACCAAAAGTGTGATGCTTCCCTTTTACCTAATATGAACACCTGTCTTATGCAAAGACGTGATCACCAGTCCACCTCTCGTCCAGCACCATCTGGACAGCAATCCAGCACGGTTTCAGGGAGAGATGCTTCCTGGCTGTGTTTCACCTGATCTTTTAAAAATGGCGATATCAGGAATGAGAACTGGAACTGGGCATCACCAACTAGGCATGCCCAGTATTTAATATAAACAAGACACACTCACCACTGTGCTCTCCTCAGGTAGGCTTTGATGTAAGTATCGTCCAGTTTGATGGCACTCGTGCAGTCTTCTATTGCTTCATCTAGCTTTCTAAGCTGCAAGACAAGCTGCAAGGTTAGGAAACGGACCCCTCTGCATTATTTTTCATTTTGGTCTCTAAAAGTGGAAGGCAGCAAACAGTTTTCCTCAACCTGGATCTGCTGTTTGCTTTTTTTTCATGCCAAGAAACAAAAATGTTTTTAAGCACTTTTGCTGCCCAGAAATATGACGGTACCACTCCTCGAAGGATAGAAAGCAAACTAGGGGGTAACAAAATAAAGATGCAAACCGTGATACGACCACACTGAATAGCCCAGAAACATTAGGCTGCTTGATAGATAGGGGATCAATCACTGAACGTGTAGATGAAGCGTAGGATGAAACAAAGGACCAAAAGTTATCCAGGAGGGGAGGCGGGGAGAAGGAGTGGCTGAGCTAGTTTCCATATAACATTTTGGCAATCCGCATTATGCTATTCATTTGCTTGGATGCATTTCCACAGGTGCCCACCCTGCAGATCCCTTCTTATGGGGGGAAGTGAACCACTCCATGTTAGTTTATGAGAAACACACCGGAGAGTTTTTAAACAATTTCAGAATGCAAGAAGCCCAGTACCGGAGAGCTTCCTCAACTTATCAGTGGATTGAAAGGTTCTCCTTGGCTTCCCAAGAATCACAGTGAACAGTTTCCTCAAGGAACAACTAGGTTAACACTAGGTTAACCCTAGTGGTTCACAGCATCACTCTTCGGTTCTTGTGCAATAACCTTCTTCCTGGTTTTGTTTAACTCTTTTATCTTCTGTTTTTTCGATGTGTGTTGGTAAAAAAATATACAAAATCAACATGTTGTGCAGCTGCTTTAAACTTCTAAAGTCTCTCCCACCTCGTCTCAACAGCAGAGTCATCATCATAATGCAACCCCAACTGCCCCATTTGCAGTCAGGAACTGGCGATATCTGAGCCAAACCTAGCTTCCTCTAATAGGGCAGGGATGGTGATGGGACAGCCATCATCCGGCAACAAATTGCATAGTCATTGGGCACACTTTGAGCACCTGCCAAGTTGGCTAAGCATTAGTTGCTTTCAATTGCACTGTTTCACCACTTTGGCGTTTGCTGCCCTGGGCTCTCTTGGGAGGAAGTGAAGGATGGTGTGTGTGGGGGGGGGGGCATTTAACACAAACCACAGACACCCAGTAGCAAAGAAGAGGTGTGGAGAGAACAGCATTTGTTGGTAGGCTTTGCACAACTCTCTCTATCCTGCCCAAGTTGCTTTCCAACAAAGTTAGCTACTGACTAGATTGTTTAATCCTAGACCTCAGTTTCCCTTTTTTTGAAAATATATATATATTAGTGCTTATAGAGAAAAACACAAAATTTAAGATCAAGTATCGTTTCCTTTCCCCCCCCAAAACTAAGACTTTGATCTAAATAAAATAAAATCATAAAGAGAAGGAATAAAGAGAGAGAAATAAAGAAAAATAAATAGAAAAGAGGTTAAAAGAGAGTCAGGGTTTGAGTCCCGAAACAGTTCGAAAACCAAGGCGTGGCTTCCGATTGGTTGCAGGAGCTTCCTGCAGTCAAGTGGAAGTTGCATTAGACGTTCGGCTTCTGAAAAATGTTCGCAAACTGGAACGCTTACTTCCAGGTTTGTGGCGTTCGGAAGCCAAAACATACGAGTACCAAGGTGTTCGAGAACCAAGGTACGACTGTATCTGATAAAAAAAAAGAACCACCACCAAAGTTTATTATGTCTCCTTACCTTTGCATTAACCGTCCCGCGGTTACAGAAGAGTTTGGCATTTGTTTTCCTGTTGTTTGGGTCTATTGCAAGGGCCTCTGTGTAAAGGTCGAAGGCGAGCTTGTAGTTCCCTTCCTTGAAGGCCTTGTTGCCATCGTCCTTCTTCGCTTTTAACGCTTTGGCGTTCTAGAAGAGAAGGCATTCATCAGGCATTGAAGAACTGGAGCAGCAAAAAAAAACCCAAACCCGTCACCATCAGGCCTGTCACCTAACTCAAGAAACTGCGGTTGACTAACTGGCATAAATTTGCGAGCGAGAACTAGGCCTGGACTTGGAAATTTCAGGGAAAACATAAAAGAAGCCCAGGGCGGCAGGGGCAAAATGATTCATACTGTTTGGGAAAAGGGAGGGTTGGTGCTAACCATAGTTGCCATTAGGGTTGGATGATATAACAACATATCAACTTGCTTCATTAAAAACAACAAAAAAACTACTATCATAATAAATATGTCATCATTTGAAAGGTAATCATGTGGCATAAATGAAGGTACCATGTGGACTTTATATTTCACACACACGATAAAATACTGATTTTGACTGTTCTGAAACCAAGGCTCTCCTATAATTCCTTGCCTTCCTTTCTCAGCAATGTATCAATACACTTGAGATTTGTGCATCCCCTAATTTGTGTCAATAATCTGTTTAGCTCCCAGTCTGTACTGTATTGTGTTTTTTTAAAAAAATAGTAATTGAGAGCTATCAACAGTTAAGGCTCCCCAACTGCACAACAACTGTGAGGCACCCTTTTAAACTGATCTGAAGATTTTAATCTACACTGTTTAACTGGCAAAACATTGCAGGCCTTTTAGTATGATGCCAACAGCACAAAAACAATGTATATTAAACACACACTGACTTGCTCTGTACTCTGGATCCACTTGCAATTACGTCATAGCTGGGAAAGGACTGCCTGCTGACGTCATGTGCCCACAGAATTTGCATTCTTATCATCAGTTAAGTAGCCAAATCCATCATTTGCTACCCAAGGTATTTGTTCACGAGCATTACCATACTAGGGCCAGGACTAGATGTTTGCACAACAAAAGGGCATAATGTAATAATAGGTGCCAAGAAACTCAGCTTCTGACCATTTCCTGGTTTTGAATATGTGCTTGAAAGCATATGGAAAATACCTGCTGAAAACTCACAAAGCTAGAGGCATCCGATTAAGATTCTCAGGGTATGGAAGTCAGTGTCCCTGACAACACCCCAGGATTTGCAAACATGGAATTATGAAAGATAGTAAAATGTGCAGAATAAATTATGCACCATGAGCAAAAATATGCGAGTTTACTCAGCCTGCATAATTTATACAGCTTGCAGAATTCAACCTTTCTTGGTGCGGAACTGAAGTTGCCTAGCAGCACGTTTTGGTGTGAAATGCACACAGCCTTGGTGATCTTAAACCCTTCTTTGGATACCTCAGAAAGGTATCTTAAACCACTCTTGCTTGAGGCTGTAGTTGAGTGAGAAGACTGAAGGTGCCTGAGCCGGCCAAGTCCGGTCCCGCGGCCAAGAAGAGCTCCAAAAAGGCCATCACCAAAACGCAGAAGAAGGGCGACTAGAAAGGGGGGGGGACTTTTCTTTTTTTCTCTATGTAATTACCTAACAATCCCCCCCCCCCAAGAAGAACCGCTGCAACAACTGACAACAAGTGAGATTATTATGAACTGTGTGGAATTAAATTATTAACCAAAGACTATGCTTTGTGGAAGATCTGGAAAGGAACGGAAGGCTTTTGGAATGACGCAGTTCTAAAAAGAGAATCGCCATGACAGGCAGGCTTTGTTGCAGGATTGACGATCAAGAGGGGAAGGAAGCCATGGGTTTGTTATCATACTTGACTCTGTGTTCGACTTGGCAGAACCCCCTAAAAAGATCGATATGGGAGCGACAAGTCTGTGAAAGCTAAGCGGCAGACGTTCAGAGGTGATAAAAAAAAGAAAAAAATTATGATAATAACAAGAAGAGATGATTTATAAAGGAAAACAACAAAGAGAGGAATGGACAGAACTGTGAACATCAAATGGACAGAACTGTGAACATCAAAGCAGCAGCAACAATAAATGATTGGATCCCTTTCTGAGCTCGAAGCATGGGTACCCCCAACAAAATTTAAAATTTGGCTTTGTAATTTGGAACTAATGTGATTTGATTGGTTTGTTAATAAAAATTAAAAAATTTTTTTAAAGAAAAAAGAAGCGCAAGAAGTACAAGAAGCGCCGCAAGGAGAGCTACTCCATCTACGTCTACAAGGTGCTCAAGCAGGTCCACCCAGACACGGGCATCTCCTCCAAGGCCATGAGCATAATGAACTCCTTCGTCAACGACATCTTCGAGCGCATCGCAGCCGAGGCTTCCCGCCTGGCGCACTACAACAAGCGCTCCGCCATCACCTCCCGGAAGATCCAGACCGCCGTGCGACTCCTGCTGCCCGGAGAGCTCACCAAGCACGCCGTCTCGGAGGGCACCAGGGCTGTCACCAAGTACACCAGCTCCAAGTGTGCTGGGCTCCCTTTTTTCGGTTGCCTGGGAAAGTTCTACAGAAACCCAAAGGCTCTTTTAAGAGCCACCCACTTTCTCATTTGAAAAGCGCTGTTCCGCCTTGTGTTAACTCCCAACTATTCCCCCCCCCCCCAGGAGGGGGGGTCCTTTGGTGTCCTGCTGTCGGGTTTCAGTGAGGAATAATACCAAGAAATGAGGGGACAGGAAGAGATGGATTCTATTTAACGTTACCCTTAAATATGGGTCGACCAGTTAACAGGTCTGTAATAATAGCAATAACCGTATTTTTCACTCTATAAGACGCACCAGACCACAAGACGCACCTAGTTTTTGGAGGAGGAAAACAAGAAAAAAATATTCTGAATCTCAGAAGCCAGAACAGCAAGAGGGATTGCTGCGCAGTGAAAGCAGCAATTCCTCTTGCTGTTCTGGCTTCTGTGATAGATGCGCAGTCTGCATTCACTCCATAAGACGCACACATATTTCCCCTTACTTTTTAGGAGGGAAAAAGTGAGTCTCATAGAGCAAAAAATACAGTATTTATTATTATGGTCAAAGATCAGTTCATAATAGGTCTGTATTAGTTGGATTCCTTTATTTCAATGGGCCTATTTTAGTCAGGCTTAATGTTATCAGTGAAACAGTAAGTGTGCATGCCTAAAATAAAAGGTATGGCGAGAAAAAAAGAAAAAGAAAAAAAGGGGAGGGATGAAAGGTATCTTCCGACTTCCTCTCTAGAAAGGAACAAGCAGTGCAACGTTTGCCCTTGTTCCTGAATGCCACCTGCCAAGTGATGCTTGCCACTGTTCCCTCTAAGCACAGGTGAAGGCCATCCCGCCCCCTCCATCGCCCGCAGGCCTGTCAAAAGCAAACGCCCACCTGGCTGCTTCCTTTCATACTTACGCGGCAGGCGAGGCAGGCCTTGTCGTGGTCGGGAGCCATTTTGAGTGCCTGGATGAAGAACTGCACAGCCTTCTCAATGCAGTCTTCGTAGTAAAGGCACAGACCTCGGACGTACAGGGCATCAGCGTTTGTGGAGTCTATTCGCAAGATGTCGCTAAGCACAGAAACAAAGGGAGAGTCACAGAACTGTTGGTCACCAAAGGACAGCTGGTCACATCCAGGGTGGATAAAAACCAATGATTAATAATAATAATAATAATAAATTGGTTTTTTTTTATTTGAATTGGATTTTTTTTATTTAAATGAGATTTTTTAAAATAAAATGCTTTTGGAGGAAAAATCTTTCTAAAGATTGTTGTTGTTTAGTCATTTAGTCGTGTCCGACTCTTCGTGACCCCATGGACCAGAGCACTAAACTAAATGTAGTTTCCTTTTTAAGTTACATTATAGTCCAAAGGCTATTCATCAGAAAATAAGGATTTGTTTTAAGTTTTTCATGTGTGCTAAAACTCAGTCTTAGGTATATGTGAGTTTTTTTAATCATTTAACCACATCCGTTAACAAACATGGATACATATGCTATAATGTTATTGCTTTAGTTAGTTTAAATTGTTATTAAGGAAATGATTATTTTTCTCCTTCCAATAAAGTACAGCAGAGAAGTTGTCCAAATATAAACAGTTAACTTATTAAACCTCACAATTTCCTAATTATCTGTCTATGTTATTTCTAATAGTATAACCAGATCAGTAATTTTTGATATAACTGTAAATACTACTTTGATTTTTTTTTATTCCAAAAATGAAACCTTCCTCTGGTTGTAAATATTAAGATTATACCAGCAAGAATGAGTCTTTCTGTAAAAAAAATGATTTAAATCAAATCCACCCAGGTCACGTCCCTACCCCTCGACGGAGGAACCAACACTCCTGTGAGACAAGGATGTGGCCGGCTATTTCACATCAATATGCAGCACCTCACACCAACACCTTCAGGCCAATCTGAGTTTTTCTCCTCCTCCGAGGCTCCTGCTAGTGGTCCTTCCTTCCCCTCATTCCTCTGGACCACTCCATCACCCAAATCCCAACTATCCAGAGATTCTTCTGTCTGCCCCATCCCCTCTGGAATTAGGGAAATTTAGTTCATCATCGCCAGAGTCTCCAGCACCACCAAATAAAAAGATATCGGCACGGTAACTCTGACTTGCAACAAAAAGGAAGAAAATCCCTCAACCGTGGGAAGCCAAATTTTGCGAGTTCCTGAGAACAGAACCACTTACACAAGCAGCAGGAACATTATAGGAGGAAAAGCACCAGTGAAACCTGCTCACTTACCCAGCTGATAATCAAATCAGGCTACACAGTATTAGGGATAAACAGACCAATTAAAGTCTGGTCCGTCTGTTCTGCATGGAGATGGGACTAAATCCAATTTCTGTGCAGGTTTTTTTTTAAAAAAGGGAAAATTCTTTAAAATCCATGCAGAAACTCTGGTTAAAAAAGTACTCCGAAAGCGGTCCGAGGGCTGCCGTGCTCCCTGTGTTCTTATAAAAGCTTTTTATTGCCTTTTTTAAAAGTTCAAAACCCAGTCGTCCAACTGTTCACAGCTTGGACCAGCTAGCATGCAGGGCTCGTTGCTGTCGTGAGCTTTTAATACAAGTGGCAGAAAGTCCCCGAAGGAGCAATGGGACTTGATGATGTTCCATCACTCTCAGGGGAAAAACATGGCTGCCCCCAGCAATCTCCTTGCATTTCGCCACGAGAGCAAGAAAACACCAAGTCCCATTGTTCCCAGGGAGAGCTTACTTTCATTGCATGGAGAGTGTGTGACAGCAAGGAACCCCACATGCTAGCTTGCCTCAGGCAGTGGGCAGCTGGTTTATCTGTGTTTGAACTTCTCCTTTTCAAAGGAATCCATGGGAATGTGGATTCTGAAGTGGATCCATGATCCAGTCCAGGTTCTGCTCTGCCCGGATCGGATCAAGGAACTCCACGTTGGAACCTGAGGTTGACAAATTCCTCCCCCATCCCTACACAGCACAGGGAATTTCCCCACCAAGCCTGTTTCTAGCGGTTGCAGTTCCCACCTGGCCACAGACTGTGCTTCAGGGTAGCGACCCAGCAATGCTAAGCATTCCGCTTTGAGGATTTTGAACCGGTGGCAAGCGGGGGCAAACTCCAGAGCACGATCCATGCAGAAGACAACCTGGAGGGGGGGAAACAGTCAGTGAGAACAAGGAAACACGGGAGTCAGTTCCATGCCTGTCAGATCAAGGGACTTGAATAACCTAGAACAGCGCCCATGTGCTGGGTTCTGGGCAATTTGGGAGTAAAAATGTACCAAGTCCTTCGGGTGGAGCACCAACCCTGCATGACGCTTGATGGAATGCAGAACACACTAGCAAAGGTAACCCAGATCTGCTCCAAACACACAGAGGAAAAAATTGCCGCTGGTTCGATTTTATGTGCAAAAGAAACAAATGGCAGGAGATGCTGTGGGGTCTGTGGGGTTACTGCCCCGCAGTCTGTCCTCAGATGTTATTTTCTTCCAGCAGCAGAACCCGGCTGAAGAAAAACAGGGAAGAGTAGATGGGGAAGCTGCAGATCTCTGAGCTCCTCATTTGTCTGCCATAGGATCCCCCGTAACCCACTAACTTTTTGACTGGGGGCAAATCTGCATTTAAGATATGGTCCCATCTACTCTGCGCACACTTCAAATCTGAAGAATCATGAATTGTGCAGGCTGTTTATGTTAGCCAGATTTAATATGTTTCCATCGATGATAGTAAGAGGAAGATATTTAGCTCTCCCAGAAGCAGAGTGCCTCTGCAAATGTAGTAAACAGGAACCTGATACTTTGGAGCATATTTTCTTTTCTTGTGATTTTGGCATTTATGCCAGAAGACAATTATTACAGGCCTTACAACCTAACAGGCTCAATTCTATGCCACCAACGGTTCAGGATCTGCTCTCAGACAAGAATGATCAAATTAATAGTGGCTGAATTTTTGAGTGATGTCCATGTAGAAAGACTGAGCCATTATAGAGAGATTTTGTGGTTCTTAATTGATCGGTGATGTGGTAGTGTTATATTGTATTATTTATGAAAATTGATTCTCTCTGGAGTTAAAGATCTGACTGGGACAAACCTTGTTATGCTGAAATTGTATTTTGCACAATTTGTATACGGTGTTTGTTTGATAATGCGTGGTTTGCTATGCCTAATAAAGGATTGACTTTTTTTACTCTGTGAGCACTCACGTTTCGAGGCAACAAGAAGCATTCCTGAAACAGGGGGGAAACCACCTTGCTGCAACAGCCATTAGACTAACCCAACAGGCCCGGAGTGTTAAGACAAGGGAGGGCGGGATGAAGCTACCATGACAAATGGCTAACTCAAGCTCCAGGCCTCAATGAGTGACTTCACGGGCTCTCTTGCTGCTCCAGAGAAGTGACAGCTGCACAAGAAGGGGCCCATTGTTTGGCCCAAGGCTCAGCTGGGTTTTCGGCTCTCCCCCCCGCCCCTTCCCATAGGTGACATCACTGCTGGGGGCAGCGGGAAGCGCCGAGACTCTCCAAATGATGGAGGCCATGGGAAGGAGATGCTTCTTCTCCAGAAACAAAGGGCACGTTTGACGCTGCCCAAGGAACAGAGAAGCCCGGGTAGAACTGGCTCGAGTCTCAGACAAGGCAGGGTTCTTCCTTAAGACAAACTTGAGATTGTCCCTGGCGAGCCAGCTGCTCTCAGCCATTAGGAGACAAGTGAGCTAGGAATTCACCGGGATATACGGAGGCCTTAACACCGGGGTCGAAGGGGCAAAGTTATTCTGTCTTAAGATGTACTCTGAGCATGAGCAGGGGGCACACGGGGACAAGCAAGAGCCATTCAAGGGAGACTGGATTCCGGTTCCCTTGAGTAACCAGAACCAACCCTAGACCTTTCAGTCCTGGGGTGGTGAGCAGGAATCAACCTATCTCCAACTCATTCCCAGGGAAAGTCCACATTGGTGCTGCTTCATTTGTACCTTTCGGAAATCCCGTTTCTCAAAGTCAATTTCGGCAATTTTCTCGTACTCTAGAACAGTTCTGGCGTTGTTCAGCTGCAACGCAAAGCAAGAACACTGTCAGTTTCCATTGTTAACAGCCCATGCAGCAAATAATTCTAAAGTTTTATTTATTTTTATTCAAAATATTTGCAACCCCATCACCCCTTCCGAAGAACAAGATTGCAGGCTGCTTTTCTGCATATCTTGAATTCCACAAATACCTGCCTTATACCTTGTAGAGACTCTCAAGAATCTCTATATTTAAGAATCAAGCTAATACATCCTTAGATGCTATTAGATACAAGCAAGCCAAGGTTGTCGATTCGGGACAACTACCCTAGTTCTGCCAGATGAGTATCCCTCTCTTCAGGCAAACTCAGACTTGAGAAAACCATACCTCTTGCTGAGCTTGTGCGTTTTTATGATCCAGTTCTAAAACTCGTTGGAAGCAGCGGCTGGCAGCCATGGCGTTGCCCAGAGATAGGTGACACTTCCCCTCCCGTAGGTGTCCCTGAGAATGGAGAGGTGGTGGTGAGTGGCAGAATCTCGACAGCATGCAGTGTAAATGTGGATCATCAGTAGGGGAGCTGCACATATTATTTTCATTATTTATTAAATTTGTGGGTAGTTTAATCTTGCCCACGGCAACCAAAAGCAACTTAAAACAGACATCGACAGTAAAACCCACATAGATACATTAAAACCAAGAGGAAAGAAAAGTACAGTGGTACCTCGGTTTAAGAACAGCCCTGTTTACAAACTATTCGGTTTACTAATTATGCAGAACCGGAAGTAGTGTCCTGGTTTGCAAACTTTACCTCGGTCTAAGAACAGAATCCAAACAGTGGAAGGGCACCGGCGGCAGGAGGCCTCATTAGGAAAAGCACGCCTCAGTTTAAGAACGGTTTCAGTTTAAGAATGGACTTCCGGAACGTATTAAGTTCATAAACCAAGTTACCACTGTACATCAGAAGCATCCCATCCACTTCTAAAAAGCCACAGATAGTTAAAGGCCAAAGGCCTGGTTATAGAGGAAAGTTTTCGCCTGATGCCTAAGGATACAAATGATGATGCCAGGCGAGCCTCCCTGGGGAGCGCATTCTGCAAACGGGGAGCCACCGCAGAAAAGGCCCTGTTCTTGCATTGCTGTCCTCCAGACCTCTGACAGAGAAGGCACATGAAGGAGGGCCTCAGATGATAATCGCAGGGTCCAGGTGGACTCATATTGGGAGGAGGCAGTCTTTGTTGTGGTCCTGCGCTGTTTAAGGTTATAAATGTCAAAGCCAGCACTCTGAACTGGGCTTGGAAATGGATTGGCAGCCAAGATTGGTGCTATATGCTGATACTGTCTTGCCACATGGAATAACATACCCGCAAAAAGCTGTCGTCCATCCTGACGGACTGCTGGGCATCCCCCAGGGCCTCCCGGAATTTGCCTAGCATCATGAGCGTGGCAGCACGGTTCCCATAGTAGCTGGCATTGCTGGGGCATGCATCTTGAGGACAGGGAGCAGAAGCGTTAAGTACAACAAAGACAGAGTAGAAATCCCCACCTTACCCTGTCCCCAGATCCTTGCCCTTTCAATAAGATGGAAGCAGAAAGCAAACACCACTCACTGGTAAGCTAAATTCTGGATCCCTAATGAAATTCAGAGGTCTGTGGTTTCGTTTGCACGTTATTATTCTTTAACAATTCAAGTTCGATAAAAATTGAAAGGTTAGTTTTTTAGATCTTGTGCCAACCCTCACCACCAAGTCCCAATGGTTTTTTTCTCTCCCCACTCCCAGTAAAATGGCACTTAGTAGAAACCATTCATTTCAATGTTTGTGCCTTTGCTCTGGGCATATAAACGACGAGGAAAGAAAAGGAAAGAAAAAGGGCGAGTGGAGAGAACAGAGGTTAGAATCAGCAGGAAAGTTAAGGAAAGTTCAGAGGGCAAAAAAATGGGGTAGGGTGGAAGACCCAGGAAAGATCCACTCTGAAATTTCAGCCCAATATTGCTATCCTATTTTTCAAGCTGCCTCCAAAACCATGTTCAGCAACTTTTTAAAATCTAGTTTGTAAGGCTGAGATTCTCAGGACTTTGAAATTTTTACATTTCTGCATGTGAAACAGTCAGGTATGTGACAGCTTGCTTACACAAATATGGTTCAACTATAATATTGAGAATCACAGTGTTGCTTGGTGCACAAGAGAAACCTTGCCATTACACATGTGTTACAAGGACCTCTGCATCCAGGATGTTGGATCTAACTGTGGTATTCTGTTGTTGACTATGTATTGCCTACCCTGAACTGAGGCAAAGTATTACAAATCAGAGCAGAAGCGAGAGTTTCGGATGAAGAAAATCAAGGCCCTTGTGGCCAGAACCAAATAGACCCACAGGCACGTTGCACCAATTCTCTGATTAACAAACCAAGAAAGCCATTCTCTCTCCTCACCTATCGCTTTTGTGTAGTAGTTGAACGCTTCATTGTAGTCCTTCTTAGCGTAAAAGGCATTTCCTTGCTCCTTGAAGGACTCTGCTTCTCTGAAAAGAAACAAGCTATCACAACCAAGAAGAGGCAGCAAGATCCAGCATAGGCAAGGCAACAGGACAGAGCAGGGCTTCCAAACGTCTGAGTTAACTGATCCCCTGATGAGCTTCTGAAGTTGTCATCAACCCCAGTCCAAATTCTTAGGAACGTAAATGAAATTAAGAATGCCAATATATAAGCAGCGTTTATTACTCAGTCTCTATTGCTAGGACTCATAATATGTTAAGTAATAAGGAATACTGTTATACTGAGGAATCATATGATTAAATACAGGTAACTCATTGGCAAGGGATCTGCACTCTGTACGTGCCTGTGTCTTTTGTTTTAGACACTCGTAGTTCCCAATATATCGGGACGTGGGTGGCGCTGTGGGTTAAACCACAGAGCCTAGGACTTGCCGACCAGAAGGTCAGCGGTTCAAATCCCCGCGACAGGGTGAGCTCCCATTGCTCGGTCCCAGCTCCTGCCAACCTAGCAGTTCGAAAGCATGTCGAAGTGCAAGTAGATAAATAGGTACCGCTCCGGCGGGAAGGTAAACAGCGTTTCCGTGCGCTGCTCTGGTTCGCCAGAAGGGCTTAGTCATGCTGGCCACATGACCCAGAAGCTGTACGCCGGCTCCCTTGGCCAATAAAGTGAGATGAGCGTCGCAACCCCAGAGTCGGCCACGACTGGACCTAATGGTCAGTGGTCCCTTTACCTTTACCTCCCAATGTATTTTTTCATACTACACCACTTGAGCTTATTTTCCACCCTAGGCTCTTTTTGAACCCCTGGTCTTTATTCACATCCTGCACAGTCCCACTGACCCCAATATCAACCACTTTGGGAAACCCTGGGATAGAGGGTCACGCAATCAGCTAACCATGGTGCTAATGGCAGAGACTCCTCCCAGAAGCAGGAAAGCCACCCAAAGCTGTTGTTCATAAGGAACTGTGCACCATTTCTAGACAATCATCAAGGATACATGGCTGAGAATGATTTTAAGAGGCCATACAGAAGCTCCCCCAGCCCTGGGGAATGGATCACCTTAAACCAGGGGTGCACAACTCAACCAAACTGAGATCCCATGGAATGCTTTACACTAGAAACACTGTGTGTGGCCTGTCATGTTTCAAACGGAGGTCACGTGGCTGGGAACGAGGCATGCAATTAGGTGCTCTCACCATTGTCTTCTCTCCTCTGTCCTAACCATGGTTCAGAGTGAGTTTCAGATCCTGGTTAAGAGGGAGATGTGGTTTGCACCCACTGTGGCCACCATTGGTGCTGTTGGAGAAATTCATGTGTTAACTAACCCCTCCCCCTCTTTCCTTTCTCCTTCTGTGATGGAACTCCTATTTGGGGACTTCCCTGGCTTTTTTCTGGCCCATGTAGGACCAGTCTGGATAGTTGGCCTTGGTGAAGATTTGACGTTTTCATCCCCAAGTTTTTGATATGAGTTTCTATTGAAACGAGGCTGCATTTTAATGTTGTACTTAATCTTGTTTTTAAGTTGCATTTTAATCAATTGTTTTTATACCTGGTGTTAGCCGCCCTGAGCCCAGTCTTGGCTGGGGAGGGCAGGGTATAAATAAATAAATATTATTATTATTATTATTATTATTAACTATGCAAGCTGAGCAAGTTTCTCGATTGTTCATTTGCAACTGAATCATTACCTGTCTCACACCTAACGTCATATGACACTGGGCTAGAGGTGGCCATGGCCAGGGGAAATGGCCTGGCGGGCCAAATTAGGAAGAATGGGGGGCCCTATATGGCCCATGGGCCACAGGTTTCCCACATAGGGTTTTAAGGGTGTGTAGGCTTGCTATGGTTTTCCCAGTAGTGATGTATGGAAGTGAGAGCTGGACCATAAAGAAGGCTGATCACAGAAGAATTGATGCTTTTGAATTATGGTGCTGGAGGAGACTCTTGAGAGTCCCATGGACTGCAAGGAGATCAAACCTTTCCATTCTGAAGGAAATCAGTCCTGAGTGCTCACTGGAAGGACAGATCCTGAAGCTGAGGCTCCAATACTTTGGCCACCTCATGAGAAGAGAAGACTCCCTGGAAAAGACCCTGATGTTGGGAAAGATGGAGGGCACAAGGAGAAGGGGACGACAGAGGACGAGATGGTTGGGCAGTGTTCTCGAAGCTACCAGCATGAGTTTGACCAAACTGCGGGAGGCAGTGGAAGACAGGAGTGCCTGGCATGCTCTGGTCCATGGGGTCACGAAGAGTCGGACACAACTAAACGACTAAACAACAACAACAACAGGTTTGCATGTGGTTAATGAATCAGGAAATTACACCTGTACCTTTGTTTCTATTGTGAAGACCTGAACAAAATGGCCTATGTGGCTATTACTCCTGATTGTTATAAAGAACCTCCCAAGTTGAAAGAAAATATGCCAGTGAATACTAATTTCAGAGGATACAAAGTGACGGGATGGCTACTACACCCCCTTCCTTGTAGGATGCTGGTCTGAAAGGACGTTGTCTTATACAGCAAGTCTCTTCTTGCAATGGCCCAAACTGACATGCTCATGGGAATATTTTCAGTTGACCAGAATGTTTTCAATCGACTAATCAAGTAATAGCTGCAAAGCAGACTCAAACCATAATGGACAGATAGCTTTAAGCAGATCTATTCAGCAGAGTGCCACCTCCTCACTACTCCCAGGCAAGAGGCAAGAGAAAGGCACTCTGGAGTGGACAATGCCAGCTATGTTAGGACAGCCCCTTGGAGAAAAGAGCAAAACAATAGAGAGTTGTGTTGGGGTGTGTTAACATGGTTTTAACCTCATTCTGGCCCCAACACTGGCCACCCCCTCTGGATTCCCTTCCCCCAAGGGTGTTCTCACTAGAATGGCATGGTTCATCCATTCTGCCAATACAATAGAAGCCAAGGACATCTCATCTCCCCAGGCGGCTCAGGGGCGGTGAAAACCATGACATGTGCAGCTCACGTTCACTGCAGCCAATCAAATTTGGCTCAAGAAGCTAACCATGGCCCTGATTCGTCCCTTCCTTATACATAATATAGTGGTTTAAGAGGAGTGGCACAGGCGGTTCAATAGGTTTGGGACAGTCAAAGAACAATTTTTAAAGTTCCAAAACCCTTCATTTTCACTTTAAAAAAAATACTGTTATTTATTGCAGGTAGGCATGAGAAAACAAGGTCCACATTAAGACATAATTTGAAACCATGATTTCCCACTCTGTGGATTTGTGTTGGGCTCACTTAACAGAGAAGACTGGAATCATTCTCTTCTGGCTTGAAAACCAAAGTCGGCTCCCCACATCAACACAATGGAAAATGGTTTCAGAACAAGCCTGGATCAGAAACATACGACTGACCCTGGCTTGTTCTCACTAAAAAGAATAGTAAAAACAAACCACAGTTTCTCAGGTCTGGACCGTCACATGGAACTGTGGCTTGTTTGAAGTCAAGAGCAAAAGCTCCAACTTCCTCCTCACAGGCACGAAATGGAAGAGGAAAGGGCAACAGATTTGAGTCCAAGGCTCACTAGCTTATTTTGTCAGAACCAGACCAGTGAGTCTGGTTGGAATATTAGGAGGTTTAGGCCTAGTTCTTACAAATAGCAGGTGACATGGTAAACCAGGGCCGGCAGTCTGTCCCATTATGGACTGCAGGTGGGCACGTACAAGGGCAAGAGAAATGGATGACTGCCACAATGTAGAAATCGCAAGACGTGTTTCCTGCTCCACCCACTCATAAAATCATAGAATCATAGAGTTGGAAGAGACCACAAGGGCCATCGAGTCCAACCCCCTGCCAAGCAGGAAACACCATCAGAGCACTCCTGACATATGGTTGTCAAGCCTCTGCTTAAAGACCTCCAAAGACGGAGACTCCACCACACTCCTTGGCAGCAAATTCCACTGTCGAACAGTTCTTACTGTCAGGAAGTTCTTCCTAATGTTTAGGTGGAATCTTCTTTCTTGTAGTTTGGATCCATTGCTCCGTGTCTGCTTCTCTGGAGCAGCAGAAAACAACCTTTCTCCCTCCTCTATGTGACATCCTTTTATATATTTGAACATGGCTATCATATCACCCCTTAACCTCCTCTTCTCCAGGCTAAACATGCCCAGCTCCCTTAGCCGTTCCTCATAAGGCATCGTTTCCAGGCCTTTGACCATTTTGGTTGCCCTCCTCTGGACACGTTCCAGTTTGTCAGTGTCCTTCTTGAACTGTGGTGCCCAGAACTGGACACAGTACTCCAGGTGAGGTCTGACCAGAGCAGAATACAGTGGCACTAATACTTCCCTTGATCTAGATGCTATACTCCTATTGATGCAGCCCAGAATTGCATTGGCTTTTTTAGCTGCTGCGTCACACTGTTGGCTCATGTCAAGTTTGTGGTCAACCAAGACTCCTAGATCCTTTTCACATGTACTGCTCTCAAGCCAGGTGTCACCCATCTTGTATTTGTGCCTCTCATTTTTTTTGCCCAAGTGCAATACTTTACATTTCTCCCTGTTAAAATTCATCTTGTTTGTTTTGGCCCAGTTCTCTAATCTGTCGAGGTCGTTTTGAAGTGTGAGCCTGTCCTCTGGGGTGTTAGCCACCCCTCCCAGTTTGGTGTCATCTGCAAATTTGATCAGGATGCCCTTGAGACCATCATCCAAGTCGTTGATAAAGATGTTGAATAAGACCGGGCCCAAGACAGAACCCTGTGGCACCCCACTAGTCACTCTTCTCCAGGATGAAGAGGAACCATTGATGAGCACCCTTTGGGTTCGGTCAGTCAGCCAGTTACAAATCCACTGAGTGGTAGCATACTCAAACCTTCTCCCCCGCTTTCGGGTTCATAGCCTCTTTTAAAGAGATACTGATACCATCTCTTGAAACCTTTCTGCACATGAAATAGAACGACAGTTGGTCTTTTTTTAAAATAACCCCCCCCCCGAAATTCTGGACACCCAATCAGGTGACTGCAGAGGAGTAACAGCAAGTGCTTATCTTTTCTTGAAGGTGCTTTTAAAACAACAACAACAACAACCCTCCTATGTCATAACTAATGGACTGTTCCCACTTCATATCCCAGACACTTCCCCACAATAAAACTGGTTTGTTCAGCAGGTTAGATTTATATCAAGATTGGGCCCAGATCACCACATGTGAACAAGCAGTATGGAAACTGTAATGCCAGCTGAGTCTTTTCCCCATTTATCCAGATAAAAGCTTATTTAAATAGAAAGGGGAGAGATATGCATTAGAGGACATACATAATTTGAAATGTATTCCTAAAGAATAAAGATGTTCTCTAGAATTTAACAGATACTACAGTGGTACCTCTAGTTGCGGACATGATCCGTTCCGGGGTGCTGTTTGCACCTTGAAATGTCTGCAACTAGAGCGGCGCTTTTGCGCAAGCGTGGAGCGCGATAGAGCGCTTCTGCGCATGCGGCGAAACCCGGAAGTATACATTACCAGGTTTGCCGCGTTTGCAACCCGAAAACCCACAACGTGAAGCAAATGCAACAAGAGGTATGACTGTACTAGGATTAGAAGGCAATGAGTGTGACCACAATAGGAAAAAAATGGAACCAGGATACGTGGTAAAGCAGCGTTGAATTTACTGTTTGGTAAAAGGTGCCACCTTCTCAGTTGCTACTATTTATATAAAAAAAGCTGTATTAAGATGGGCCTTTGGTGCCACCAGACTCCTTGGAAGTCCCTAAAAGTGATTTTTTTTGGGGGGGGGGTGTGGCAAATGTTGACATGGCAATAGAGATAAAGGGGATTTTATCCATTTGTTGTGGAACTGTAGTAAGGAAAAGCTGTACAGTTGCCGATGTTCTCAAATAAATAGTTATTTTCTTTGCTAAATTATGTGAAAGAGCAAATACAATCTCCTTATTGGACCTGGGCCATGTAAATTTTTGTAATTTTGTAATTGCTCATGTTACAGAATGGATAGATACAGTGGTACCTCGAGTTATGTTACCTTCGGGTAACATAATTTCGGGTTGTGAACACGGCAATCCCGGAAGTGCATACTTCCAGGTTTCTCTGTGCGCCACATGTGCAGAAGCGCTCTATCGCGCCACGCACATGCGCAGAAGCAGCGCCTCTGGATACGGACTTTTCAGGGTAAGTACAGACCCCGAGGATGAATTAAGTTTGTACAGTGGTACCTCGGGTTAAGTACTTAATTCGTTCCGGAGGTCTGTACTTAACCTGAAGCACCACTTTAGCTAATGGGGCCTCCTGCTGCTGCCGCGCTGCCAGAGCACAATTTCTGCTCTTATCCTGAAGCAAAGGTCTTAACCTGAAGCACTATTTCTGAATTAGCGGAGTCTGTAACCTGAAGCGTATGTAACCTGAGGTACCACTGTATCTGGAGGGTCCACTGTATTTTAAAAGATTAGGTAAGAAAACTTTGGGGACGATTAGAAGTAATAAAGCCAACTGCAGGAATGGAGGAGAGGGGAAATTACAGAAGTATTAAATGGCTGGAAGTTGATTACTCAAAAAGAAAATAGTTGGAACTTCAGAGAAGGGAACTGGTTTTATTATATTAGATTAAGCATCTTTTAAGGTTATTGTCTGGTCTGCACTAAGAACAGTCCAATCGGATTCTGAACTCCTTCATTCTTGTTTATTAATAAATGAAGTATTAGATAGCTTTGTAATAACTCATATTTAATTTGTGCATTAAAAGGTGGTGCATGGTATCTTAATATATTTTTGCTTATGCTGTTGATTGTTGGGCCCCGGGCTTTGGAATATGAAATCCTGGTTAAGATCAACCAGTTTCTCATTGTGTCTGATGAAATGGGCTACTGTGGCTTAATGCCACTTTATTAAACAGGATTCTGGGTCCTGTTCTGGATGTATAATCAATTCATGCAGGGCCCTATGCCAAGCATGTGGGGTCTGTGAATCTGCCCTATACATATTTGCCTTAGAACACTCCTTAAAATATCCTGCGGATACACATCTCCAAAGAGAAGATCAATAATGGCAGGCAAGCTGTTTTTTAGGAGGTTGTTATTGATGTTCTCATTAAAAATCTCCAGTAAGCTTCTGAGAAACAGGAAAAGTTCCTGCAACAAGTACTGAACACTACAAAGAGGGTTTTGCTTTGACTGCTCTATTAGAGCTTTCACTGTTGCTTTGCTAGGAGAATAGATATACAGGCTTTTGCACCAAGGAGGCTTAGCGGGGGGGGGGGGGGGAGCAAAATGCACTAGGCTTTTTGGAAGGATCTGAAGCAGACAAATCAACAGAAGCTCACAGCTCACACCCCAAAACTACAGCTACCGAGGTCCACCATGTTTCATCAATGTGGAGAACGCACACATCAGATATATTTCAGAAGTGAGCCCTGCACTTGTTTACGAACTACTCCTACTACCACAACAAGGGGGAAAATTCTGATCTCCTGATATCATGAGTGATTGTTTCTGCTCCGAACAGATGCCAAAGCCTGAATGAGGTCATTCTGCAAGGCCCGCACTGATGTAGGCTGCATTCCCCCATTTGCTACTTTTAAAGCTGGAGAAAGAATCTGGCTCGGCTAAAAATACAATCCAGTTCTCTGAATGGGTCTCTTTGTTGGGCGAGGAGTTGGCGTCCCTCTCTGGTGAACCCTGGGGGTGGGGGACAGTTACAATAAGCATCTAAAAAAGGAACCACCCACCACTACTAAGGCCCTAGCCATTGCGCAGCTGTGCCAGGAAGGACTAAGATGTCCATACCTCTTGAGTACCACACACCAGTACACTTCCACAGTACCAAAGCAGGTGTGAAACTCAGCCCCTCACAGCCAGATGGAACAGCAAACCAAGATAAAAAAAACCAACAGGCCATTTCAGGGACTAAGAGCTGATAAGCAACTGAATCCAACTGTTAGAGAAAAGATGGAAAAAATGCACACAGCTTCTGGTTCCACCTGCAAGGAGAGAGATATCCCGCTTCGATTAAAATAATACTCAGTACCTAGTCCCCAAGGCTGCGGCGAAATTCGAAAATGCAGCAGCAAAAATGGCAAGACCTGAAAAATCAAAAAAGAAAATGCGCGGAATGACATCCTCAGTCTGTTTTCCATGGCTTCCATTAGTTAATGGCTCGATCAAGGCTGAGGAAAGACTCTCAGATGCCCGCTAAACAGAAATACCACTGAAGAAGACAGACGGTGAGAGCAGCTCAGTTGGTAGAGCACGAGACTCTAAATCTCAGGGTTGTACGTTTGAGCCCCATGCAGGGCAAAAGATTCCCACACGGTAGGTGTTGGACTAAGTCAGGGGTCCCCAAACTAAGGCCCGCGGGCCAGATAAGGCCCAAGGGACTCGTTTATCCAGCCCGTGGCGACCCCTGCCGCCCGCTCGTACCAGCGCTGTGCGGCTGCCCACTTCTGGGTCGGAGGAGGACTGGAAATAGCTTGTGCGCATGCGCAAGTGTTGTTTGCGGTGCACATCCGGGTTGGAGGAGGCCCGTGCACATCCGCACAAGCTATTTCTGGTGCTCCTCCGACCCGGAAGTGCGTCAAAGATAGCGTGTCCGCACGCGTATTGGCACGCGCTCCCCCGCCCCGCGATCGGCGCTGGAGACACCAGCCCAAGGCGTAGTAAGTTTGCTGACCCCTGGACTAAGTGACCCTCATGGTCCTTTCCAATTCTACAATTCCCTTATGAGTACATACTCATCCTGGTTCAATCTCAGGTCAGGGGTGAGCAGTATTTCCACTGCCCAGGGCCTTAGAGTTTTTTGTTTTTATGTCAGGCTGAGTTCAGCAGAATAGATCATGCAGCATATGCAAAATATGTGCATATGTGGGACAATTTATGTAAGCTGCCATTCCCTCAGCACCGTTTTTAGGTGTCCCAGATATGCGACTTTCAAACTGTGTAGAACTGGCATTCTACGGATGGCAATGAGATCACGAAGGGTGGACAAGCTCCTAAGATGGACAGCTTGCCCACCACTAATCCTTTCTTGCAATGTGCAACTGCAAGAGAATGCTAGATTATGCTCCAGGTCGCACTTTCAGTTAAAGCAGAGCAACAGGTTTGGCTGGGGACCTGCATGAACCAAGTGTGAGGTCTTGAGTGCATTGCATATTTTTCTGCAACGTGCTAGGATTCTGCAGCAGATGGGCAGGATAAGTTCTCATGCCAAAAAATCTATATGGAAAGCGTTGAGTTTCCTGAGAAAACAGGAAAAAGTCTGACCAGCTTTTCCACATACAAAATTCAACTTAAGACCAGGCATGAAGCAATAATAGGGATTCACGTTTTTTCATGCCTGGGGCCTAACACATCCTATTTACCTTAAAGTTTCCCCCTTCTTCTTTCAGGCTGTGCCTCACAAAATTATCCTTTTGCATCTAGCAAGCACCACGGGCATGCAGTGGCTGTTTCTCTCTTCCTGCAGCACTCCGTGAACAGGGAGATACAACCTAAGGTGCAGGGAAATTGAATCATTGCAAAATGAGGAAATTAAATATGGGAGGCTGGGATCGAAGGTAGGGCCTGCCCAGAGATGATTTTTGTGCCTGCTCCAGATCTGACTTGTATGATGGCAGGCCAAACAACACACAATGCAGGTTATTGTGGCATGAGAAAAGCTATCCATCTGTGCGCTGGTGCCCTCTAGTGTTTAACATGGAAAACAGTAGTCTGCCTGCTCCAGCAAGGTGTTCAAAAAGCAGGCACTGAGCCACATGGCTTGCGCTTCATTCTGCAGATTTCTTTCATATACACATGGGCAAGGCAGGAAAGGAACTGGGAAAGCTGCTGCTGACAAACTGCAACCTCAAAACCGCATCACTGAGATTCTCTTTCCTGTTAAGGTCGTGCCACAGATCACTTTGCCTGCAGAACACCACTGCACTGCCTCCCTAGGAATTCAGCAGCCTTTGGTTTCGTTTTCCTGGAAACTAGTAAGCTGCCAAATATCCAGGAACTATAAGTGACTCAAGGAGCTGCTGAGTCCTCGTGCTCTAAATAGGTCTGGCCAGAGAGAATTCTTGGATAGGGCACTTTCTTCAATCAAGAAAGCCTTAAAGCTCATACATGGCAAATCAAAAAATAAAAATGAAGGGGGCAGAAAGGGGATGGGGTTGCAGGAAAAATGACTCTGGCAACCCCACTCGCCTTTGAACACAATGGGTTTTGAATGAAGCAATTTTGGCTATGGGCACAATCCCTGGTACGTAACATGCTGGGTTACTCTATTTAAGAAAATAGGCATTAAGTCTTCATAGTTATGCTGCTTTACCATTTAAATGCCTCCGTTGTTGTACATTTCAGTTCTCAAACGCCAAAAACCCAGAAGTAAATTCTTCTGTTTTCAAATGTTTTTTTGGAACCTGAATGTGAGACACAGCTTCTGCTGAATGCAAGAAGCTCTTGCAACCAATGGGAAGCCGTGCCTCGGTTTTCGAACATTTCAGAAGCCGAACGAGCTTCCAGAATGGATTTTGTTCAAGAACCGAGGCACCACTGTACAAAGCTACACCCACAACAAATCTTGCTAGCTATTCCTCTTCTCGTTAAGAGCTGCAGAATACCAGACGCCATGGCCTCATAACAGACACAGCAGAGGGACGCCTCCATGGTATTCCTCAAGTAATCATGGATCCATGGCAGTGCTCTCACCCTGTGCTTTCAGACATACACTTTCCCTTCACACCTTCTATGGAGTTGCTATGGCACCATGTAGAGAATAGGCATGCCTTTCCTTGTAACATGTGAAAAGACCCTGAGAAAGTCATAAGGCATAGGAACAGGCTTCATGAGCAGAGTCCAACTGTGTTTCTGCGACATAACTCATTTGTTCCTGTGCTCTGGATTACATTTGTTAATTTCTGACTTAAAAGGGAAAGTAAGTAGGGGATAGTTTAATGTTGCAGGAGATCTACCTCTGGGCCACAAGGTTAGCCGTGTTATCTATCATCTGGCCCTTTAGAACTCACATTTCGATTTGAACAAAAAACACAACTCACTTTCCTAAAGGAATCTGGTCAAACATACAATGTATTTCCTGTTAAAAGTCTCTGAGAACCCAGTAGATTAGTTGGTGGATATCACAAATAACGTGCAGGCCACTCTGTGAGAATTTAAAACGCTTAAAAATAAATAATGCTTTTCAACACCTGCAGTTACTCTGGTGGAATTATCCCACTGCAGCAATACTAAGGCAAGAGTAATTTTACCTCTGAATGCAGGTAAAGCAAATTCCATGGCGAGTTTTAGAATTACATTGGGAATGTCCAAAAATATGTATCTATCTATTTTAGAAGCCAGGAACTGTAAACAAACAAGCAAACAAAAATAATCATCCAGGTTTTTCCAGAGTCCCAAGTTACACCTGGAAATTTCCACATGAATGGTGATGAACACATTTCTAGCTTCCTTGTCAACTTGCGTGCTGTCTCTTGGGGAGTTGCCCCAGTCTCCAAGGCGTGCTGCAGACTAAAGACTACTCAAGAGAAAAGTCTCATTCTCGATACAGTTCTGATATACACTCCAAGGACCTTCTTGGAACCACCACCCAAGGGCAAAATACAATGAGTGGGTAACTTCTAAGCTGTTTGCGTTCCATGTCCTGCAGTGAACAGATGAACTTCATCTGCAGGGTGACTTGGAAGTAAGGTCAATGGACAATATTTGTCATCTCTTTGACTCCCGTGTATTTTTATAACTTTGACACTGACTATTTATTGCTTGGGCCATCTCTGCCAAGATGCCATGCCAATAACATGCTCTGTAAGTCAGCTTCCCCAAGATACTTCTCTCCCTCTTCTGCACTCTTCCACAAACATTTCAGCATCCCACAGTGCTGCCTAGATTAAAAGTGGTTCTGTTCTTCTCCCATAGTTCTCAAAGTATAACACCAAAAGACTTCTGAAACTAAGAGACGTTCGATAGTGGAATAGACTCCCATGAGGAGTAGGACTCTCCTTCCTTGGAAGTTTTTAGCAGAAGATGGATGGCCATCTGTCATGGATGCTTTAGTTGAGATTCCTGCATTGAAGGGGGCTGGGCTAGATGATCCTTGGCCTCGGGGTCCCTTCCAACTCTACAATTCTATGACTCAACACAAAGAGAGCAAAGGCCTGGATCACAGCAGGAACCAATGTGTTTATCAAAATAAGAAGAGCTCAGATGGATCACGGACAGGGTTTATAGCTAGATGCCTCAGGATGATGAAGAAGAGACCTCTGCTCCCAATCCCAGTCTGTTTAAATCACAACTATTAGGAACGGGTGTTAGGCTAGATACATTGAACATCCTACCAAATTGTGGAAAAGAAGCCCTACCACCTTGTCTTTTTGGACTTGCTTACAATATTGGCTTTTCCAATGAGCATTTGCAGGGAATTCCAGAGGTACTAATAACCTAATGTGACTCTCAGCCATTCATAATGTCACCTTTTGCGGCCGTAACCAGGATCACCCAAGCTATGTTGTACTGCTGTGGCTTTCAAGTTTCAGAGAACCCTTTCTATTTTGAGTTACCTGCTGAGAAACAGGATTGGGGAATGTATTTGGGGAAGCAGTTAGCACATGTAGGGCACTGGCAAGGCCTACTTGGTGAGTTTTGCTTTGTTTAAAAAGGAGTATTGTTAAATACTGTCTTGCATCTGCACATAAAGGAAGAGACGAGTAATGACAGGGAAACAGTTCGGTGTTTTCTGCAGTTAATACTGTTCTCATTAAAGAAACCCCTAATAAGCTTCCAAGCAACCACAGAGCACCCCCTACTATACCATTTAAAAATTCACACAACAACAGTACCAGGTGTAGTTTAAAGGGGGGAAGGAAGAAAGTTTTTGTCTCCTTTCTTTTCTCAAAACAGTGACCTCATGCCCTGGTATGCCAAAGTGAACTGTTAGAAAGTTTAAGGGCAGAGCCATTGGCTGGCATCTAACAAAGTTGTTCTGTTCGCACAATAACTTCCACCTGCACAACGGATGGGACTTCTTCACCCTCTTCTATCCCTATGCCCTGCAAATCTCTGAAGCGGGTGTGTGTGTGTGTGTGTGCGTGTGCAGGGAGAGGACAACTTCTTTGAAGACAGCCCATTGCTTCCAGACATATCCTCTGGATCTGTGTGTGGGCAACAAGAGACCATACGGTACTCCTTGTGACTAGGGTGGGGGTGGTTTAGTAGCTGCTGCTACTTTTGGAGAATCAGCCTGGGCTTTGCCCATGGGAAGCTAACATTCAAACCCCACCTAAGCCATGAGCTCACCAAGGGCACATCACTCTTTCTCACTCGAGTCTAACCCATTTTACCAGACTCCCTTAAGGAAAAACCACATTGTTTACCTTTTGCAAAATGGTTAATCACAAGTGCTGTGAGTCAAACCGGGAGCAGGACAGCTAAATTAACCGTTCCCTATCTCTCATTACTGTAATAACTGTGACACACCCCAAGACCGTAGGGCAGGAAAAAAGTCCAAAGAAACACGTGCCATTTCCTTTCCCCACAAAAATCTCATTCAGTTAAGTTAGGCAGCCAGAAAAGGATTTTCCCCCCTTCTGTCACATCACCCTGCTCATTCGGTCAGACAAGGTCACCACTCCAGTAGTTACCCTGGAAGTTGCTACTATACTTAATCAGATGACTAGTCTATGTAGCTCATTCTTATCTACTTTACCCTGAAAGGCAGTTGCTGTCCAGCATTTCAGATACACGCTACCCCCATCAGGCTTACTTGGGAGATACCAGGGATTGAACATGGGAACTTTTGGCCGTCCAGATGTTGCTGAATGACAACTCCCATCACCCCTACAAACACAGCCAAAGGCCAGGTATGGCGAGAGTTGTAACTCGGCAACATCTGGAGGGCCAAAAGTTTCCTGGACTTGATGCAAAGTTTGAGATCTAGCCATTCCCTCACAGAGAACAAATCACAAGTTCCTGAATTGTTATCTGAAACTCTTTGCAAACCACGAGTCAAGGGCAATCAGTTTTCACCATACACCTCTGGACTAGTCACTGACTTAGCCACAAGCTAAGTTTAAAATATTTATTTTTCTCCCCAAAGAACAGACCTGGCTGTAAGCCAACCAGGCTTATAAGTGAGGAATGAGTGGAAGGTTAAACCCTCATTTCTATTGAAGCAGACTTCTAGTCACTTTTGTAAAACAATTGATTGCTTTCACCTAACACCAGACTCACAACTTTTATCAACAAGATGGGGAAATGCAGTGTCCCACCAAATATTTCATACTGGAACCCCAATTAGTTCTCTGCAATAAGTGAACTAATACAAACCAACCAGAATCACCAACATGGTATTCATCCCCATTTATAGAAGTTGTATGGCAACTTCCCACTGGAAGAACAGCTTTGATCCATCCCCAACCCAAGAGGGCACCCTGTGCAGCACTCATCACACTGTCAAAAGCACACGACTTCTCCCAAAGAATCCTGGGAACTGTAGTTTACCCCTAACAGAACTACAATTCCCACCACCCTTCAGTCCCCTGGATTCTTTACAGCTGCAGCGGTGTGTATGTGTTTTAAGCATATGATGTGTACGCCACCACAATCCCTAACCCCAACCTTCTAAAAATTTTACACACTATGAGCACCATTAGCTGCCTTGAGCACTATTTTGTGGAAAGGTGGGAAATAAAGTTAACAAATAAAAATGAACCAAACAAATACAGTTACACTACGGCAATACTGGGTCATATGCCAAGGATCCCTGGCTTGTGAAGCACTTCAAGGACTTTGATAAATAATAACGTAATCCTAAATACACTTAGAACTGCAGCATTAGGGAACAAGGCCCATTGAACTCTGCCTTAAGCACACACATCAGGCTCAAAAGAGGATGAAGACTCCTGGGCTGAGCCTTGGGCTCTTTTGGGGACTAAATCCTACTGTTAAACCCTCACACATAGACATTTTAAAACCTCAAACACAGTGGTACCTCGGGTTAAGGACTTAATTCGTTCTGGAGGTCTGTTCTTAACCTGAAACTGTTCTGAACCTGAAGCACCACATTAGCTAATGGGGCCTCCTTGCTGCTGCCGCACCGCCAGAGCACGATTTCTGTTCTCATCCTGAAGCAAAGTTCTTAACCTGAGGTACTATTTCTGGGTTAGCGGAGTCTGTAACCTGAAGTGTATGTAACCCGAGGTACCACTGTACTGTATGGGACCAAGGACCCCTCTTGCACAATATGCTATTCCTAACGGTGTGCAGTTAAGAGGCTTCTATGAAGCCTAATAAGTGGAGAATTAAAGGAGGAACCTTCCAGGAACATAGTAAGCTGCCTTATACCAAGTCAGAACCGCTGGCTCATCTTGCTCAGTACTGCCTACACTGGCTGGCAGCATTTCTCCGGGGTTTCAGCCTAGGAAGCCTCTCCCCAGCCCAACCTGGAGTTGCCAGCGGGGACTGAACTGGGGACCTTCTCCTTGCAAGGCAGACTCTTGAGGGGTAGCCCCCCTCCCATGACTCACCCTCCCAGCACCTGGCATTTCAGAAGCAGCACACGGGTCTACACAGACCAGCCTCTCTCAACCTTTCCCACCCCCCAGGAGGTTGATGGACTACAGCTCCCATCACCCCCCTGGCCATCTAGGGATGATGTGAGTTGTAGGCCAGCGACACCTACAGGGAATACACACAATTAATTGGCTTTATCCTACGGTCCTTTGGGGGCACAGCTGACGACAATGCACCTCTCTCGCGCGCGCCCCCCCAACCCCCGCTTACTTCCCCCTCCCTCACCTGCAGTGCAAGCCCCGCCCCTCGCCGCCTTCTCCCCTCCCCCACCCGCACACCGAGGCCGCCCCTCCCCCCTCCATGGGTCTCCCCCCCCCCGTGTGGGGAGTGTGCCTGGAGGGGGCCCTCGGGCGGAGGCTCTTACCTGCGCGTCCCCGCGTCCTCGTCCTCGTCGCTCAACATCGCCGGCCCCTCAGGGTGAGAAGGCGCCACCAGGTTCGCCGCCGCGGGCGTCATGATCACGTCGCACTCGCCTCCTCCCGCCGCCGCCATCTTGGCTTCCTTGTTGCAGGCGATCAACGGCCGGCGAGCCGGGAAGGGAGAGAAAAGGGAGAGAGAGCGAGCGGGAGAGCGAGAGCGAAAGGAGGACGGGAACGGAAGCTCACACGTCCACTTCCGGAGAACGAGTCGTGGCGGGTAGAACGCCCACTTCCGGCTTGGCTGAACAAGGAGAGGAAGGATCGGAGTCCGCCAAGAGGGAACACCGGCTCCTTCTTTTTTTTCTGTGTGGCGGGAGGAGCCCCCTCAACCCGTGAGAGGAATAAGCATAAAAGGGACTCAAAAGATGGATAATTATTATTTGCCCGTGCTCACCAATCCAAATCTGATCTGTATCCGGAAATTTTTAATGTCTGACGTTTTATTATGTTTTTATTCGTGTTGGGAGACGCCCAGAGTGGCTGGGGCAACCCAACCAGATAGGTTGCGTATTATTATTATTATTATTATTATTTGTTGTACATCATAATATGATGCTCTGGCATTCGTTCTCTCTCATGTCAGTCCACAAGTAAAAAATGATAATTGTTGCAACTGTTTTACTTTATTTCTCTATGTTCACATGCAACCAAGTTTGTAAATCTGTGCAAAGATTTTTATTTTTTATTTTGAATTTTACAAAATCAATAAAAGAACTGGGGCTCATTGCTGGTACTGGGTTCCCTCAGTCCTTATTTTTGCCTGTTTAGGAAGGAGTTTCGTTGAACTCAGCTGGATTCATCACTTTAAAGAAAAAAGCCTATGTAAAAACATAACTAACATTTTACATAAATATATTCAATCACCCTGAGAAACACACCAGAAGGATATGACAGTGATAACTTTCCTATAGTCCTCATTTCCAACATCTGGTCCACTCAAAGCTTTAATCGGAACCTGTGGCCTGTCCAGACGCTGTTGGATTCCAACTCCCATCAGGCCCAACCAGCATGGTCAATGGTCAGGGATTATGGGAGCTGTAGTCCCAAAAAGTGGCTGGCTGCTGCAGGTTCTTCATCCCTGCTATATAGCTTCAGAACACTAGATTTTCCTTTAGCTAGCATTACTAATGGTGGCTTTTTATGGCTAATGGTTGTTAATAAACCTATCCTTCTCGACTAATGTATTTTTAGTCATTTTAGGGCTCGCCCACACTTCCTCTTGTGCTGTGCCTAGAAAGCATGGGTCCAAGAGGTTTTTAGGTTACCCCACCATTCTTGTTTGTTCTGATTCAGTGGTAAATCCGATCCAACTCCCATCAGTGGCTCCGATCTGGTGGAACGCTCTGTCACAAGAGACTAGGGCCCTGCGGGACTTGACATCTTTCCACAGGGCCTGCAAGACAGAACTGTTCCACCAGGCGTTTGGCCAAGGCACAGCATGACCCCCTCCTTTGGTAATCCTCACAGAACTCTAGCCCAATGGTTGCCATTAATTTGATTTTGAATTGATTCTAAAATGAATTGATTTTAGAATGCTGTGTTACTTTTATTGTTGTTAGCTGCTCTGAGCCCAGCTTCGGCTGGGGAGGGCATGATATAAATATTATTATTATTATTATTATTAACAGCAGGTTTTCCCAGGGGAAAGCAGCCAGTGGCTATCCACCTTGTGGCAGAGAATTCATAAGCTAATTGTGAAAAAATTACATACAGATGCACATAACCATTACATACAGCATACATACATACATACATACATAGAATCATAGAATCATAGAGTTGGAAGAGACCACAAGGGCCATCGAGTCCAACCCCCTGCCAAGCAGGAAACACCATCAGAGCACTCCTGACATATGGTTGTCAAGCCTCTGCTTAAAGACCTCCAAAGAGGAGACTCCACCACACTCCTTGGCAGCAAATTCCACTGTCAAACAGCTCTTACTGTCAGGAAGTTCTTCCTAATGTTTAGGTGGAATCTTCTTTCTTGTAGTTTCTTGTACATGACCACATTACATACAGCACATAACCATTCTCTTTGTTGTAGTATTCCACCATTTCCCCCATCCCACAGAAATGCAAACTGTGCACTATAAAACTCTTCCGCACTGTGCAATTTATGCTGCTGTCTTAAGTGTTCTGCATCTGAAGATCGCTTGACAATTGCAGAGCATAGCAAAGCAACATTTCACATGCAACCCTAGATGGAGCTGTGGGCTGCATTCTTCTCTTTCTGCCACTTCTCCTAGCTCTGCTGACTTGTTGGCCCTCAGTTCCTCTCCAGGCTGAAGCTGAAGGCAGAAAGTAACGAAACAAAGGGTCAAGCGCCTTGGGAAGGTAAGTCTATATAGCCCCATGCAGGTGTGCACTGATCAGCCTGTCAGGATCAGCCGAACTTTCTCAGATGAAGCTCTCAAAACAGGATGCACCATTTAGAAAAGCATGATCAGTGTGGAATTGCATGCTCACGTCATACCAAGGGTTTATGCCACTCGTTTATGTGACAGCAGACCTGTGCACAGGCCCAACAGGGAACAGCCACCAGTCCAGGCTTTCTGGTTAGCATACCTGTATGACGCACAAGGAAAAGAGTCTGGCAGTGCCTTGAAGAGGAATGCATTCGTTGTTGGCATAACCTTTTATGAATTAGAGCCTACTTCGATGCAAGGTGAATCCTATGCTGGGCACGGAGTAAAAAGGATTAGGAATAGTGGGGCAAAAGTCTAGTGAAATTTGACACTTCTATGTGACGTAGAAAATGTATGCAAGATGAAAACAGCGACCTTTTTGCAACAACAATGAAAACTTTTCTTTTCTGTGCAATGCTTGCAATGGGCAAGAAACGCATGACTTGGACTCCTTAGCAGGTTTTGAATAAACACCCACAAGTTTATTAGTTGAATATATGATAGACAAGGCAAGGATATGTACAATTTTATAATATGCAGAGAATAATATGTGCAAAGAAACCAGAGAGGGGAGCTGAGGGAAGTCCTGGGTGGGAGAGGGAGGGGAAGGGAAAAAATAATGTAATTTAATGCCTGGATTGATAAATTGTTATGTTGAAACTGTTTAATATTTTTTTTAAAAAAATAAATAAATGCATGGACGTGATTAAATCAGATTGCAGGATAACATTTGATACATCGCAGCATTGGAACGATACATTCCTCAAATAATAAAATGTGTGAATCGGAATCGCAGAGCTGGAGATAAGTTTCTAGAGCTCCTGACGGGGGTCAGTCGAAAGCAAGACTGCTGGACCTTGCAGTGTGTCTTTCCCCAGACGACTGATCCTTTTAGGGCCGCTTGCATTCCTGCTCACGCCCTTTCCCCCAATTTGCTGGTACAAACCTGGGCTCCAGGCAGCCTGGCTGTTCTGCTGGAAGTCCCTCCCTGAAACTCCAAAAAACAGCCTCAGGCACATAGCTCAGCGACAGAGTGTTTGTTCTGCCTGCAGTTGATCCCAGGTTCAGACCCCGGCTCCTCTTGGTATGGCTGGGGACAGACTCCCGCCTTAAACCTTGGAAAGCCTCTGCCAGTCCGCATAGACCATACAGAGCTAGACAGACCGATGTCCTTTGGTGCTTCCTTTGCTCCTGTGCCCACACAGAGATGTGTGGGTGTTTGTATGCGTATGTATGTTTTCACCGCATGCCTTCCATTTGCAGCTTCTTGCATTCTTCCTCTTCCCCCACCGACCAGAAGATGGGGAAGAGCTGCAAAGTGGTAGTATGTGGGCAAGCGTCCGTTGGGAAGACCTCTATCCTGGAGCAGCTCCTCTATGGGAACCATGTGGTCGGTGAGTGTTGGCGTTCAGCTGGGCACAACTCACTAGCCTTGCTTGTTCAGGCCTAAACTGGTTTTTAAGGCTAATTCAGACCCCCTCCAAGTGTCCCTATTTTCTGGGGACAGTCCTGGATTTACAGAAGCCGCCCCGGTTTCTGAGTTGATCCCGGAATGTCCTGCATTTCCTTAGGACGTCCCTATTTTCATCAGAGAAATATTGGAGGGTATGGTAGGACGTCCCTGTTTTCACTGGAGAAATGTTGGAGGGTGTGGAGATAAGGAACTATACAGCCTTTAGAAGACATCTGAAGGCAGCCCTGTATAGGGAAGTTTTTGTTTAAAGTTTAATTATGTTTTTATATATGTTGGACACCACTCAGAGATGGGTGGGGTAATAATAATAATAATAATAATACGTCCCATTTCCCCATTTTCATAAGAGAAATGTTAGAGGGTATGACTATCCTTCTTGTTCAAGCCTAAATCATTTTTTAAGGCTAATTTACTGTACAGAGCCACTGCGAAAATTAAAAAGCGTCTGTTGCTTGCCCATGTATATCCTGCACATCATTGGGAGTGATTCCAAGTGGCCAGGGAGAAAATATCCTAGCCTCAGTCCCATGTTTCTTGGGGAGTGTCAGCTGTTTCACCACCCTTTGGCCTCAGCTCCAATGTTCTTCTCAGGCCCTGATTCACAAAAAGGTTGCAGCAAGAAGTAAAGTGTTTCTATCAGTTACTCTGTAGCTCCAGAATGAATGTCCCTCTCTCTCTCATTGGCGGGTCTTCTGGAGAGGGTGCAGAATCCCACTCTTCTGTCTGACCCACAGCTCAGCTGGTTAGTTCTTTCGTTAAGTGCCGTTCACTCTGTTTTGTTTGTAGGGGGTTAATAATTATTTTTGATTCTTTGCACACTGCCTAGCGATGCAGCTTGAAGAATTAAATATATAGCCACTAGAAAGTTAACATGCAGTGCAGAATCGTGAGCAAAGTGGAAGTTCAGTTTGACTGGGTTACACGGAACCCAGAGAGAGGGGGAATTCGATGTTGTGTTAGTTAGGCAGGCAGGAGAACACAGACGGTTGGGTGTTTGCTAGAGGCCCAAGGCCAGCAGAGAGCTCATTACCCTAGCATTACAGTGGACGCTCGGGTTGCGAACGTAATCCGTGCAGGAGGCACGTTCGCAACCTGCAGTGTTCACAACCCGCAGCGCCGCGTCTGCGCACGCGCGGGTTGCGATTTGGTCTTCTGCGCATGCGCAAAGTGCAATTTAGCGTTTCTGTGCATGTGCGAGTGCCGAAATCCGGAAGTAACCTGTTCCAGTACTTCCGGGTTTCAGTGCATCCGTAACCCGAAAACGTGCAACCTGAAGTGTCTGTAACCTGAGGTATGACTGTATTACCATTTCCACTTTGTAGAGAGCACCTAAGAAGATCAAATGCAGCACACGATCATTCTCAGTTTGCAAACCCCACCTCTTTCAGGTTAAGGGCCCCCACAAAGGATACTGTTGTTGAGAGCGCCCACCCCCACCCCCACCCCCCAAAAAAGCCTGGAGTCTATACTGAGGGTGGGTAAAGGGCCGAAAGGCTGGTCGGCTGACAAAACTGAATTCTGGAGACAAAAAAAAATGCAGAGGCAGAGTGTCAAGAAAAATGTGGAAGAAGTTGAGTGCTGCTGGCAGGAAAACTGCAGACAGGTGAGGCAGCTTTGGAGTCTTACACAACAGGTAAATCTGTCTCAACCAGTCGTGAATATGGGGCAAAACAAATACTGCAGAAGACAGAAACCTTGGGCCACATAGCAATTGCACTCAGGCTGCATTCTTCTTCTTCTCTGGCGATCACTCGTAGCCGAGTAAGATTGTCTTCCATAAACACGGTTTTAACAGTGGGTCCGTAAGTGACTGTGGAGGCCAATTCTGGATCCACACGTCCTTCCGCAGTGGGGACATTGGTATCCGGGCTGGAGTTGATCACGGAGTGGATTTTCCAAGCGTGCCTTCCTCTTAGCACGTTTCTCCCTTGCGTCCTGCATTTAAACGTCTTCAAAGCCCATGACACCTTTGGTAAAGGCTGTTCTCCAGTTGGAGCACTCGCAGGCAAGTGTTTCCCAATTGTTCGTGTTTATACTACATTTTTAAAGATTTGCCTTGAGGCAGTCTTTAAACCTCTTTTGTTGACCACCAGCATTACGCTTTCCATTTTTAAGTTTGGAATAGAGTAGTTGCTTTGGAAGACGATAATCAGGCATCCGCACAACATGACCAGTCCAACAAAGTTGATGTTGAAGAATCGTTGCTTCAACACTGGTGATCTTTGCTTCTTTCAGTACACTGGCATTAGTTCGCCTGTCTTCCCAAGTTACTGGCTTAAAGTGCAGCTAGGGGCTTATCCACATTTACCTTTCCTCCGATCTTTCCAGGCATGGTTTGCAATTAAAAGCTCTGTGTCTGAGCACCCTTTCTTTTCCTTTTTGCTCCAGAGCTTTCCCCATAAAAACTCGCTCTTTAAAGCTCAATCGGAGTAAACAGCAATTCGCAGAAAACCCAAATTGACATTTGCTCCAATTCAGCTTTAAAAAGCGGTTTTCGCAAGGAATGCTTGGAGCAAGATAACCCTGGGTGCTTGGAGACAGATCTTTAAATCACAGACTTCTGCCTGGAAAGAGCAGGGCAAAAAGTACAGTGGTACCTCGGGTTACATACGCTTCAGGTTACATATGCTTCAGGTTACAGACTCCGCTAACCCAGAAATAGTACCTTGGGTTAAGAACTTTGCTTCAGGATGAGAACAGAAATCGTGCTCCGGTGGTGCGGCGGCAGCAGGAGGCCCCATTAGCTAAAGTGGTGCTTCAGGTTAAGTACAGTTTCAGGTTAAGAATGGACCTCCAGAACGAATTAAGTACTTAACCCGAGATACCACTGTAAGTGCGGATAAGCCCTAGGTCGTTCTTTTTCTCAATTCGGGTTGGAGCTGGTTTGAGGGGGAAACACCCAAAAATGCAGTATTTCCTAAGAAATTAGAGAACATGTATGGACGTGGGTGGCGCTGTGGGTTAAACCACAGAGCCTAGGACTTGCAGATCAGAAGGTTGGCGGTTCGAATCCCCGCGACGGGATGAGCTCCCATTGCTCTGTCCCTGCTCCTGCCAACCTAGCAAGTAGATAAATAGGTACAAAGTGCAAGTAGATAAATAGGTACCGCTCTGGCGGGAAAGTAAACAGCGTTTCCACATGACCCGGAAGCTGTACGCCGGCTCCCTCGGCCAGTAAAGCGAGATGAGCGCCGCAACCCCAGAGTCGGTCACGACTGGACCTAATGGTCAGGGGTCCCTTTACCTTTACCTTTATGGATAGTGTATAACATAATTTTTGCACTGCTTTCCAAAGCAGTGGTGGGAACAGACCTGATGCAGGGCAAATCGGAGTGTGGACACAGCCCTGGTCCCTGACACAAAGTATGGCCATCAGGGTTGGTTCTCCCCGCTCTAGCACAGGTCCAATTGCGTTTAACAGCTGCATGGCAGGCAGAAATCCAACAGGTGCTGCTTTTTCCTGGCATAGGGATGCACCAATGGCACTATGCTTCAGTTATTTAGGGCCAAACTGAATATGACATTAATGCATCTTTGCTTGTTTTGTTTTTAAAGGCAAATTCCATCAGCTTAGTAGGGCTGGTAGTTACCAGATCAGGAGTGGAGAGAGCATGTAACTTTTTCCATATGGAATATCCCTCTTCTAGAACTGAGATTTGCATTTGGAGGAAATTATTCACAGGCACTAATGGAATATTTCTTCCAAATGCTGATAGCAACTGCAGAGACATTTGCTTTTTTGGGTGGGCGGGGAGTTAGCAAAAGATTCTCTGGCTACTGTACAAAGTAAAGGTAACGGTGTTGGCCCATAAGAAAAATGAAAGAAAGGAGCATTGTATGGAAATAATGACCAGGTGGAATTTAGTAACTTGGTATGTGAAGAAAGGAAGTGGGGGTTCCTAGAATTGGAATAATTATAAGATAATTGCTATAAAGGAGGGAAAATTATCAATTAGATATGAATAGGCTCTTCTCTCTCATCTTTAAGCTTCGCAGGATGCAAATAACTGTATTTAAATGAATTACATTATTTATATGTATTTTTAAAATTATGCAAAGCATAAGGTAAATATTGTGTATGCCGTATTTTTCTGTGTATAAGACGCCCCCATGTATAAGACACCCCCTATTTTGGGGGACTCCAAATTAAGAAAACACCCCTCAGCACTACCCGTGTATAAGACGAGCCCCAATTTTAAACCTACTTTTTTGGTAAAAAAAACTTACGTCTTATACACGGGAAAATACGGTAACTACACAATATTTTGTGAACATGTGTACGATATTTTCAATTTGTAAATAAAACCCTAAATCCATAGTAGGGTACTAAGTTTATTAGGCCAGCTGCCAAAATATCACACGAGATTATGAGTTCTCCAGAACTCCTAGTTTACCTGATGGAAGAGTTCTGGAGAACTCCAGAGCTTGCGTGTTATTTTGTTCTGGTTGGCCTAACAAAAGCACTGCCCCGGCTGCTGCGAGTATGGAGAGAACGAATCCTTCTGAGAAAACACTCCCGACAATTTCTGCGTGTCCAGTAATGGCTGCCCTCTGTCCCGTTGGCTGTGTGCAGGTTCAGAGATGATCGAAACCCAAGAGGACATTTACGTGGGCTCCATCGAGACGGACCGGGGGGTGCGGGAGCTGGTGCGCTTCTACGACACCCGAGGCTTGAGGGATGGGCTGGAATTGCCCAAGCATTGCTTCTCCTGCACCGATGGATACGTGCTGGTTTACAGCATTGACAGCAAGGAGTCCTTCAAGAGGGTGGAGATTCTGAAGAAGGAGATCGACAAGAGCAAGGATAAAAAGGAGGTTGGTGCTCTTACATCAAAAGGTGGGTGGGGTCCTCAAGTGGGAGGTGGGCAACTTGCATAGTTGGACTCCCATCAGCCCCATTCAAGATGGCCAGTGCCGTGGGATAACGGAGTCCCTTTGACAGCCATAACGTCGCCACTCCTGGTCTAGAGATATGTGGCTTTTATTATATATTTATTTATTGAATTTATATACAGTGGTACCTCTGGTTACGAACTTAATTCGTTCCGGAGGTCCGTTCTTAACCTGAAACCGTTCTCAACCTGAGGTACCACTTTAGCTAATGGGGGGGCCTCCCGCTGCTGCCCGATTTCTTTTCTCATCCTGGGGCAAAGTTCTTAACCTGAGGTACTACTTCCAGGTTAGCGGAGTCCGCAACCCAAAGTGTTTGTTACCCGAGGTGTTTGTAACCCAAGGCACCACTGTACCCGGAGGTCTCAGGGCGGTTCACAGAAAAGATCACAATATATAAAATCAAAAGGAAAACAATAATCCAATAACCTCCCCCCCCCCACACAAAAAAGAGCCACATTTTAAAAGGGTATAGGATGTCAATCAGATCAACCAAAGGCCTAGTTAAAAAGGAACGTTTTTGCCGGGCGCCTAAAGGTGTATAATGAAGGTGCCTTGGGGAGAGCATTCCACAGATGGGGAGCCACTGCAGAGAAGGCACTGTTCTCGTGTTGCCACCCTCCGCACCTCTCGAGGAGGCGGCACACGAAGGAGGGCCTTGGAAGATGATCTCAGGGTCTAGGTAGGTTTATATGGAAAAAGGCGGTCCTTGAGGTATTGCGGTCCTGAGCTGTTTAAGGCTTTATAGGTCAAAACCAGCACTTTGAATTGGGCCCAGAAACTAATTGGTAGCCTGTGCTGTTGGACCAGGATCGGTGTAATATGCTCAAACCATCTTGTTCCGGTGAGCAACCTGGCCACTGAATTCTGCACTAGCTGAAGTTTCTGAACCGTCTTCAGAGGCAGCCCTACGTATAACACATTGCAGTAATCTAAACTTGAGTACAACAGTACTATCCCTGTCTAGATAGGGGCGTAGCTGGGCCACCAGCCGAAGCTGATGGAAGGCACTCCGGGCCACAGAGGCCACCTGAGTTTTTGAACTTCCTTTCCTCCAACACTTTACAGATTAGCATCACATGGTCATGGGGCGCAATCTAGGGGAGGGCAAGGCTCCCTCACAATTTTCAAGGAGGGGACCAGGTCGCCTCCCAATTCCACAGCAGCCATGCATTCACACTCTGTGGGACGTGCTTGCGCCGTGTGCGTAAGCCATGACATGTCAGTACGCACCATGAAGTGTGCACATGGCGTGCTTATGTCACACAGCCGTGGCCCCCCCAATCTCAAATGCGCTTGCCTGTACATCATACATTTAAACCAGAGGTCAGCAAACTTTTCTAGCAGGGGGCCGGTCCACTGTCCCTCAGACCTTGTGGGGGGCAAGACTATATTGGGGGGGGGGGCGGGGAAATGAATGAATTCCTATGCCCTACAAATACCCCAAGGAACATGGGTGGCGCTGTGGGTTAAACCACAGAGCCTAGGACTTGCCGATCAGAAGGTTGGCGGCTCGAATCCCCGCAATGGGGTGAGCTCCTCTTGCTCGGTCCCTGCTCCTGCCAACCTAGCAGTTTGAAAGCACGTCAAAGTGCAAGTAGATAAATAGGTACCGCTCCGGTGGGAAGGTAAACAGCGTTTCCGTCCGTTGCTCTGGTTTGCCAGAAGCGGCTTAGTCCTGCTGGCCACATGACCCGGAAGCTGTACGCCGGATCCCTCGGCCAATAAAGCGAGATGAGCGCCGCACCCCAGAGTCGGCAACGACTGGACCAAATGGTCATGGGTCCCTTTACCTTTACAAATAACCCAGAAATGCATTTTAAACAAAAGGACACATTCTACTCATGTAAAAACACGCTGATTCCCGGACCGTCCACAGGCCAAATTTAGATGGCGATTGGGTCTTAGTTTGCCTACCCATGATTTAAAGCATATGTAAAGCATGTGACTTCCCCACAAAGCATCCTGGGAACAGTAATTTGTTAAGGGTTCTGGTAATTATAGCTCTGCGAGGGGCATGAGAGGTCATGTGCTTTAACTATACGGTGTGGAAGAGATGCCACAGATTCTCTTGCATGCTGTAAAGGGCCTGTCTTCAACTGACGGGTCAGTTCCCGCTACAAGGTCGCGGCTCGATTTAAAGTGAGTCATGGAAAAACATGAGGACTGTTGCTGAGGAGAGGAGCGAAGAATGCACTCTGGGGCTCAGGTCTGGCTAGTCTCTCAGGTCGGGCAAGCTTTGGGAATATTTGGGTCAAGGCCTGCAAAAACAATAACAGCTGTGTTTGAGGGCCATAAACTAACACGTGAGGGAAAAACCAATAAGCACTTTTAAACTTGCATCAAAAAGCTTTCAGCCACAGTGCTCTAGAGTCATCTTGCTATGAGCATTCATAAATAATGCATTTAGGAGAAAGGCCAAAGGGGGAAAGGGTGTAGCTAGAGGAGAGGGTGTATTCTCCTCACTGCACCAAACTGACCAAGAAAAGCCACTAAAACCTCGAGCTGACCCTGAGCTAGGTCTAGCTATCATGTCCCATGAACTGAGAGCACATCTTGTACTTTCCTGACAGGGGAAGGTTAGGTTGCTATTGCTGAACAAGCAACAAAACAGTTGGACTCTTTCCTGCTCCACAACCCCAGGCTTCCAGTCCTGCTCACTGACTCAGGTCCTGGGAGTCGTTCCCACCAACTTCAGAGCTTCAAGGCACAGCGGCTACCATAAACACCAGTACAGTGGTACCTCGCAAGACGAATGCCTCGCAAGACAAAAAACTCGCTAGACAAAAGGGTTTTTTTGTTTTTTGAGCTGCTTCGCAAGACGAATTTCCCTATGGGCTTGCTTCGCAAGACGGAAACGTCTTGCAAGTTTGTTTCCTTTTTCTTAACACCGTTAATACAGTTGCGACTTGACTTCGAGGAGCAACTGATAGAACGCGGTGTGGTAGCCTATTTTGAGGTTTTTAAAGACTTTGGTGATTTTTGAAGCTTTTCCAAAACTTTCCCGACACCGTGCTTCGCAAGACGAAAAAAATCGCAAGGCGACAAAACTCGCGGAACGAATTAATTTCGTCTTGCGAGGCACCACTGTACTCAAGTGGAGAAACTGCCTCCCTCCCCTTGGCTTTTGAGCCTGACCAAACTATTGATAAAGGAAATTATTTCGTTTTTGCCTTTATGCCCCACCTTTTCTCCAAGGAGATCAAGGTAGTGTACCTGGCCCAGTATACCTGAAGGAGCGTCTCCACCTCCATCATTCAGCCTAGACACTGAGGTCCAATGCCAACAGCCTTCTGGCAGTTCCCTCGCTGCGAGAAGTAAGGTTGGAAACCAGGCAGAGGGCCTTCTCGGTGGTGGCGCCCGCCCTGTGGAATGCCCTCCCATCAGACGTCAAGGAAATAAGCAACTATCTGACTTTTAGAAGGCAGCCCTGTTTAGGGAAGTTTTTAAGGTTTGATGTTTTATCGTGTTTTTAATATTCTGTTGGGAGCCACCCAGCGTGGGCGGGGTATAAATAATAATAATAATAATAATAATAATAATATACACAGTTCTCTTCCTCCTCATTTAATCCCCATAACAACCCTGTGAGGCTGGCTAGGCTGAGAGGCAGTGACTGGCCCAAGGTTACCCAGCAAGCTTCATGGCCAAAGGCATGGGGAGGCAAACTAAGGCCCAGGGGCCGGATCTGGCCCAATCGCCTTCTAAATCCAGCCCGCTGATGGTCCGGGAATCAGCGTGTTTTTACATGAGTAGAATGTGTCCTTTTATTTAAAATGCATCTCTGGGTTATTTGTGGGGCATAGGAATTCGTTCATCCCCCCCCATAGTCCGGCCCCCCACAAGGTCTGAGGGACAGTGGACCGGCCCCCTGCTGAAAAAGTTTGCTGACCCCTGTACTAGTCCAACACTGTTTAACAACTATACCACACTGGCTATACAAAAATGAAACTTGCCTATAACTGGTTGCCCCTCTATCCCGCTTCCTTAATCTGGTGACGGAGGAAGGGCCCACCAGCCTTGCTTATGTGCAGATCTGTGCATTTCTCATTTGTTTCACGCAAACTTGTCGTTTTGTTCCGTTTGCGATAGGTCACCATCGTGGTCTTAGGCAACAAGTGCGACTTGCAGGAGCAGAGACGTGTGGACCATGATGCAGTGCAACACTGGGCCAAGGCCGAGAAAGTGAAGCTGTGGGAAATCTCTGTCGCCGACCGCCGGACCCTCATCGAGCCCTTTGTCTACCTTGCCAGCAAGATGACGCAGCCGCAGAGCAAGTCTGCCTTTCCGCTCAGCCGCAAGAACAAAAGCAGTGGTTCCGTGGACGGGTGACTCGGGTGCTGTGCCCGCTGTATCTCGTGGACCTGCATGCGCATAGGGCTGTCCTTACCTTGAGCCAATGTGAAAAGGGAACACCCAGTAGCAGATACCTGATGAGCCACTTCTTTCCTTCCTCTCTTTGCATGTTCCCCCCTCTTTTTTAAAAAAAGGAGAACACCACAAGTACACAGTGGACGCCACTTTTGACTTGAATGGGGAAAAAAATGTCTGACGCTGACACTGCATGCCTGAGTCAAGTGCCAACAGATGTGTTGTGCGATAAAAAGAGAGCAGCCTGGTTGCTGTCACGGGTTAGGGGCACATTGGTGGCTTAAAACACAGTGAGGTTGCTTTCTCCTCACTGAGATTCAAGTCCGCATTTTTACAGAGAGAGGGTGGGGATGTCTTAACCTGAGGCATGTTACCTGATCTGTTTTCCTGCATCCAAAGCAAAGTATCCCATTCAATGAAGTTGTCATCTGAATGTGCAGTGGCTTTCACAAGTGTACACACCTCAGCTTATGTTTCCAGTGGGGTGGGCGTTGGTTTGAGACGAGGGGGAAACACCACACGGCCGTATTTCTCAAGAAACTACAGGATACAGATGGATTGTGGCTAACGTGTATTTGGCTTCAGACACAAATGGTGGAAGTGCCACGAGTCAGAGGAAGTGGTAATGTGTACCCAGCCATGGTTGAATATTCAACCATGTTTGGAGCCATTCTTATTTTCCAACTGGCTTTGATATTAGCCTTGGAAACCTGTGTTAAGGGTACCAAATTTTTGCTTTTGATTTGGGTCCCGAAGAGCAGCATGAGCAGCAGAGAGGGGAGTCTTCCTTGACCGACCCCATTTCAGTGGTGACCCTGATTCAGTTCCCTTCCCTTCCTTCTCCTCCTGCCCACCAAGGGAGGATGAATGCTATAGGGTGAAGCTGCAAGGCTATGGGGGGAATGAGGACAGTGGAATGTGCTGTTCAACATGGGAGCAAGCTCATGGCCAAGCTAATCTGTTATCTCCCAGACTTCTGGGCTAGAAGGAAATATCTGCAGAAAGGCTTGTATTTGTTTATTGAGAAGAGAATGCTGAGTAATTGCGGATGGAAGAAAAGCAAACAGTGAAATGCCTTAAGTTCAAGGCTGATCCTGGTGCGACTGCACTTCCTAACGATTAGTTTCCAGGCCCAATTCAGAGTGGTGGTTTTGACCTATAAAGCCTTAAACGGCTCAGGACCGCAATAGCTCAAACACCGCCTCTTTCCATATGAACCGACCCGGATCATGAGATCATCTTCTGAGGACCTTCTTCTTGTGCCTCCTCCTCGAGAGGTCACGAGAACGGGGCCTTCTCTGCAGTGGCTCCCTTCCTGTGGAATGCTCTCCCCAGGGAAGTTCGCCTGGTGCCTTCATTATACATCTTTAGGCGCCAGGCAAAAACGTTCCTTTTTAACCAGGCCTTTCTTTGATTTGATTGACATCCAATGCCCATTTAAAATGTGTTTTTTGGGGGGAGGGAGTTATTGGGTTGTTTTTATTTTGATTATATATTTTGTGGTTTTATATTTTGATTTTATTCTGTGAACCGCCCTGAGACCTACAGGTATAGGGCAGTATATAAATTCAACAAACAAACAAACAGACGTATGGGGAAAGTGTCATCCCAGGAATGGGATTTAACGCTTTAGGAAAGCCGATTTTGGTTAAATAGATTGCTCAGTTGGGTAGAATGTGGTGCTCATAATGCCAAGGCCACAGGTTTGATCCCTGTATGCGGCAGCTGCATATTCCTACACAGATGATCCTCAGGGTCCCTTCCAACTCTACAATTCTATGATTGTTTATATATTTAAAAACACTCCAGTACATGAGATGGGTTTGATTTTGGACATCTCATGAATAGCTTTTCCAAACATAGTGACCCTGCTTTCCCAATCTGGTTTAGGAACAGTTATAAGCAATTTCTTGGATAACTGGCATCAAATTAAGACTGCAATCCTATACATACTTACTTGGAAGTAAACTCCACCGAGCGATGTCCAAGGAAAGATCACTACTTAGTTGGGATCAAGAACGAAGGTATAATAGTCGTCCAGAGATCGCTGGTTATGATAACAGCTAATAAGTGTATTGGAATCCTTTTAGCTCTGGTGTGTAAAACTATTATGAGGAATGCAGAATATATTATTACTTCTTTTATTAATAAAAGTTTTAGGTTATTGCACTTTCTTCCTGCACACTGAAAACTGGTGTCTTCCACCGAGGTGATAGTTAGGCTGCATGTTTATTTGGGCAATATGCAAATATATGTAAAGCAACTGGTTTTGCAAAATATAATTGGCCACCCAAAAATAAATAAATCTGTAACCAATGAGCAGCCCTGGCACTTTGTTCCTGTTCAAGAATGGTAGAATCTGGACAGGCAGCTGAGCTCAGAGATGCACTGAACTACATAAAGGCTACAGAGGATTTGAGACCATCATGGGCACTCCCTTCTACTTATTGCTAGATTTGTAACATTAGAAATTTAAACACACACACACACACTACAGATGTGGAGTAGGGGTGGCATCTGAGAATTGTAGTTCAGCAACTCTCTGCAGGAGCAGATTCCCCCCCCCCCCCAATATAAGGGCTAAACCTAGAATTGAACCCTTCATCCTAGATGCCGTTTTCCATATCCAGACGTATATTTCTTTTGTATAGGGGAAGAGATTCCACCCAGCTGCAATGTGAAGTGGTGCAGTCCAGATTTACAGCCCCATTTTGGTGACTTGTGTAGACCAGTTTGTGTAGACCTTCGACTCGAGCTCACTCTACCCATTTTACAATGCTGCTTCAATCTGCCGCAGAGCCAGAGAGAAAACGGGTTGCAAATTCCAACGCCAACAGGCAATGCAAACTCGCAATGGATACATGAAAGTCTGCTGAAGGGATTCAAAAGGCTCCGGACACTTTTTTGAGGTGGCTGCAGATCACGCAACGCCAGTCCAGCTGGTCTTGCCTGAGCCGCTCTCTGCCCCATCATTCGACAACAAACCAATGAGCCGAGAGTTGTTCTTCATTCACCTGTGTTCCATTTATTGACCAAGTAACACAGTAGAGCAATGGTTATCAAAATATTTTTTTTTTACTTAAATCTCAACATTTTTATATATTTATATTTATATATAGTACATCAAAAATATACATTGAACCATCAGAGGGTGGAGTGGGGGAACAACGTACTGGCCCAAGTCCCTACATTTGTGTTGGGTTTTCCTTTCACTTTTTTGTTTTTTTAAGGATCAAACATGGTTACGTATCACTCCTTTTTTTTTTTAAAGAAGAAAAATTTACATTTTTGGGTAGGGTGGGGGCACACACACTACTGAGAGCTATGGCCTAGGCGCCCTACCTACTACCTGGAGTACATTATATGCTATGTTCAAAGGCATTAATGCTTTGGATACAAAGGAAAAAAGGGGCGACGGAAGAAAGCGTCCACATTGTGTTCCTAAAGCAGCCTCTTGCTATATTATTAGCAGAAGGAATGGCTTCAACGGGGTTAAAGTGCCGAGTGTTTCGAAACACCAGCGCCGGAGTGGGCAGCGGAGGGCAGCTGCCTTTAGGCCGAGAGTCTGGTCAGAAGGTCTTATGGCTTTACGCGAAATATTAAGGTAGCGAATGAAGCTGCAGGCAGCACCGCTGGGATTCGAAGTGCGCCCAGCGCTTGGCACGTAGCTCCCTACATTTCCCCAGACCTACCATTGTGAGCAGGGCAACGAAGAGCGAAGGCGGGAGAAACAAACCACGGGGCATGGGCAGGAAGATTTCCGAAAGGGAGGAAAGGAAGCACAGCCATAGGGACAACCAGTTGGCAAGCCCTAGGTAGGACTACTCAGACAGAGAGGCACAGCAATTGAGCTGTTATAGGACAATTCTGAACCATGAGGATGGGAAGCATGTTGATGAACCTAGAACCACAGAGAATGAAGATGAACCTAGAACCGCACAGAATGGAAATGAACCTGGAACCACATAGACTGGAGATGAACCTAGAACCACATAGACCGAAGATGAACCTAGAACACTTTTTCAGGGAGAGAAAGGGAAGGAAGTGGTTTAAAGAGCAGAGATCTCTTGCTCGCTACTATTATAGCTCCAATGCCCTATTTTGCAAATGCTGACCGCTTGGTGAGATGTGTGTTGCTAGGTGTACGTTTCTCCAGCCATTTTTGGAATGTAGCTTTACAAACAGCCCAGTATGGGCAATGCAGATTTTTCTAGCTTGTAAATAAACAGCCCGTTATCAGGAATGCAAACATTTCACCTATTGGTAATTTGCATGCTCTCTATCTTGCCCGATAAGGAATTGCTTGAAACTCAAAAAGTTTTCATACTCCTATGCCAACCTAGGGATGTCTTCACACCTTGTGAGCGAGTGTGTTGAGAGAGAGACAGTGGGAAGCTAACGCCAACTGCAGCTCCCTGGTGTGTATACGCACTGTTTAAAATATGTGTCTGTCACATGTCCACATCGTTTCTCAAAAATATAGGTACCTGCAACGTATTTTCTGTTGTGCACATTACAGACGCAAAGAGTGAAGCAGCCCTAGGTTGGCCCAGTAAAGTATCTTAACCTACTTTGTATCTCCAGAAAGGGAAGCACAGTGATGCACCGTTGTAAAACCTGGAACGGAAAGCACAGTGATAGGCCAGGTATCAGGAGGACTGAGAATAACACAGGGAAAGAGACATGAGCGATGGGCGTTATCTTTGGAGTGCCTCGACTTGGAAAGAAAAGCAGAGGGGAGCCCAGTGGACAAGCTAGTGGGTTGTTGAAATTAGGAAGGGTGGCATCAGCTAAAACTAAGCACCTTACAGAAAAGTAAACATTCAGGGGATTCTACAACAGAAAGGCATTGGTAACATCCAACAGAAATGGAAGAAGATGCAACAGAAATCAAGAATGCTGGGCGGTAGCTGGGGGTTGTGTTTTCAATCCATTTGGAGAGTATCATGCTACAGAAACACAGTTTGTTAACACCGTCCAAGTTTAGGTAGGAGACCCTCTCGTTCTACACGTGAGTTTCCTTCTCCTTAATCGAATCAGGCCCATTCTCTTTGTATGGGCAATGTAGAGCCATGGGGTGAAGGTGGCATTCTTCCTTGGTGAGCAGAAGGTTAGAATCTCATGACTTTGCTGTGGTTTTAACATTGCATAAACAAAGCAAGACTACAGGTCTACCGCATGAAGCAAAAATAACAGCAAATGGACGAAATAAAAACACATTTCTTACGGCAAACTCGCTGTGACTGCAGTTAAGGGGTAGGTGGGTACTATAAAAATGGTACCCACACCCATAAGTCTGTTTGCAGAGTCTGCTGAATTGCTAGAGGGTTGGAGGCCAAGGGTATCTGTTCTCAGCGGTGATATTCTCATCACCAGCTCCAGCTCCCAGAGTACCAGCTCCTCTCCAGAAGTGTGCAAACTAGAAGTGCCCTGTCCAGTTTAGCACCAAAACAGACTCAATCCCCAAATGAGGTTAAAGTGTATACCTGTCATGACTCTTAAAACTTTCTAGGGCTTGTAACAAGCCCCCCAGTCCTGAATGTAGTTCTCCCTGCTTTCTTGCATAATCTGCTAGCTCTCTTATCACCAAACCTGTCCTTTCTCTGCCTTCTAACAGAGGTGTGGGGGAATCTCTACTCTACAGGCCTAACTAGGTATAGCACAGGTTCCAATTTGGCTTGTGAGTCCGTTTTCCCCAAACCATGCCCTCCCGCCTCACACCTGACTTCATTAGAGATGTCGGCACTCCTAATGAGTGAGATTTCCCTGGGAAATGAATGGAGCAAAGGGGAAAGCACAGGTCAAGTGGGAAGCTGCTCAGACCCTTGCTTTCTAGGCAGTGGACAAGTGGAATTGTGGACAAGGCCTGATCTGGAGGTTGGAGTGTGTGCCTTGGTGAAGTCTCGGGCACTAGCCAATTGGCATAATCCAAAGTGTGCTTGCAGAACTATCCCCCGCCTCCCCAACTTGGCACTGGAGAGAAAGACTTGCACTTGTCTTGAACATAGTGAAGATGCTTACAGATTGGCTCCTGCCCTCTACCAAAATTATATCTGTCCTCATCCCCAGGACTCAGCTACACTGGCAAAGAAAAAAACGCTTTATATATGTTGTTTATGTGTTCTAACACTGTGACACCAGAGGGCCGTTTTGGCCAACACGATTTCTCATACAAAGTTTGCAATGTGCTTAACTGAAACGTTTCTTTGATGCGTCTAGATCTAGTCTCTCTTGAAACTGGAGAGTCCTCTCTCAAAATGCCACCGAAGTGGGAGACAAATCAGACTGGCTTGCTTCTTCTTGTCAGATGGCAGGCTGCCCGCTGAGCTTCATCTACTGGCTTGGGAAACGGCAAAAGCTCATGTTTGAAAAGCCACACAAATGGAGAGAAATGTCATTTTGTGTGCATTCTCTGAAGCATAAAGGAACCCGTGAGATCTACACCCTGAGACTTTAAATATGCTTGTTATAGCACTGTAACTACTTTTGGAGTAGGGCTAACCTGTCCTGATTCCTTGAACGAACCTATTTTACATTTTTGATGTTGTCTGCCATAAATGGAAATGGGTTTTAGTGTCCCCTGGGTCAGGAAGGTACATTTCAAAGCTGCAACAAGGAGACCACTGCAGCAAGGAAACTATGGTGCTGTGTGTGTGCGTGTGTGTGTGCGCGCGCGCTATGGGCTCCCTCCTTGTCATACAGTAGAAACAAGCACAGTACAGGAACCAGAAACAGGCAAAGAAACCCAAGAAGAACCGAGCCGCTTCATTAGTATTTTTGCATAGATTAGAATGGCTCGTTGCTTCATTATGGCCAGCAACCTTGCTGTTTTTTATTCCAGTAGGGTCCATAATTATCCTTGAGGGACAGCTGCTGGGTAGACGTTTGCATTCAGGAGTGCCCTCAAGTTATTGGGTTTATAAGACTAAAGTCTGTTGACAGCTCTCTTAAACACAGTAGAACAGTGGTTTTCAACCAGTGTGCCGTGGCACCCTGGGTGCCTTGAATGATGGTCAGGGGTGCCGCGGGCAACACTAGCCTCTGTCCTTCCCTCCCTCCTCTGATGCTTTCTCACGTCTCTGCCTCCCAAAGGCTTGCACAGCTGTTTATTGCAGCAGCCCTGGCTATAAGCTCCCCAGGCGAATGGTGCCTCTGGGGATGGCCAGGGGGTGCTCCTCAGCCCCTGTGGGGCAGTGTGAGGAGGCACTTCTCTTTGAGAAGGGGAGGTGGGGAGGCAGTTAGGGGGGGAGGCAGTTCAGAGACCAGGGGCGACAGCTGTGGCTGCCCAGAGGACTCAAGGAGAGGGGAGCAGAGAAGA